AGAATAAATGCGAAAATTAATAGTCTTCTAGCTAATTACTATACAAGAGCATTTACTCGAGTACAGGCTAAAATAAATAAAAAAAATAAGAAAAATTAAAAGTATCATCTCTAACAATTCTTCTTTGAAGTCGGTTAAAAATTAAACACGAGATAACGGCATCTTGTCTTTGATGAATGTCTTAGTATTTTTCAAGTCTCTTATTCGATTTAGATATTAGATGAAAAATGACTCACAATAAACACATTGTTTTTATCTATTTTGTGCTCATCTTGACAAATACACAGCACAGTACAAGAGGACGGATTAGTTAGAGAAGAATAATGTGGGTCCTCGGACTGCAAAAGGGCGGCTGAAGGATATATCAAATTGACGTTATTCGGGATTTTACCTAAAATAGAACAAGTTCGATAAACACGAATTCAGAACATTAAAGCAAATTTTAGATTGAACTATCTTCTGCGCACACGCGAGCGCGTTAAGTGGAATTCAATTTGAATTGGTTAAGTCTCGACTCTCGGCAAAGCACACGACGCGGGCTTACACCTGCACACGCCTTACTACAGTATTCCATTCGTTTTCGCTTTGTCAATTTTCGTCAGGTCTATTTAAAGTCGGGAAAACGTTATATTTACCGTTTCTGCTTATTCGTGCACTCAGCACCTCTCGCTGTAATTAAAACCCAATTTAATGTGCTCTTATTTGTATTTAAATAGCGCTGTCACTATAAATAGGTCAAAGCATTTATTAATCACCTCATCGAAATGGCCCATAAGCGTCGAATGACAGTTACGTCGGTACCGTCAATTATTCTTTCAGACGTTTCTCTCACTCCGAGATTTTCTATCAACGAAGAAAACTATTACGCCTCTGTAAACACATTTGTTGCTTCGAACGGGAGCCACACAATATACACGGCGGGTGCGTTTCATCTTTGATAATTAGTTCATTTTCATGTAAAAGGGCGATATCTTGCTAATCATCAGCGCCCCCGGCTCACTCGGGCCACTGAGGCAAAATTTTATCTCAACACCGTATCCTTTGAAGATAGCTACGTCTCGTCAAAACTTGATAACATCATAGGTAAAGTTAGCAAAGCTTTAATTTTTAATTATGTTATGTTATATACATTAATACTACAGTGTAATTTTATACTTAGCCTCGCTTTTTGTTTTGCCTTTTACTGCGTATTGTAGGGACGAGAGACATATTTTCAGAATTACGTTACTCAGGCTGCGATTAAATGCATTGATCGTAATTCGCAAAGAACATTCGACATCAGAACGGGATTGACGAGCCCCAAAGTGGCCGAACGTTTCGCTACGTATATAAGTAATTTATATAGTCCACGGAGTGCCGGTATTAGAATTGTGTACTCACAAGGGTTTAATCTTTGATAAATTAACCGTGCAACATTATGTTACAGAGCGATTTTGGGCGACAGTGACAAATTATTGTATAGAAATAATAACGCGGGAAGTACTTTATCTACATCGCTACAGACATTATTATGTGTTTGTGTTACATTTATTCCCGGTTCGTTTTCAATACAAACTGACATTTCTATATATCGTATTAATATTAAAATGCAAAACGTGTTATAAATGCAGTCGATAATGAAATAGTATACACTCATCTCAATGCTACGTAATTTAATCCACCGAGTGACAAATGTCGCAAATAAGTTCCCGCCAACGAACGGGCAAACGTGTGGCTTCTGGCATTATTAAAAAAGCACGAAACAAAAATTTAGTGGATGAATAATATACGATGCGAGGCTATTGTGCGAACGGAAGCTACAGTTGTGAAATATTAACGCAGAAAGTGAAAATGTAGAACAATGAAAAGTTTGAATGAGTAACAAGATTCAGAAGGTCGGTGGCGCGCGACGGATCAGCGCCTCGCGAGCGTTGCACTACTGGTACTGCGCACCTTAGGGTCTATCACAAACAAGACAAAAAAACAAGTATCGTAAAGTAGTCATCATATGTATTATTTAAAAATCGAAAATAAGTTGAAAAATTTTTATCGTCTCGGGCAGGACTTGAACCGGCATCGTCAGCGTTCCGTGCTGTTGCTCTATACCGCCGAATTTTTTCAAGTTATTGATACAAAAAATAATAATTATATAGTGCCTTCATGTGCAGTAACATGTAAAAAATATTAAAGTTTCAATCATATGTATTTTTATTTTAATATATAGGTATAGTGGCTGACGTAGACTGTGCCGATAGATTATTCATATTGGAGGGCCTCACGTAAGAGAATGCAGGGTGGAGCACCATCGGGCGATGTTACAAACCGATGGACATTGTAACGCACGTAGTCCGGCATCGCTCCATTTACCTCGAGTGCCTCACGACGCTCACATCGTTATTAACTCCCGTTTAAGCGTATTATGTTTTATTACGGATTACAGTCTACAGATGAATCTTTATTCAATTTACCTCTTCGTACTACAACATCAAGTGAGCTAGTTACCTCCTAACATCATCATATTAAGATTTTTTGAACGTCGGTTGAATACAGAGTCGCTTAATTTACTAGTATCAGTTACGTTTGAATTAAACTTTAAGTATTTCAAAAAAATCTCTTTAAATATCCTGTTTTAAAAATAGGTTATGTCCCAAATGTAGAGACAAACGATACTTGCTCTCAACAAAAGACGGAACAAAGAGGACAATAAGTAAAGTGTCGAGTAATGGGCAACCAACCGACTGCTGTGTACATTTCCATAATGAGAAATTATTAGGACACACATACACAATACTAGGGAAGAACACTCTATTATGTATTTGTGGGCTGACCAAACTTAAGGCACTCTTATAAATCACAGCTACGCCCGCGTATTCTCCGCGTGGAATAGTTAGTTTAGGTATCATATTATTTATTATTATTTCTATACTCACGTGGACATCTTTTTAGATCATTTTAAAAAAAAGGAATCATTCTTTCATACATATTTTTTGGGCATCTTGAATCGTTCTCGCAGCGGACGCAAGGCGAGCCCTCGAAGAGGAATAATTTTTGTCATTTTTTTTACTGTTTCTTCTCTCCTATCCTCCTTATATTATATAGCCTAAAACCTTTCTCGATATAGGGTCTAACCAACACAATAATCATTTTCAATTCGTACAAACAAAGACACTCTTCAGCTATGTAACATGATTATAGATTGTATTTATTTATGTAATGAATTGAATTTGTTAATAAAATGCGAGCAGATGTGATGATAACTAACACATGCTAATATAGTGCAAGTGCTCAGTACAGGAACTCTCGGAACTCGCGACGGGTTCATTAAAATATTCCCTAAATCCAGGACAAGTTCTCTTCTATTCTAGTCGCAGGTACCGGCAAAAGCCAAACTCTGCTTGTTTGCAGTTCAGCTACCGAAACGGTAAATGAGACCCGCAATTTAATTAGACTAAGCAAATACAAGCCACAGAGACTAAAATAAACAGGGGTTGGAAATTTTGTGAACATCTAGACTAATAATTTGGCTCATCTTGACTCCACTTCTGTATTTTGATGCCACTTTCAAAGCAATAGAGAAAGTTAAATGTTCCTTATTACTGGTATACCGACTTCGTTAAACAAATATCGCATATAGACACCTCGTAGCGACGCAGTGAAGACTCGTATCCGAATGATTGATTCGATTCCATTGTTTTATGTTCATTAAGCAGCCAGGGTCTGGAACAATGGACGCAGGCGAGATCGCGACGCAGTCTTGATGGCGGCGGACGTCACTATACTGCACTAAACGTCTACCAAATATCATATTGTATAGAAATACCTAATCTTTGTACCTATGGAGAGTAAATTTTTAAGGTTCTACGCGGCAAGTGTCTCTTGTAACGCTGATACCATTATTGTGACGTGTCTGTATGCTTGTGATTGAGGATGAGGGATAACAACAGAGAGAATATTGAACAGCGACACAAGTGGTGCATTAAATCTCATATGGAAAAAATTTTTTCAAAGTCCTGGAAATTATAAGTCTTTTAAATAAAACACTTTAGCTGTTTAAAGTTCTCCCCTTTCGGATGCTTTGGGCAGTTCCCCCGTGACCACGGCTATATATGGCGTTTTAAACTGTTAAAGTGTTTTATTTTAATGTGTATTATCGCGTAAACTATAGAAAGTATTTAAATATATTTATAAAATTCTACCAAATTTCGGAATTGACCACTTTAATCGGTCATTTTTTTTTTCAATTTAAACGTGCTTAACGCTCACTTACTTAACTTATTAATAACTTTTGAGATCGACATCAGTCATTGGGAAGTTTTGAAATTGCCAGCTTCGTTTTAAAGAGCTGCTTCGGTAGCCTGACAACATCAAAGAACATAACTTTTAACTAAGCTAAACTGCACTTAGGACACTGTTGAGACACGGTGTAGTGAAGTTGCGATTTCCCACGCCCAGCTATAGAGCTGCTTTATCAGTTCACCGTAGACCAAAATGAAGAGAGGGCGGAGAGTCCTACGTATGTACAGCATAAGCGTCACTTCGGCGACAATTGATTAATGATCTGTAAAAAACACGACGTTTATATCACAATTGTTTTTAGTCGGACTGTTTCGCCGATGTACAATTTGTAAAAAAAATTGAGAAGTTTTTTTGGGCATTTAAAAAAAGAAAAATAACGCTACGCCAGTTAAACGTAATTTATTGAAATGTGAAGATTGACAAGACATTAGACAAGTTCTATTCATTTTTCTCGTCATCTTGACGCTAATGTTGATCTCTTTGTAAATAATCTATCATTTGTGATTAACATTAATTTGTTCTGGCCACTTTTTGAGCAGGTTTTTTTACATTCATTCCGACCTGGAAAAGGCCTTTCACGATGAAAGCCAAAAACTAAGCGAAAATAAAAACGACCGACACAACCGTGTTTAGTCGGACTGTATCGTCATTGAAACACAACGTCGTACAATATTAAAGATAAAGAATGTGGCAAAATAAGTTGATACAATATAGGCTAGAAAAAAATGAGAATTGAAACGCTGAGCCTTGATTTATTAGACGAAAGGTATTGTTGCACATGTTTGGCTTCCTTAAATGTAAGTGTGCCTATAATTCTGTGTAAGAACTTATTATTTACCGGTGGTAAGTATAACAAGATCTAATATACATGCTACTGTACAAGTGACCCAAATTATTTCACTTTGATGTAGTAAACTGCCATCTGTTGGGAATTCTGGGTGCTAACACCTAACACTGAAGTTGTTAAGAATTATAGCCAGCGAATGAATAAAAAATAGTTGGTGAAAAAAGGTCGCACCTTTAAAATTAAATATAAATGCTACATTTATGTATATATAGATAGAAACCGGAGGAATATAAATATTACAAACTTAATTTATAAGCTTGATACACAACATAACAAAATTATGTCAATTGTCATAAATGTGACGCAACTTGATGTTCTCTCTTGACATTTGCCGGTTCTTTTCGTTTGTTCCTATATTTTCAGATAACGTATTGTGTACTTTATTCGCATGCTATTGGTCGGCGTCTAGTTACATCCAATGAAATTTAACATCGGTGTCTCCGTTGCCACGTTAATGATATACGATCGCCGGTCGCGTAATTGAAAACAAATTGTGAAGTTGTGAGTCAAAACTGAATTATATATTGTCACTCAAATCCAATGATTCAAATGATTGTGTGAAGACATTCGCCCTTTTTATTGTATTGTGATAAAGTAAGTAAAAATATTATTATATTTTTTTGCTCTTCTGTTGATTAGTGCTGGAGAGCTTATGTAGTTCTTTTTGCACATTTGTATCGACGTCACTGATTTACGTCTAAAAACAGGATTTCGTATCCCTTTTCATTGTGTTGTCATGTCGCTATTATCGTGAATGTTTTTCATTCTCAGAGTCGAACTTCATGTTAAAGTAGTTTCGAGTTTTCGTTAATTAATCCTAATTGTAGAAAATTTCGTAATTATTTCTCTCAGTAAATATTTTTGCCGTATGAAGGCCATTTCGGACGATTCACAAGGGGTCGCCTAATAACTTCACTTGTTACCCGTGCTTAATTAGTTTGATTGAGAAAATGTGTCACCTTCCTTGCGCCAAATAACGCCCTATTCGGATTGCAGTGCAGTAAAGTATTTATCATATTGTATAGATAACCCCTACTGCTTAGTATGATAGTGCTAAAGATAAGATAGTGATAAATTTGTTATAGATTTATACAACATAAATAATCTGTTTTGGTATTGTTGTAGGTACGAGGGTCCAAAATGACGACCCAAGTGCAAGCATTATATGACTTCGCAGGTGAGCCGGGCACCACTGAAATGTCCATAACCTGTGGAGAGATATTAACATTGATAAACACAGAGATCGGTGAGGGGTGGTGGGAGGGAAGGAATGCTAAAGGTGAGACAGGCCTATTCCCTGCTGCATATGTGAGGAAACTGACACCGGAAGAATCAACTCCTACAATGGCTAAAATAGCTCCCGCTGCACCCAGGTACGATCAAGCAGCAGATGAATGGGGAGAACAACAATATAGTGCAGGCGATAACAATTATCAAAGAGGAGCATCTCATGAAGACGGGTGGGACGATGATTGGGATGATGATACATATTCAGAAATAGGTCCAGCCTCTCAACAAAATAAAGCACAATACAACCAACAACCTCTAGCACCGTTGCCAGGCATGCCTATTAATGATTACAATCAACATATAGATGACACTGCATCTACATTCTCCTCAGTTGGTACAGTTAGGAAAAGTAAATTTGCTCCCTCTTCAAAAGTTAGCGGTGAAAGCTATCTTCTTGGAACTTTAAATGTAGAGGTGTCAGATACTGAAAAAGTTTATATAATTCAAGATGAGGATGGCTATGCCTGGTCTCCAATATCACAACCGTATCACGTTACAGTGGCATCACCAAAAAAAGAATCCAAGTTCAAAGGAATTAAAAGCTTTATTGCATATCAGTTAACACCTTCATTTAATAATATCCAAGTCTCTAGAAGGTATAAACACTTTGATTGGTTACATGAAAGGTTGCAAGAGAAGTTTACATTAATACCAATTCCACCATTACCTGACAAGCAAATATCGGGACGTTACGATGAGCAATTAATCGAGCGTCGAAGAGTTCAGCTTCAGGAGTTTGTGGATTGGATGTGCAAGCACCCAGTTCTGTCCAAGAGTGAAGTGTGGCAACACTTTTTGACTTGCACAGACGAAAAACGTTGGAAAGCTGGAAAACGACAGGCAGAAAGGGATAACCTGTTGGGCTTAAATTATTGTGTATCTTTAGTTGTACCTGAGAAAGCTTTATTGCAATCGCAAGTGGATCACATCACAGAACAATGCAATACGTTTCTCGGCAGCATGGATTCCTCCGTAAAGTCACTTACAAATATGTGTATCGCACAAACTAAGAGATTCCAGGGTCCATACAAAAGTGATTGTCAAAAAATAGGAGAAGCCTTTTATAATTTAGGGAATGCCCTCAGCTTAGACGAAGGAACTATAGTGTCCACATCGAAACTTACATCCGCCATAAAGATGACCGGAGGTGCTTACATCGAAATAGGTCGGATGTACGAGGAACAACCTAAGTATGATTTCGAGCCTCTAGGAGATAAATTTCACTTATACAAGGGCATAGTCGGCTCGTTTCCCGACTGCCTCGCCAATCACAAGGCCGCCGTGCAGAAGAAACGGGAGTGTGAGAGGTTGACAGCCGAGCATAAAATGGAAGTGGCGCAGCTAAACGAGGTCTTGCGCAGGACTGACGTCATTTCGTATGCCCTTCTTGCCGAAATTAGTCACTTCAAGAGTGAGAGAACAGTCGACTTGAAAGCGACTATGCAGAAATTTTTAAAGCAACAAATCACATTTTACAAAAAAGTAGTCGATAAACTAGAGGCAACCCTGCACCAGTACGACGAGTAGGGTGTGACAACAATTAATGAAATTATGTGCTATATGAAACCGTATTGTATATCTTTTTATACAAATATTTTGTACCTATAGTCATGGTGACTATATTTTCAATCATTTGAAGCCAGCTCATGAGATCGTGCTCGACTGAGTTATGATGTTAAAAATCATTTGATACGGCATCAATCTGTACATATACAAATTTGCACTTTTGCCATTTTTATAAACTTATTTTTTATCATTTTGTTATATTTAATTTGGTGTTGTAATAATTTTCAAAGATTTTGAGATATTCCTACGTTTACTGTAATATTCCATTTATTTTTAAATATGTACACTAATAAAATAATGCAAATGTTTGTTCCGTTTTTTATGTATGAAATACAACCTCATTGAGTTTCAAATGTACAAATTGTAAGTAATTAACCATAAAAGTTGATAAACGATATTATATATTGACTTTGTAGTGAATCAGTTTCGTCTTTCACAGGTTGCCCGATCATGGGATAGCCAAATGCGAAGACCTCTAGAAACTATGAGAAAGATAGTGCAACAAATATAATGGCAAGTGAAAAGAAGGACGCCAGTGCCTTGATCGCGAAGACGAAGAAAGTCAAAGCACGAAAATCGAGAGATGCCGACTGCTGCAGCGTCAATTTCCTTAAATGTGTTTTACATATTTTCAATGTCATATTCTTGGTAAGTACGTCTCTTTAGAATAAAGGAGAATAATAACTTTTGTTGGTGTACAACATCCACTAAATCGAGTACCTTCACAGGTCTTAGGTTTTTAAAATCTTATCATTAAACCCGTTAAACGGACGGCACATTAAAGTTACAAGGTCAGACTGAATTAAACATCGATACGCCGATTTGAATTTGAATTAAAGGCCAAAAGAAGTGGCGAAATAAAGGATTGCTGTAAATTTGTCTTAAGTATGGATTCTAATTATAATTTAACGGATGCTAATTAGAAAAGTGATGCCATATCAATGTTTACCATGTTTCTATCATAAGTCACGGATCGTTTTGATTGTTTTACGTCACAGAGTAATGCGAATATTACACATTTTACATCAACTTGTATGAACCGTGAACGTTTGCTGTTTTTTTTTAGACTTGTATTACAACTCTCTGATCATACATTGTTGGACGGCTCCAATTTCGGCATACAGGGCTCTGGAGTTAGAAGGGTATAAAAACATTTACTTTATACACAAATATAAAATGTACAATAACTACAAAATATAGGACCTAGGACCCAATCTCGGACCGTGTCGAAAAGAGAAGACCATTTATTTCAACCTATAATCTTTTTGTGATTTACATATAGACCTGGAGATTCTTTTTAATATAAATGTGAAAAGTGTTGCCCGCCAATGTTTACATACATGTATAATCTCTACGTCTTATATGTTACTAAGTCAAAAGCTACAAAGCGTTTAAAGTGTACGATGATGCAGTTTGCAGGCGTCGGAGTGTTCGCAGTAGGCGCGTGGACGATCGCCACTCGGCACCGCTTCGTGGCCCTGCTGCCCACGCCCACCTACCCCGCCATCTCGTACCTCTTGTGCATCGCGGGCGCGCTGGGGCTGCCCCTCTGCGGCCTCGGTTGCTGCGGCCTCAAGACCGAGAACAGAACGAGCTTGTTGTGTGTGAGTGCCCCGAGTCGAATCGCTTTGCGTCGCCGATGAAATAAAAAACTTAAAGATGTTTTGTACATTTTCAGTACACATATTTCCTGCTAATAACTTTTCTGCTGGAGGTAGGAGCCGGCGGACTCGCCTATTACTACGAGGTGGCAGTCGAAGAAGAGCTACGCTTGGACTTGAATTCCACCTTCATCACCAACTACGCTCTGGACGCCGTAGTGACCGACGCAGTTGACACTATGCAAACGGAGGTGAGATGGTTATTTACATTCGTAGTAAATATATCACACTACATTGTAAATCGTAAAAGACAATCGCGCTTATTTTGTTATTTTTGTTTTGGCCATCACGTTGCTTTTAAATGTTTTAAAACGTTTGACCTTCATCGGCAGTTCAAATGCTGCGGGGCCAACCGATACTCGGAGTGGCGCAAGAGCGCGTGGCACGAGCACGACCCGCGGCTGCTGGTGCCCGACTCCTGCTGCAAAACTGTCTCGGTGCGCTGCGGCATGCGGGACCACCCCTCGAATATCTATTACCACGTAAGAAGCCTTATCGTTCGACCCTATTTCCGGCTCTCATGTTGTACAAAAGCGACTTACATCTTTTCTTTAAACCCACTGTATGGCATATAACCATTTCTTCCAGGGTTGCGTGCACGAGTTCACGAGGCACATACGGGACCACCTGGTGATCCTGGCCGCCGTCGGGGTGGGAATGTCCGTCATACCGATTTTTGGATTCTTCTTCTCTTGCGTCTTGTACGCGAAGATAAAACACGTGATCGACTGACCCCGGCTCAAGGCAGCCGCCGCCAAAAAGCGCAAGGTCTTCGACAAGTCGGCCTCGGCCGGGGACCTGACGAAGCCGAATCGGGGTTCGCAGCGCGCACCGAGCGCCTCCGAAACTTCCAGGACGAAGCGAAGCGCCCGCAGGATGCCTTGCCCGCTGCATTCCAACTCGGAAAAAGCCGTACCCATTTCGACTATTAGCGACAACGTTAGCATCTGAAAAGTTTAGAGCCGTGTTGAAAAGCCGAATGGTTCAAAATTGATGCTTGCAATATTCATTAGTTGTAGACATCCACCCGTCTTTCACGTTGCGGATAAGTGAAACGGGGCAAGCAATAAATCTATTACGGCATTGGGAACGGAATCTCTCCTATTTTCGATAAAACCGTGATCAATGCGCGTCAAAGTTAAATTAGCTTAGAAGGTTAGTAGAACCTGTTTACGAATTTATACGTCACGCGCGTGAAGAGCTGTTTTCCAAATATCGCGGTATGTGCATGTGGCAGTGTGTGAAACGTCACGTTTGAATCAGTTGATACTTAATATTGTCGTATCCGTGTAACATTTTGGAAATTCAAAACGGTGCTATATTGTTATCGATATTTGTGTACTTAAACCTAGGTTTTAAGGCAGGAAATGCATTTTTAGGTTTTTCATGTATATTTTTACAACTTAAATGTGGGTCCTCCTTACGGGCTTCTGTCTTCCTCCGGGTATAATCTGGGTAAAGAATTGTTTGTTTTTCGATGTTGTAAGTACCATGAGAATAACTAAATGTTATCTTCTGAGGCACTCTAATCGATGAAAACAGTTTTCGTTGTTATGATGTTAAAACGTGAGTCATCTTCGGGTTTCGACGCCAGTTAGGGATTTTGTCTTACGTCAAACGGCGCTGAAGCGAGCGTCACACACTTAATTTTACCAAAGTTAACGTGCCTTACTAATATAGGAATTAAAATAATCTATTAACGTTAATAAATACGTTGTAAATATATATGCGTAGACATATTTACTTAGTCCTAATAAAGAGATCTGTGTTTTGTATCGTTTAGCACATTATTTATGTATATTTATTTTTGTTAACGATAACGATATCGTTCGATGCGGCCGCTTCGTTGTACGGGTAATAAATGTTTATTCTTCCAAGATTTCCTTGTTTTAAGTGAATATTGCTGTTATTATTGTAACTGTCGGTTCGTATACACGCTGTTTGTTGTTTAATATAATTTTGAATTAAAACAGATTTGCTTTTTTCTGCTAGCACTAACCTAACCTAAAGTACCACATAAAAGTAATCATTTATATCGTAGCACAAGTCGGAATACATATTCGAATTTAACTCTTTTTTGTGCGTTTTTATTTTATTTTTTACGAAAAGAGTTTTCAGTTTTGTATATTAGAATTATAAATATAAATAAATAACATTCCTTTCTAACGTCAATGATAGTCGTGAAATTCCATCCATCTATTTTGGCACAGAACTGTTACTATCGTTTATAAATCAGTTTAAGCATTAAATTGTTTTCAGCGCCCTCTGTGGGCGCTGAAAACAATTTAATACTTCCTTTCAAGGCCGTCTTAATTCCTAATTGTGGGTAACTTATACTCACAATTCTGTCTGACTGAACAAGACTTCTGTTATAATTAATAAGATGTCTGTTATATTTATAGGATGTTTTCGCTTTAAAAATAAAGAATAGGTAATAGGTTAATGAGTTTTGCAAAAAATAAAAAAATCGAGGGTAGTTTAGTTTTTTCGATACCGCGACCGAACGAGGTCAGTGCGTGCTGTCAGTCGCGTTTAAAGGCTTTTGTTATTTTTGTATGTGACTGCCAATTGAGAATGTAAAGTTTATTGTGACCGCGTGTTGAAGATACCACTAGTTATTGTTTTTATAGTTTTCGCGAGTGCAGTGCGTTTTTAGACTTTTTGTGATACCAGTGTACTACTCGCTGACACGGACTCTCCGCTTTTAGAAATCATTAGCAGATTTACTAAAATAAAAACAAAATAACACAACAACTAAATAAATTTAAATTCAACAAAAGCCTATCGACCGGGCAGCACGTCCGTTCCGTACAACGAGCAACGAAAGAAGTGTACGAGCCGTTGCTTGAGGCTTGTTTATATAGCCTTCAGTGTGGCGGGTAGTTGAGCTTTTCTGATGATTTCCAACACGGCCTCTCCTGACAGGAGTCCGTCCTCGGACTCCATTAATTTAACTTTCCTGATCCGTGTCAAGAATTGGCAGTGAATTTTCTTCATTGGAAGTGGAAGCTATGCAATCAGAGTGTCTCTGTGTCCCAGAAGGACCCGGTTGTGGTTCGAACGCCTCCATAGTTTGTAGAACATCAACAAGCAGGTCGATACCCGAAGTAGCCTCCATTTCATTGTCTGCATCTGCAGCACAGGAAAAACAAAGAAACAACCAAGGGAAAATTACACATACTGACATTATTGAATATTGTAAAAATGACAAAAAAAAGAAAAGTGCCGTTAGCTAACATTTCAAAAGAATTAGTTATTCCAGCCAATACATTTAACCTCTGGGATAATCGTATCCGATATACCTCCAAGAACGATTATCCCTTGTTAACGTCCGCCCAGGATAACCTCTCCGATATACCTCCAGGACGAGGTTATCCTGATCCTCCAATTAAAATGAAACGTGCAATCAGATCGACAATAACAATTAACATAAACAACCAGTCCGATCTACCTCCAGGACAAGGTTATTCTGAATCTAAAATTCCAACAAGTTAGGCCGAGTGTCTCACTAAAGCAACCAGTCCGATCTACCTCCAGGATGGGTACTTTATTCTCGAGGTCCCTCCTAGGATAACCATTCCGATATACCTCCAAGACATGGTTACCCCGGGCCCAAGGACCTCGCAGACAAACGCCTCACATGAATTTATCATTAAACATATCATTACACATCATAGGTACTTTCAGTTTCAGTAAAGTGTTAAGAATAAAATCATAACTCACACAAAGAGTGCACAAAGAATGTCGAACACATATCCGGGATCAATTCACCTTTCCAAGGCACCAAGAACTGCGCTGCAGCACATGTCGTCTTGTCGTATGATCCAGCAAGGACTTGCAGTTTGTAACGGTTATTTGCTGACCTCTGGGTGATCCAGTAAGGTCCCCGCATACCTGGGTCAAGTTTCCCTTGCGACTGCGAGTATTTGATAACAAACACAAGGTCACCTTTCTCGTACGTTCGTAGTGGAAGCCGATCCTCGTTAACCCGCCTGTGCTGTTCAACATCATTTTGCGTCAACCGTTCGGCCGTCCTTTGTCTTCCGACTTCTCGTAAGGCTTCACGGTTTTCACCTGACTCGGTGGCGACTGGCGATAGTCTCTAAAGACTGAGGACACGCACGTTGTAACCCCTCGGGAATGTCTACTTCGTGAGCATTCTACGCGTATACGTTTCCCTTTCGATCGGGACAGACTTGATCTACCCATAACGGTCAAAACTATCTCGATATAAAAAGCAAAAATTATAATTATCCGAGGGCGTGAAAATCTTTATCCCACAACTGATTTTAGAAATCATTAGCAGATTTACTAAAATAAAAACAAAATAACACAACAACTAAATAAATTTAAATTCAACAAAAGCCTATCGACCGGGCAGCACGTCCGTTCCGTACAACGAGCAACGAAAGAAGTGTACGAGCCGTTGCTTGAGGCTTGTTTATATAGCCTTCAGTGTGGCGGGTAGTTGAGCTTTTCTGATGATTTCCAACACCGCAATAATAGTCAACCACTGAACCGGAGGTATGTATTTCGAGTATTAAACCTAGTTGACCAAAAATGCTTATTGGAAATGTGTCATTTTCTATCTTTGTGATACAATTGGTCTCTCGATCATGATAACATTTGCCAATTATACTATCAGTTAATTTGAACATCACAATTTGTTTTTTTAAACTTTCTCCTTTTTATAAATTATAGCTGTTACCCGTCCTTGTTGCAAGTTAAGCTTAAAAGATGTCGTGTACGTTTTTATGTGTTAGATCATTTTGAGGGAAATCATTCTTTTATACACGTTTTTTACGTATCTTGAACCGTTATTCACAATTTCTTAGACCTATTAGTCGCAGCCAGACTTCTGTTTTATAGCATAAAGCCTTCCTCGATAAATGCTTCAACTAACACAAAAATATATATTATTCGAACCAGTAGTTGTTAAGATTAGTGCGTTCAAACAAACAAACACTTCGGCTTTATAATATAGATATGTATTATGGAATCTTAGTACAACAATTGACGAATATATACTAACTACTGCAAATCTGACTAATACTAAAAATCGTGGCTATGACGGGTGTAAACGTACGTTTATGTATCCTCCCCGCGGTTATTGTTCGTACCCGCCAACGTTACGGTAACTAATAATAGCTGAATTCCGGTCTGTCATCTGTTTACTGAAGTAAGATAATGTCTCAAAAGAACAGGTTTAGTAAATACGAATATAACACGAAACATCAGTCGAGGGTCGCTTAATCGACCGCGGGGCTTCCTACGCAATACGTGACCGCTGATGGCTTCCTATACGATGATCATAGTGCTCCTTCTTTCGTCAATAGTGTTTCAGTGCGAAGGCAATCCTGGCGTAACACGAGACCTGGAGGACGTAGAAGTACTCGCACATCCTATTCAGCGTAGAAAATATTCAGAAGTTCATGAGCCGAAGTCGCTTCCCGCGGTCGAGTCGAACGAAGATCACAGTAAAGAATCTAAACTAAAAATATTATTAAAGGGACCCTACGACCGATTTAAAAATGTATCTTTTAATCTCCATGAAACAAAAGAGAAAACGATCGCTCATGCAGTTAGAAAAGAACAAAACGTAACAAAATCTTTATATAAACCAATAATGATTAAAATAACAACCAATGGCGATAATAATAATACCCATCCGCCGGTACAGACTCTAATAACCGATGAGAACAACAATTCATCACCTTATAAGAGCGAAGGTAACTCTTCGAGATATGTGGACGGAATAAGCAACGAAGGAGGCTTTAAAAAGGCTTTCATGAATTTTATAAATAAAGAAGCGAACGAGCAATCGGCCGTCACAGGAGCGAGCAACGAAATGCCGATGCCTTTAGAACTGAACATATTCAAAGGCGACGAGTGTCCAACGGGCTGCACGAAAATAGGCGACAAATGCGTTAGAATTGACCACAACAAATAATTGCGCATGTTACGGTATATACCAGAGACATGTACATAGAGTGCACATGACTATAGTCGACATGTATCTCTATGGTTTTATTTTGTCGGAGAATCGAAATTTTCCCGTATAATTCAACTTACGACACAGAAGATGTTTGAAGTCTATTTTGACTTGGCGAATGGGCGTGAGGAGTGAAGTTGAAACTAAGTTATGTTTAAGTAATAAAGTAGTGTTACAGTCGTACGATATAATAAATTTGATAACCTTAACTGTGTATTTTTGTGTTTTTACTCGTCGGTGTCTACTGTACTTTTTTTGTATTCAGGTTCATAACACGACAACACCGGCTTTGACTAAAGATATTGCTTGCATACGTAAGATAATGGGTTTACAGTTGCGAACATTTTATGTTACTTGTAGCGTCATTTTTGAGTAGGTTTAAAGTAACATTCATTTTCTCTTAAAACAGTACCTTAGCCTAAACGCTCTCTATATAATATGTTATAGATATACAAATCACCTCATTTGTAATAAAATAAAAGAAACAAGGTGCCGTTAGGACATAACGGATTTACCTAACTGTTAGGTATTACTAAGGAATTCCTATTTTAGGCCAAGTTCTCGCATGTAAAACTATTTGAGTGCAAAATATCATCATAGTATATCAATACAGCATTTAATACATAATACCTATTTTCTGTAGCAAACAAAAATCCATCCATTGCCATCTTGTCACCTCTAAATCGAGTTAATATTTAAAACTAGTTTTATTCTCTACTTTATTTATTATGATGTTATGTTAAGAGCGCGTGTTTGTGGTTTTTACATTATCCTCTTCATATTTTTAGTTGAATTAAGTTCCAATAAAACAGGTTTAGCCCAATAAGAATATGCACGTACAACAGAGAAGACCGCGTCAGTTCACCAGGTGTCATCACACGAAACGGGCGGAAGTGTGTCCCGATTTATAATGGCAAAATTAAAAGCACTCGTTTTGCTTGCCATCGCGCTGGAGTGTAATGGACATCTGCGCCTCCTCGGTGATATTCTCTCCGGTGCCCACGATAGGATTCACTCGAAAGTTCAAGACGTCGCCGGCGCAGTGCTGGGAGGCCTCACTCACGGCGTTAACTTAGAGTTTCATAGTCATATTGGCGTCAACGAACAGCAGCGTCCGGGATACGGTCAACTCAACCCCAATCAAAACGTATATAATCCCCACAGAAGACCCGATGAAACCGTAGTCGTAGTCGTCGAAGAACAAGGTAACGGTGAAAATAATAAAAGGCCACCCTATTACCCCGACCATTATCAAGGAAATAATCCAATCAATCAACAGTATAATCCCCAGTCCGACTACAGCCAAAATGAGAATCAATTTAACGGACCCCCAAAATATGGCAACCACTATAATCGTCCAGATTACGAGCAAAACGGTCACAACTACGGACACTTCGACACCGAGCGTCCGTATTTCAACCAAAATAATGTAGATCGTCCCAATATCAACGATAACAATCGTGGCGATGGCCAACAGAACGTCTACGGAACACACACACAACACCCAGACCAGCCGACGACAGAGGTCATCAAAAGACCCATTGAAGAAAGCACCACTAAAAAGGACGACGATGACGATGATCGTCCATTCTTTGTTCCTCTAAACCCTAATGAGTACGTGTACGGCGGAGACCAGATCAACGTCACTGCACCGAAGCGGGAGACCGTCGATAAAGCCATAGAAAACGGAGATTATAATCTCGATGTTAGGAGTAAGGAAAAATAATGAATAATAGCATATTTATTAATAAAATGATTTATATTTTGTACGTCGATTCTTTTAAATACTCATCACAAATAGTCTTACGGTTAGACCATATACATTTTATTGTTTATTATGGTTTGATATGTAGTAAAGATTCTCGTTTATCGAGTTGATCAGAATTTATGGCAAGATAAATATGAAAATATTGACATAAAATACCAAGAAACCATATAAAACACTAGTTGGCACTATGTACAACGGTTGCCGGATGCGATGAATCATGTTCCACGTATTCATTAGGATTGTATATTCCAACAATTCTGCAACGCGGAATAATCCACAGCAGGCATTACCTTGCATCAGAGATTATTATCAAACGTGATCGTTATGTCCACAATATCCCGCTTAACTCCGACTTAATATTGCAATTAAATCTGACGTCCTAACTTTTACTGTAATCTACTACTATTCTTTGATCTATCATAAGGTCTTCTTTGTTCATGTCAATATTATAAAAGACAATAGAAGATACCAAATAAAATCCAAATGAACTTTAGAGAAACGTTTACAAGGTCGTACACAATGAAGCTGTAGACGTCCGTTTTTTGTTGTGTTACGTATTTTTGTATATGTATTTATTCGCACGACCTTAACGTAAGAGAAACAAGCGGTCTACGTCACTTCTTATTACATTATTGTGTCAGTGCTTCGATATGCCCTACGCACTAAACAAGTTTGTACCCAAACGTTCTTAGCATGAAAGCCATACATGTCCTTCGTATATTATAGAAATTCTGAGGAAGGAAAAATGGCCAAGTCGCTCTTCGTGGTTTTCCTATGTATGTCGTCAGCGATCGAGTGTCATAATCGTCAGAAAGGTATTAAAAAGGAACTACAAGTATGGCAAGCGACGAGTGGCGGTTCAGTCTTGCGAGAGGAAGTCAATAGACCTGGTGTGAATAAGGCGGATAACGACGTTACAAGTTCTGAACGCTCCGAAACTCACCACACAAGACTAGTAAAGACTGTATTAACGAATTGTTCAAATCTTAATACAGTCCAAAATATCAACATGCCTACGTCGCCCATTGACACAAAAAATTGTTCTGAAAGTGTAAACAACATTACGAATTGCTCCGAAAATGAAGTGACAGCAAAAAAGGATGGTAACTCTACGTCGCCAGAAAAGGAGCACAAAAGTAACTCCCTCGTACCACCTGTGCCTGTGAGTGGTCAAAACGTTTCATTCGTGGACAGAAGTTCCTTTGAAGGCGACGAATGCCCCACAGGCTATACAAAGATTAATAATAAATGCGTGAAGATTCACAAGGATTAACATGAATAAGGATAATTTTGATCTGTAGTTACTGTATTATATATCAACCGTAATATTAAAAATCATATTTGTTTGTATATAGTTTCAATTTTATACTTTCTTGTGTTGTGAAAATGGTTCTAAATTTTATTTTAGTTACTTTGAGTGTTTTATATGTTTTATTTATGTACTGTTTTGGCTATTAATATCTATAGTATTTATCGCAATACCTAGACTGAAAGGCTAGGCTCGGCTATAAATCATGTTTAAAAAAACTTGCTACATATTATATGTCTTAAAATGGATGCGGTTTACATATTAAATCTAAATCTGACATCATAAAATAATTCATAAAGGTACTGTGCAATGATAATTGTTTAGATTGTATGTTACCGGTAATAAAACGATTAGTTATTCTAAGAACCCCTTTACTTTTCCTGTTATTAAACAATTAAAGTTTGTGTGGTATTACATATGAGAAAAAAATAAATATATAGGTATGTTAAATTATTGAAACATAATATAGCCTTATAACATCTAAATAAATGTACTGAAAGAGAATAAAACCTTTACCTATTTCGCAGTTGAGAGTTTACTTGCGCCTGATTTTATATTACAAGCAAAAAAATAGGTGATTATCTGACAAATTGTTAGTCGACTTTTAAAGCAAGAAAATGTATTAAAATACAAATCTCGTTAGAAACTAATCAGCGTTTCTTTAAAAAACTATGCACGTATTATACATATAAACTGTGTTAAATGAAAACCACTCCAGAATCCGTTGCGTAAATTTTCAGATTTAAGCATACATATGGACGGGCAGTCAGTACAGTAAATATTTTTATTTTATTATGCTTACTCCAAAATGTATTTTGTATGAATCCCTCACTCACCGGCTTATACGAATAGTCGAACTATATGTTTCATCAATAATAATGATTCAACATAAATTTGGAATATGCACCTATTTATCTCTACCAATAATGCGGCACCTATGTAGTGTTGGGGTACCTTCGTAGGCCGGGGGTATTTTCGCAATTAAAACAACTATACAAAACAATTTAAAATTATTACACTATACAAACCAAACTTGAATCATCGATTTTTCCCTAACGAACTAATATTTTAAGCTAGAGAGTTTGCTTGTTTGAACGCACTAATCTCGGGAACTAAAGTTCTGGTAGAAAGGTGGTTAATGTTGTGAAAGTACAAACTGATATTGAAAAATAATTAGGCACATCTTTTTTTTATATGTGTTTTCTTACGTTATTTAATTGCCAACTGCGTGGATTCTTTATACCTACCTACCTACATAATTTTTGTATAACTACTATACACGCACTGTTTCTGTGAAAAAAAAAGAAACATGCATGTACTACAGAACATATACTTGCCCTACCGACTAAAACCAACAAAAGCTTACTTTCTTGGTTCACCTCGTAGCTTACATTCTACAATATAATATAGTATAGGGTAATGTAGCTTTATTTTGACTGTACGACTGTGCCCCAGGTTCGAAGGGGAACCAGTAACACTCAGATCAGCAGTAACCAATATATTATATTATCCTAGTTTATTATATAACTAAGTATTCTAAGTTTTTTTTTGTGACGCCTGTTATCGCAATATTGCGACCATTCTGTCAAATGCGTACATTGACATTGGTCAATGTACACATTTGACAACAATATTCTAAATTGACATTGACTTGCCCTACGCTTGACAACTGTAAAGTTTTTTAGGTAACGTTATTAATTTATATATTTATTAACGATATAATTAATACATTTTTAAATTTATATTTATGACTTATTAATCGTTAATATTCTGCATTTACTTTTATCTACAATAGGGGAACAACATTATACCTAGTCTGTATGGTACCGAATATTCGCCAGTATTCGTTACTTAAAAATATAGAATAACTTTTTGAAGTGATTTTCTACAGCTCGGTTAATACAATCTGTTGTCTTTATAAATCTAACTATTTAATGTATAAATTATATCGTACATAACATCTTCTAGATCAAGGTTTAAATCTTTTAATAATACTAACAAACTTACACTTAAAAATAGAATAATTTAATAGGTACTATAGTAATATACAACTACCATATAACAAAAATTTTGGTATTTAAGAGTTTGTCTATTTGTCTACGACACATCTATTTGTACAAAGCACACAGCACTTGCTTTTTTGATTTTTGAGCCTTGCTTTGCTGGTTTAGTTACAACTAGAGGTGTAAATAGAAAAAAGCGTACCCATTACAATTAATACCCGTTACTTTCACATCGTTACGTTACCCGTGGCTTCTACACATGCTATTTATTATTCTATATTTTCTACTTTATATACTATGTATAAACAATCATACATAAAGTGAATTTTTACTCACTTTTCCGTATTACTTTATTTTAAGACACGGAACAGTAGTCTAATTTAAATGAGACCTTCAATGACTAATGTAACTCAATTATATAAAGTAGTTTTTTTTAATTTTTTTTATTGGAAAGTGTTTCAATATTAGTAACGTAAACATATTATACACACAATAAATGATACTTATCTGACTTGCGTGAGATTTGGTATATACCTGCTTGTCATGCCAGTGTTTGATCTATACCATACGAGTAACGTTATTGTGTCCTTTGTAACATTTCGTTACTCGTTAATATATAGCGCACCCGTCACTAAGTACCGAATACATACGTTTTGTTACAGGTTTAGTTACAACTTGCAACACTCACTGTTTCTCTGTCATGTAGGGAAGCCGTTAACACGAGTCTCAATTTTTGTTGCGAAAACGTGTTTTGTGATATAATTAATTTAAAATATTTCGCTATTAAAAACCGTGCTGGTTGATTGATCCAACTACAAGTTTAATATAAACTTAAACTACTTCTTATCAACATATACGAGTATCAGTCACGGTTTTTTATACCACGTGTGTATCCACAAGGAGTATTTTAAAAATTAAGAAAATATTATTTAATATTGCGGATATTGGAGTATCTAGTCTGCTATTTATATAAACCACTAAAATATTTGCTGTAGAACGTGAATATGTCACAAGCCGAGGGCGACCTTCGAGATGGGCTATCGGCACGAGAAATCTTCGCGAACAGCGAAGGACTCACCTATAACGACTTTCTCTTGCTTCCGGGATACATCGATTTCACTGCCGAAGAAGTCGACCTGACGTCTCCCTTGACGAAAAAAATTAACTTGAAAGCGCCGTTGGTGTCTACTCCGATGGATACGGTCACTGAAGCAGATATGGCCATCGCGATGGCTCTTTGCGGTGGCATCGGCATCATTCATCACAACTGCACTCCCGACTACCAGGCTAATGAAGTCCATAAGGTAAAGAAGTACAAACACGGTTTCATTAGAGACCCTGTATGCATGGGACCAGAAAACACTGTTGCAGATGTCATAGAAGCAAAAAAGAAGAATGGCTTTACTGGTTATCCAATAACTGAAAATGGAAAACTAGGTGGCAGATTGATTGGCATTGTTACTTCTAGGGACATCGACTTTAGAGAGGGAGACCCACAATTGAGCCTGAAGGAAGTCATGACTCCTATTAGTGATATGATAACAGCTCAGTCCGGAGTCACTCTTCAAGATGCCAATTATATTCTTGAAAAAAGTAAGAAAGGTAAACTGCCCATCATTAATGGTGATGGTGAACTTGTAGCATTGATCGCTAGGACGGATCTAAAGAAGGCCCGTAGTTACCCTAATGCATCAAAAGATTCAAACAAACAGCTATTAGTCGGAGCGGCAATCGGGACCAGGGAAGCTGATAGAGAACGCCTTAAACTTCTAGTCAGCAATGGTGTAGATGTTATTGTACTTGATTCATCACAGGGAAACTCTACTTACCAGGTAGATATGATAAAGTTCATAAAAAAAAATTATCCCAATATACAAGTAATTGGAGGTAACGTAGTAACCAGAATGCAGGCAAAGAATCTCATAGAAGCCGGTGTTGACGCTTTAAGGGTTGGTATGGGAAGTGGGTCTATATGTATCACCCAAGAGGTGATGGCATGTGGTTGCCCACAAGCTACAGCAGTCTACCAAGTTTCATCATATGCTCATCAATTTAATGTTCCTGTAATTGCTGATGGTGGCATACAATCTGTTGGGCACATTGTGAAGTCATTAGCTTTAGGAGCTTCTACAGTGATGATGGGATCTCTTCTGGCAGGTACTTCGGAAGCTCCAGGAGAGTACTTTTTCTCTGATGGAGTTAGACTAAAGAAATATAGAGGAATGGGCAGTTTAGAAGCCATGGAGAACAAAGACGGAAAAGGCTCTGCCATGAGCCGCTATTTTCATAAAGAGTCAGATAAACACCGGGTCGCTCAAGGAGTAAGCGGCAGTATTGTGGATAAGGGTTCAGTGCTGCGATTCTTGCCCTATCTCCAAACAGGTATGCAGCATAGCTGTCAAGATTTGGGAGCTAAATCTGTCGCAAAATTGCGGGAAATGAGTTACTCGGGAGATCTAAGATTCATGAAAAGAACATATTCCGCTCAACTTGAGGGAAATGTCCACGGTTTGTTTTCATACGAAAAAAGATTATTTTAAAACAAGCTGGCAATCTGCTCCGCTTCAAACATTGTGATATAAACATCATTGTCATCATAGATATATATAATAAGCAAAATATGGAAGGCACTGTTGTTGTATTTGTATATTGAGAAACTGAGTTGTTGGCTGGCAAATGTTTTCTAATCAATGTTTTGATTAAATAAATATGTATTATCACTTTTGTAACTATCACAACTTGTATATTTTATGAAATATTATTAAAATTTAAGCTAAAATATGTTTAATTTTTATTGAATCACCAAGTTTATTGGAAGATAGATTAAAAACCTCTAACAATGAAAACCATAAACAGACCTTCACAAAAAAATAAAGAGTGTTCATATTTAGCTTTACTATTGTATTCCTAAATTGGATTTAGTTTAACCTGGTTTATCATTTGTAGGTGTGCACTGACATTAATAGGGTTTTAAGACAATGTAATAATAACGTGGCGTTGGGTACGCCACGTTATTACTATGCCATTTGGCAAGTTGTTTGAACTAAGCTGTATCTCCAAAACCGTGGTAGGTAGGTAGAGTTGACAATTTCTGCAAGCATGTATGTTTGTCGTCGTTATTACAATTAATTATAGAAATAATCTGGTGGGGGAAAAGCTCCCTCGCAACACCGCGATATCTTGGCTCTATATCAATTATCTATTTAAAATCCAAAGGATTAGAAAAAGTGCAATTTGTTGTTTAGGTGAAAGCGACAAACCTACAGAATGAAGAAATAATATATTAAAAAATCGCTAATTGCGTATCCAACTGACGAAGGGCTTCAGAAATGAAAGTCGACAGTATTTCTAATAATCACATTTTAATGGAATTATAATATGCAGAAGCTGCGAACGCATGCGCGAGGCATGTCAATAAATATTGGGTGCTAAATAACTTAATAGTTAATACAAAAATTATTAAATGTGCTAAGAGCTACGGTTAAAGACTGGTGCGTCCGCTTTCCATACTATTATAATTGCACACGTTTTTCTCTTCACTGTCAGTCTACGATCGATTACATGATAGAAACAAAATCTTTCCACGTTTTTAACAATTTCATTGCCAGATCGAAACGAGATATGCCACCAGACCTATTTATGTTATACATAAAACGCCCCTTTTCAAAATAAATAATACAAAATTAGCTAAAAGTTTTCTCGTCCCTCGGGCCCCCCCGCACCAGCCGGAATGCACGACGTCAAGCGACCAAAGCGTATTGAAAATTGCTAAAGAATAATCCTAGGTATAAAAGAAGCACTCTCTCGCGTGTCCGCCGACCGAGCTGCGGAGTCGAGGGAATCGGCCGCTTATACTAAGTTTAAATGCTGAATAACGTGAACTACTCATTCGATACCGGTCTACTCGTTCGATGCTAGAGAATTGTGCTCGATTACGTACTGCACTCGAGTTCGGGTAACACGCAAGAGTGTGCGGCGAGACAGAGAAACGAGACTCGCGGCGCTCACTCCTCGTTCTTCTGCTCGTCTTCGTCGTCGATCGTCCTTTCGAAGTCGGGGCCTGGCGTGGCGTCGTCTTCGAAGACGATCTCTTCGGGGTCGGGGGCTCGCGGCAGGAACTCCTCGCCCGGGCAGATTTTCTTGAAAATTTGTTCGGCCTGAGAAAAAAAGCGTACACTATTTCACGACAATTACTTTCGTTAATTTGAACTGGACTAGTCGAAACGGGTTCGTGGAGGAAATCTAAAAATATATCAATTAGAAATTCAAATTAATGTCGCTTCGACTGGTTTTCTTCAAATCTAGTATATATATTATCGTAAATTCTATCAATATTTATAAGAGCCGAAGAAGAAAAAACCGCTTATCTATGTTTCTAGCCAATATCGCCGACAGAGGTTAATAGGTAAGTTGTGGTTCGTATGTTACTAATCGTTCCTTTTATGTTAACTAATGCGATTAAAAAACCTTATTCAACAGAGTTAATTATTGTGCAATATTAAGATATTTCACAATCGTATCGAAACGACTTTCGATTCAATTGAAATGAATTGCATTTTGCGGCGAAATTTACCGCAAGACAACACCCACCGGATTAAGTGTAACGCGATGCCGTTGGGTTGCCGATGGGTGTTAAGTTATAAGCCACAACGATACCTTGACAATTCTTAGTACCTCGAATTCCTCTCCCTCTCATCTATACTAATATATAAAGCTGAAGAGTTTGTTTGTTTGAACGCGCTAATCTCAAGAACTACGGGTTTGAATTGAATTATTGTGTTAGTTAGAGCATTTATCGAGGAAGTGACTAATAAAAGAAGATACAGCGGGAAATGTGAACAAAATTGGGAAAAACATTCACGATTATGGGTTTCCGAGGCGTACGCTGCGAAAACGTTTCAAGATATCTAAAAAATGTGTATGAAGAATGATTCCTCTTTAAATTATCTAAAAAAAGTCCGCGACGTTATATGTCTATCTTTTAAGATTAACTTGCAAGAACGACGGGAAGGGACGCGATCGACGTCGAGGCTAACAGCTTAAGTTTATAAAGGTGACGGGGTTTGCAAATATTAACTTGGATGCCCAAAATATCGATTCTCGCAGACGAAGTCGCTGGTCCAGCCAGTAAGCAATAATACGAATACTAACTCACCAATGCCAATTTAAACATTAAATGTTTGCATGTCTTAATTAAAACGAGTTAAACTGTTTTAATTACATTACGGAGTTGAATTACTATTATGTGAATAATCACGCGATTGTCTATATTATACATGAAGGTAGTTTTTTGCAAATACAGAAATATGAGAACCTAAGTACCGAGCGCGTAATTGGGAACGGATGGATTTCTTATGTTGCAGCAACTCAATCACTGTAACCGACACGTTACCTGTATTCAATGAATTGCAAACTTATACACGCGATTAAAAAGGAATTCATTACTAAAATTACGACAACATTACACTGTAGGTTTTATTTGCGAAATTTTCAAATTTGTTTAGATTTTAAAAAAATGAGAATCGAACGCGACTCGAATCTATTACCGTATTATTACGAGCTGTTGCTCTACCAATTGAACTACCGCGTCCCGTGTGACGACGATATATACGCGCATTTCACATGCAATAACAAAGCAATAGATTTATATTAGTGATCATGAGAATTACAAAACAATCTAACTCTTACTTCTTTACTAAAAAGTACAATTCATAGGTTTATTTGAGTATAAATAAGTCTTGTAGTTTGATATGGTCGAGAACAAACATGATTCAACATGTATCCTAACTATCTCTCCTAACCTACTAGTTCTAGATTATATACAGGTGCCGCCGTTCAATTTACCGTTGCTACCTTCTGTTTATATTATCGCGATTGGGACGCGTACACTCTAATACTTTCCTGACGATCATTTTAGGAAGAAGACTCTCCAATACAACGAACTTTTGCTAATCTCACTTGGGAACTATTCTTAGATAGCTTCGACCTTTTTCTTCTAGGCATATTGCTATGAAGGATATTTATTTGTTTTTTTCTTTGACTTCAGTAGCGTACCGTCATTCGTGCAAGTTAATTTTAAAATAACATTAACTTTTGCGGATTTTCTTTAAACATTCATTAATACATATTTTTTTAGATATCTTAAAACATTTTCGCAGCGCACACAACGGAAACTCTAAAAGATTTTCCACCTTTTCCAACGTTACTACAGTCCTGTTGAAGCTCCTGGCTCTAACCGACACAACACATTTTCAATTCGAGCCAGTAGATTAATATAGATTGCTTTATTCAAGGGTATATAGCAAAAGCATATAATAATAATACTGATTTCAATATTTTGTATAATTTTGTACCTGTTCCACGGCCCGGTCGAAGTCGAGGCCGGCATCGGGGCCGGAGCAGACGTGCACGTTGTCCGCTAAGCTGGCCACGGGGGCGCTGCTGTCGTGCGCGTTGTAGAACACCGACCAGAGACACTGACGACAAACCGAACGACATTAGCCTTAGGTTCCAATTCCGAGGAGACTCGATAAAATGCATAGCAATATTAAAATGAACCTTAGGTTTTTCTGCTGGCTCATTTTGGTCACCTCCGCTCATGTCGAAGATCCTTTGAGCGTAGGGCATCAGGTCGGTCTCGGCATCCGCGGTCTTATTCGCGATCATGTAGACCACGACTGGAACGATACAATAAACTTATAATCATAAATATTGTATATTTTGCAATGACGTATCTTGCCCGGAAAGCTAATTCAATACCTGCTAAAGTTGTGTTTTTATGAAAGTTGAATGACTTCGCAGTGATTCACCCTTTATTGCCCGTTTTTTGGGCTTCACATAAAAAACTAATTGCTTCAAGGTACAATAAAAACAACAAAAGCGCTAAGAACTACGTCAACTTGTTATCAACAGATTATACTGGTGTTTCCTACATCTTTTAAAGTGAAATCTCCGAACTGACTCCCCACTTACATAAGCCCTTCGGGCAGGATCCCGTAGCCGGTCCCACTTCCAGGACGGTGACGCCGTGTTCGGCGCCATCCAGCGGCGGGAACCTCAACAACGTGAGCGGCTCTTTCTCGCTGGACATAATAGTCCCGTTCGTGACAAAGACGGCTTTGGATATGTCCGTACATTCGACCGGCTCCGGGGAGATCAGGTCTTTGGGACACTCGTTGATGCCTATGACGAGGTGGTCGCAGTTTAGCGTATTGGATCTACTTTCGATCACCACGACGGACTTTCCTTCGTCTACTACTTTGTGCTCCACTTTGTCAATCGGGCGGTTGAGGCAGTACACGCCCCCGAATACTGCACACAGTCTGTAAGAGCATAGAACGACTACTATAGCAAAACGTGGCGAGGGCGAATATATTACTTTATTGGATGAATAATGTCTAATATTTTTTTTTTAGTTTCTTTTCAGTAATAATAGTTCCTTAAGAGTACGTTGAGAACCATTGAAACTCGACTCCCTTACTATACAGATAGTGTAAAAGGAGCCAACTCGGCCGTGCGCAGGTAGAAAGTGTTAGTGATGCACATCTAGGCCAGTGAACGTCGGCCGACGCCGCTTTCATGGTCCACCATTTTCACGATGCATTTCAGTTTACTATTTCTCTATTTCAAGTATCTACGTTGAATAATTTATACCTACTTTATTAATTTGACAGCAGATTATATTGCGCATAATCAACGGGTCGTGGGTTCGATCACCATGTGCGATCGTGTGGAAATCTAGACATTAAATGGGCGGTGGGAATATCCACATCTTTCCGTGTCATGAACCACCGTCCACATATGAAAAATACAATGAAGAGTAATCGCGTTTCGGTTACAGTCTATGCGATTTCCGAACATCCAAACCCAAAATAGGTCGACAGCGCATTTTGTTTAGATGTTATATGGGATGGGGGACTGGGATATTTCACCTACCATCGAGTGAAGCCTACCTTGTCTGTGGTTAATCGTTAATAAAGACACCCAGAAAATACAGTACATACAGTAACACCCAGAACAAGTTAAATAAAACACAGCAACAAAAATTAAGCAGCCAACGGATTATTAGTGGTTTAATCATATTCTACGATTATACAACGTTCATGTAGAATTCCACGGTACCAAACCTCTTTTTTAACCGCACGTAACGAGCAGATATTCATAAGCCCGTTTGTAGACACGCGGTATAACTTCGTTGTTGTTATAAATACTTGTTGCTCAACTCTTTGTGAGCTTTTGTACTAATATGTAGTAAGTTTATAATCATCGTGAGTTATGAAACTAAACGAAATGTAAACGGATCGATGGCACTGACCTGCAGAAACACTGGGGCAATTCCCCGCTTCCGTACATGGGCCACAGGAACGGAGTGTTGCCGTAGCGACCGAGGCTCATCAAGAACTTTTTGGACTCCCTGACCCCGTCCCGGCAGTTCATCTTGTCGGAGCCACCCGCGATCGCGAACAGCACGTAATGGATGAGGTTCGGCGTCAGACCCTTGTGGGTTAGGTAATCCTTGAAGGGCTTCTCGTTCCAGTCTATCGAAATTTATCTCTGTTAAGGACTGTAGTCTCATTTACGAAACGCCACGTGAAAGCGAGCGATGGGCGAACCTTTGAACTCCTGTTCCATTTCTTCCTCGGTGTTGCCGACTATGGCGGTGAGCATCTTCATAAGTTGTCGCTTCTCGAGAATGCTGACTGTTTCCGTGGCGAAGACGTCGGCGCGGGAGCAAGGTACCGGCGTGAGGCGGTCGTCCAGCCAGGTCAGGACGCGGGTCACGCATCGGAACTCCGCGTAGCGCGCGATGTTGGACGAGATCAAGAGCTCCACCAGAGGTCCTCGGGAGAACAGCAACTGTTACGAAATCGGATATAGGGTCTCGGGGTCTTTAAACATTACTAAGTATTAACCATATTGGATAACAAACTTTCGTCTATACATTCATATACTCTGAAATTGGCTCCGCATTCTCACTGATCCCTCTTCATATCATTTTAGAATAAAACATATTTGCGACAATATATATCATTATTTTTAATAATCAAAGTTTTAGTTATATATTTAATAATAAGGTTATTATTTAAACTAATCTTCTTATAAAAAGTCAAATAACTGAATCGATCACTATTTTACCAGCAAGTACCGTTATTATTGTATCCAAATTTGGTTGAAATAAATGCTTATATAACCAATTTTTTGTTAGAGTTATATCGACATAATAATATTAATCTAGGAAACATCCAAATAACGTTTCACGACTCAACTAGTGAACAAATGTGCAATATTTCGGGATCAGAATCTATCTTGATTACAGTATGTGATAAAAGGAGTCGTTAATTAAAGACGGCGCTTTTGATTATAATGCTTACTCTAATATTGTTTTGCTTGTTTTTCTTGAATGCAGTAAAAAATAATTGTCGCATTAAAAATATCAAAGAGACGTTTACAATATTTTGGAAATTTATTACGGCGATCATTTTATATAGCTTAGGTCAGGCGCCTATTCAATGTTCACGAAAGCGTCAACGGGGAATACGAAAACGCGGACACTTTATTACGACGGTATTATAAGAGTTATATATCGATTATAAAGTGCTGCTCGATAAAATCGACATTTAATTTACATAGTGCCATCATGTGCAATAACATGCGAAAGATATTATAGTTTTCAAAAGATAAGAGCTTAGAATCTTTTATTTTCTTTCTTTTAATGCTGAATCTTTCTTAGAAATTTTAAAATGTACTTTAAACTTATATTACTTACCTTTTTTTTTAACTATATGCCTATATGTTATTTCAAAATTAAAAACCCATTTTCGATCTTTGACATGACTTTCGTTTATATTGTTAATAATGCATCGCTTTGCATGTAATAAACGGAATATTTTTTAGGAAGTCATTAAAAATATTTGGACCAGGAGGTGGTTGAGAGCGACCATTACGTTTAACAGGCGTGGCGACTTTTTATATAATGCTTACGGCGCGACCCATTTCAAGGTTGAACGCGAATATTAGCTCAGCTGCATACTACAATGAAACCTAAAGCATCGGCACAAAATCTGAAATGTGAATTTGTAGTGAAATAGGCCACTCCCTTTTTTATTGTTCTGGGGAAGCTCGTTGTAGTCGATACAATTTAATAACTTATAATTGCCTACCATTTAACCAAAGACATTAAATTTTGACCACTAGTAAACACTTCCTAAAAATTCTAGACCTAATCAATAATTTCACACTTTTCATTACATCGCGATATATTTCCACAATATTTGGACTTAATCAAAATACTTAACGGTTTAGTACGCGTAATCTATTGGTTAATGCAGTAACAATTTATTTTAATTATAAGCCGACGTCTCGGCTGCTGTGCAAGTTATAATTTTACCCGTTTGAAAATGTTAAAGGTGTTTTATTTGAATTTTTATTACTCACATAAACTACAGACAATACTTTTATTTGTAGTGTGTGAATCGAGCAATTTTGTTTATATCAGTATACCTCAACATATTCCATTAAAAATGTTTGTTTGCCGTTTTCAGTGATTCATATCCCTCAATCTGTCGCTTATGAACCACTTTAAACTGTTTTTGGTAATTTTCTAATGACCCAGTATATACCTAAAGGGTAACTAGAATTTTTAATCTTTACATTTCTAAGTGAGCAACATGTCTGTTAAATAAATTCTAATATTAGAACAACACCCAATTTCACATGCCCCCTGACACAATTGTATGTTCCTGGCAGATGACACATACCTTGGGGGTCATGTCGATATTAAACTTTCTATATTCGGCTGCAAATTTGGTTTGACTCCAAACCTTCTTTGGGGGCTCACTTTTATCTTCAGTCTTGCTCTCTTCGGCTTCTTCAGGGACATCTCTGGACAGAAAGGAAATACTGATTAATCTAAATAAGAACACATTTTTGTGGTAACACAGAAAACATACTGCAGTGTTTGATAGGTTAATACTAAATGGATACTGGAATGTAAAGAAGCCTATGTTTATAAGGAATTGTGTTAACATCATTCCTCATAATCTGATGTCTTCATAGAGACATTGGTCAAATCAAATCAAAAAATTTTTGCTCCAGATGGAACTTTTTACATTACTTACAAAACTTACAATGAAGAATAATATATGTCAATAGGGCTAAAATTCATTACTCTATTTTCTCTCTTTTTACATCTGTAGTACAATCAAAGTGAGTTTAATTCTAACACATTAAATTCTAGGTGACACAATAAACTGTGCTTACTTTTCAATGTACCATTTTTCACTGAGATTGTATACTTGCTCCTTTCTCTTGGGGTCAGAGTTGACTTCCTTAATAAACTTCTGTAGACCGTCAAAATTATAAGAAGCCCATAAACCCCCATAATGATCACTAGAGTCCAAATGAAGAACGTTTTTACCAATCCTACTGCATGCTGCGGCTACAATGGATTCCACCATTCCTAAGGAGTTAATCCAATTTTAAAATTGATTTTGTTTATGTTAAAAATAAATTAATTTATTAATAAAATCTATAGTCCATTGTACACAAGTCATGAAAAATGTATATATTTCGCGTTGTAGAGATTTATTTAAACATAATATAAATTAAAAATATTGGGCGAAACAGACAAAAAAAATGGGGCGAGACTTTAGGGAGGTGGCAGTTTTGGCAAACAAGAAAACTACAACAAAGAGCAAATAGACATCTAAATGATAGTGATATTAACAACATTGACATATCTTGTAATATAACTGTACATTTATTTAAAGATGAGGTCTAGCTTAACTTAAAATCGATACTATAAGTAGGCTGCCTTTCGCCATTACAGCCGGCATATCTCTAATATTAAAGAGTGTGTGCAGACAACTCACCCGTCCCGACGACGATAACTTGGAAGTCACTCGGTAAATCGTCGTCCATTTTATTAATTCCTAATTTCACGATATATTATTAAATATTAATAAATTAGAAAACTATTAAGTAAGAAAAATGCGCTAGTGATACAAAGGGTTTTACTATCTCTGACGTTGTTGTCTCTTTGACATCTTTTAGTTTTGACACAACATCTTTAATTCGCTGACATTGACAGTTAAATTGTGACGTTAATTCGTAACAAGTAGGCTTTGTAATCTGTGTATAGGCCGTACAAACCTTTAAAATTTGATTTTAACCCAAAGACACCAAATAAATAACATATTATATAATAATAATAGTTACATTTTTATTCAATCTTAATATTTATAAAAGGCTTTAATAGAAAGAGTACCTACGTAGTATTTTTAAATTTTAATGGATGTTTTAATGCAGCCAGTGGTTTTTCTACCGAAGAAAGCACTTATAGCCATTGACCTGAAATTATTAAAGAAAACGTTTTCCATAGTTTCTCGTTCGTTAAATATATAAGGTAATTTTAATGTATCTAGATTTAAAAAAAAAACAAACGGAACCTTATTTATTGTAATACCTACTTATGAAACACGCCTCTTTGAATTAAAAATCTAACGCTTCAACTTTTTTTTGGGTGGTAAAAATTGAAGTCATAAATTGCTTCCTCGGACATAAAACAGCCGCAAGCCACAACTCGGCGGACGTGATGGGCGTCATTTCTATTTACTCTCGAGGAAGAATAATTTACGAGTCATATTTAATAATTTTATTACACATCCATCTTCGTTTACAACGAAAACCGAAAACGCAATAAAAATGAAACAACAAACTCGTTTTTTATATATTTACAATATTTTTACGTACATTTCAACATTTTACAGACTACAGGAGCTCTTTTTTATTCGAGCAACGAACAGTTACATAAACTAACACGTACATCTAAATCGAATAAAAACGACCGGTGTTAGTTAATCTACTGAACCCGCTCTACACGGGAGACGGTACACTAGAATCAATAGAATCCTCGTGCCCACATTCCATAACACAACTCTACCTTTACGGAGACATATTGGCAGTTTTCGTAAAAAAAGTAGGTACCTTAACATATTTATGTAATTATCGGTAAAGCAAGCGAAAATCATTTTAGGCCGCTTCTTGAATCTATTGTTGAGAAAGGCGATTTAAGATTGTTTATAGAGATTGCATTGTTAGCATTTTGTTGAAAATAATATTTTGTATACTTTTGCTATTCAGGTAAGCACAGAAGATGTCATAACGTTCTAAAAAACATGTTGTCTGAATACAGTACCTTTTTATTTAAAAAACTAACATTTTAACGCAGAAACACCTTCTTAGACACAAAAAGCAAAATCCGAATAAACAAGATTGACATGAATAATCGATGTCTAGATAGATAATTACTTGTAGATACGTATATAACAAAATCATATAATTGATATCAACCACAAATCAGGTCACCATTCTGTCGATGTTCTTTTCAGCCGTACTTCCGCCACAACGAAATACTACAACGCAATAACCACCGACTATAGGTTCGCAGACATACGAGGCCATTGTGCGTGTAATAATATTATAATATAAAATGATATAAAGTACAAATGTAGGGAAATCTTAACTATTTACATTATTTAAACTATACTACTACAAAAGATTAATTCGGTAAATTCTTTATTGAAAATTTCCCAAGAACACTAATCGGCGTACCTAAACCAAGCGACACGAAGTAATCGTAATAATGACTTTGAGAACCACTCGCCAGTCAAACCTTATCTTGCCTCTGTACCGAGAATCGGCGTTTTCTATTAGTATTTTCAATCCAATACATAATAGCATGCTCGATTATGTAACTTTAACTAAGGCAACTACAAGCTATTCTATTCTCCGCCTATGTGAGAACAACCAGAAACATAAATTTATTTATTTTCTATCATTATAGATAACCGGATATCAGGATATTTTATCCTAATTAGGGTGTAATATGTTTATACTTTTGCCGAAATAAAACATCGATCGGACGGTAAGGATGAGGTTCTCGAAGTGTGGATTGCTATATTTAGCGTTTTTTGATATAAAAATAAATATGATGATTTTTAAGTTTCAAAACTATATAATAACGGTTTCACTGAAACGGCCAAAAATTTAACTTTTCGCATTTTTTCTAAAAACAGCAACATTCCAATACATCAGTTAAATAACAAAAACAAATTACACACCTAGTATAAATATTTTATTGAATTGTTAAAATACCAACAGACCAGACAACCGATTATTATAATATGATAGTATTTAATACGCCAATATAATTTAAAATTAAAAAAAAAACTGATTTTGGAAAACTATTTATGGACTAATAAATTTTTCTTGAATCCGTTTACCTAAACGCATACCTAATAAATGATATGTGAAGCGATTAAAAATGATATGTGTTTAAATCAACCCACGGTCTGATATGTAGATATTTTAAGTATTCAAAATTACTTAATAACATTTATTTACTTAAATAACATTCAACATAGCTCTGCGGTGACTAGAATAATGTTTCACGAGAATGTGAGGCACGGTCGAAGCTAGAGGAGCAGACGGGCCGGGTGGTGAGTTCCGTGCAGTCCGGTGCGCCGACCTCTGTAACTCCACCGCTATCTGTCGAAAACTGCTCGACTTCGTCATCGGTGGAATCGGCTTCGTCTTCAGCGAACACGGAATCCGCTCCCACAGAGGCGATGTCGCTCTCTACGGCGAACGACGCACCTACGCTGCCGACCGAAGCCAAGGGAGCTAATCTTTCACTAGGACAGGGCGAGAGGCGCCGCTCCGGAAGCGCACACACCACCGACGAACCGCGTCTCTCTAAATAGGAACTGCCCGAACTAGAACAAGTCGCCGAACTGAGACGGCGATCGCGCGGTCCGCCCGAAAAGCGTCTCTCACTAAATTTTAAAGCCGACCCGGGTAAGGAGTCTCTGTGCGAAGCCGAAAGTCTCCCGGGCGGTGCCAACAGACTGCCGTAGCCGCCGCCGTACGACGAAAACCTCGACGTCCGCGGCCACGACGGATCTTCGCTCAACGAGGGGCGAGACCTAGCTCGTTCCGACAGAGCTTCCTCTATCGCCGCGTTCAGCTGCCTCTCCTCTTCGACGGCCTGCTCCTCGGCCACGACGGCCTCGGCCAGTTCGACCAGTTTCGGATCGTTCAGGGCTTTCACCGATTTACTGCGGCTCTTGTACACGATTAAAAACACCATTAAAGCAAAAAAGCCACCCAACGTGGCGGCTATTCTGACACCGGTCATGACATCGTACGTAGCGTAAAATTCGATCCGGACTCGGTCTCTCTCGGCCTGGGACCGTTCTGTGGAATTCTCCGTTGCGCTCGTCTCCGCGTCGGCCCATCCATCTCGGTTCTCCATCGCGCGGTTAGATGTTCATTTCCTGTAATGAAAAACGTGCCCGTTATGTCAATATGAATACAAAATATACGGAGCAGATAACAAGCTTACGAACATATCCGAAAACCCGTTTAGATAACATTAATAGATCCATACTATCTATCTAATGACACAGCCAGCCGTAAAATATTTATTTATTGTGAAGGTGGAAAACCTAACAACAACGTAGCCTCCGAGACAATTTCCGTTTTCTAGTTACTGTTTAGCGGCGAGTAGCGACCGAGCCATCGTCATAACTAGGGCATAATTTTAAACTTATTTTGCTCGATCTTTACGGTCCAGCGTATTAAAATGCAACTTGTGTAATTCTTAAAAAAATACCTTTTCCTTTCCCGCTACAACTATTGTCAGCGGACTTTAAACTTTTTGCGATATAATTTGTTTAAAAGGGCCAAAATAACAGAACCGACGCGATAACGTAACTAAGCGTTATTATTATTTTAGCAAAAGACAAATTTCAAGTTAAGATTAACGATACGACAACAAATGCTAAAATAGCCGTTATTCAAATTACATCGCAGTTGACATCAGTATTCATCTTTCGCGGAAACTTATAAATAACCAAAGAGACGAAAGTCGTTTACATTACATTTTAAGAATACTGGGAAAATGATAAAAAAGCAAGGGCGAGTTCTAATCTAATAGTCCCCGTAAAATGAACACGGTTTGGCTCCGAGCATAATGAATCCATTTATTTATTACTACGCATTCGTTATAATCGAAAACTAATGTGTTCGTGCTATTTTCGAAAATCATAAATGCCCTCGAGTGATCACATCGTGTAACGCGAGTATTTCAAATTCAGTACATTCACAACTTTTAGAAAATAAAGACAATTTAACGAGCATTGGAAACGATAAATAGGTCGATTGCGCGTCTGCAAAATATCTTTTTGGTTAGAACGTCATCATCACACAATTTGGATGTATTGGCAAACCCAGGAAAGACCCCGGACGTACGCTGAATATACGATGCTTTGAATTACGATTTGATCGAGAAAATCACACCCTAATCAATTCAACAATGATGCGACGATATATAATGATTCCAATGCATTACACTTGCATGTTTACATTGCATCCGACCAGGATCGTATGCGAGCGTTATACCTACGTGAAAACATTTTCCACATTAAGAAAGAAATAAGATTGAGAAGAAAGACTGTTTCAAACAAATAACAAATCATTTTTTTTACATTGTTTAGAATAGTGTACAGTATTTTGAATGCATGCACTAAATAAAAGTTGCTGTAATAAAAAAGTAAATTACAATTACTAAAACATAACATTGAATGAAGTGAAGTATAACAGCTATAAACAGCATGCACTGGGAACAAACAGTATGAACTCAACACAATGCACCTAAATTTAGATTGGATATATGAAGTGTAGATATGGGATTTTAACATAAATAGGTCTCAAATGTTCCACAAGGCATATGCAACAATTAAGTGTATTATGTAAGTTATTATTAATTTATGTTTGTCATCATTTACATTGTAGTATTTTATTTTTTTATAATACTTGTTTCCCTTTTTAGAAATACAATTAAACATAATTCTCATAAAAATTGTATTATAATTTTATTGAGAAAATACAATAGTATCAAAAAACATGCAAGAAATATGTATTATTTAGAAGCTGGCAATGTACACATCTAAAATGAGCAGACTAAAAGTTAAATAATATTTACCACACCGAGAGCGTGCGACCACCGCTAAAATTAATAACAAATACTGTGAGAACCAAACTCTTATTCTTATGTTCATTTCCTTAGTATTTCTGTTTTGTTATAAGTGCCTCCAACAATCCAAAAAAGTACACAAGACAAATTCATTTTTTACGCCACTTATTTGTTATCTAACCATTTTAAAACAAATACTCGATTAATTTAGCATAGGTAACATAAATAGATAAGTATTTAATTTATATACATATAATTATTTTTCACAAATTTTACTATATCTTTTATTTCAAGTAGTGTAATACGTGTGCGTTCTTAAAAGGGAAAATTAACGACGAAAGAATTTATAATAATCAGTTTGAAATAAATAATACATAAAATGAATTCAATCCTATTTTTTTATAACAATCCACTAGGAATCACTTCACAGCTTATAATTTCAAACCATCACCTCGCCTCTATCGACAATTTGACACTGGATGAATTATTGTGACTCTTGATCATATACAAAGAGCCTGAATATAGAGTATGTAATATATTTTTTTACTACATCTGTCCACAGATTACATATGTGATTTCACGAATACCGATTTACAGGGAGTTAACAGATTATATACAGATTGTGAATATAATCTTTAATAATGATAAAATGGTTGTGAACTTATGATTAACTTCCTGTCAAATCTGTAGTTGTAAATAGTACTGTTTTTGTTATAACCCTGTTAATTAAAATTAAGTATTAATTATTGTTAAGAAATTTGTATTGTGACCTACTTAATAACACGGTAACACAAATAGATATGTCTAACGAGTGGAAAGAATATGTGAGTGATCCGAGAACAATTTGCAAATATGGAGCAAAATGTTATCAGAAAAACCCAGATCATCACAAGTCATATAAACACCCCCCAAATTTGAAAGCCAAAGGCAAGGATCGCCAAAGAACACGGTTTACACCATACGATAAAAAACCTTTCAAGGCAGATTCAGAAGATGTCAAGCCACAATCTCAAGACGCTATTCTGGACTCCGTTACCAATGATGATACATGTGCGGAAAAGCTTTCAGATTCGACACCTTCACCTAATAATTCTAAGGAAGCTAATAGACTCATCGAAGACAATCATGATAATTACTACGGCAAGGAGACAAATAATAACATATATAAAGAGTGTTTTCAAGTAGAAATGCCAGATGACTTCTTCAAATTTTATGAATGTCTTAATGAAGAGTCATCATCCATTGAACACTTAATGGCTAGTGTCAACTTAGAAATGATTGGACCATTTGATTTATTACTTGGAAAATTACCAAAACTAGACAACAAGGATCTATATTTAGTTCATTGGAGGTTTTTTTATGATGTTCCAGAATTTCAGGTATTCATTTAATCATAACAAAAGGGAAAAATACCTTTGTTATGTTTTTTTAGAAAATCTAGTCTTATATTTATCTGATTCTAGGCTGTTTTGAAGAAAAAAGGCAAAAGTGAATTGCATATAGGATACTTTAGAGATAATCCTAATGACAAACCTGTTTTTTTAGCCAAAAATGATAGCTCTAAGGATTGTATTATTACCCCTGTTGCAGAAAATATTTTTGCTGCAGTATAGTAAGTTACTTTTTCTTCATTTATTGGCACATTCTATTCACATTGTTATATTAGCAAAATAAATATAATTTTAGCTGGTTTTTGCAAAATGAGAAGTCATCATCTCCATTCATGTCTATCGCTTGTCAGAAGCTGTCTGAGAAAGTTAAAAAATGGGGCGAAAGCAACGGCTACAAAGTGGAAGAATATGAAAAAAAGAGTAGAATCAAGATCCAAATATGCAAGACATTTCATGGAGCCGGTATAGTTGTGCCTTATAATAAGAAAACTCAGATCGGCTATAGGAAATTGGTTGAATCAAATGGTATGTAATCTTAAAGCTTGGTTTTTTTTCATAAGGTAAAGAGGTTTTTTCCTGAGGATGTTAATTGATATTATTCATGCCATTTCAGCCAACATTAAAAAAATGTTTCAAAAACTAGAAGAGGCATCCGGAGAGGCAGAGAAAAGTAAAGTGTTGTCAGAAATTCAACCTCTGATAACTTACTCTAGTATAGCGTTAGATGAATGTGATTTTGGAACCGGCCTGGAGGCAGGGATGGCCCTTTTTTGTTCTGGAATACAAGAACTGCAATCAAGTGCAACAAGCTTATTGTCGTCTTCATACACTTTACTCAAAAGAGAAGAATTTGCAAAAATAATACAGGTTTTATATTTTTGTTTTTTGCTTTCAAGTTTTCCACTGATAATCCATAAGGGAATCACCTAGCCTATTTGCTTTGATCTGGCAGTGTTCCTATTTTCTTTGCTTTTAAGTTTACTGAAAATTCATAAGGGTCCTCAATAATTCAGGTTCATATGAAGCACCGACGAAAGGGCCCCGATGTTGCATTGTGGGGAAATAAAATACAATAAAATGAAACTGCAAGTCAGATGAAACTTAATCAGTGGTGGAGTATTGATTTTAAATAAATGTGTATAGAGTAATGTATAAATAAAATATCAGAACAATTCTGCTTTTATTGATTGACACAGTATTTATGGTACAATTTGGAAACAGGGAACAATAAGGAATGTATAAATTTCAACAAATTAATGCCAACAGTATTTTATACATTGAGACCAACAAAAACATGTAAACTTTGCTTGATATAAGACAAATTTGCTAACAACAGTCGAACAATTCAATCTGTATATACCAATAACTTTTTTTAATATATCAATCAAAAACTCGTTCACTCAAATATTGTCCATTTTGAATTTGTGATAAAGTTATTTGTTTATCTTAAGGCAAAAAGTAGGTTGGAATTTAGAGGACATCGACCAGTCTCATTCCTTGGGTTTGTCGGCGGAAGTGAGGTGTAGAAACAGCGATATCGGACAGTGGTCACTGCCATACACTTGGTCACGAATGACGCTGTCGCACAGAGAGGGCAGCAGCCTCTCTGAAATGATGAAGTAATCCAGGCGCCTGCAGGTAAAATGGTTTGAGATTAAAATAAAGTAAAATTTTATTATTTAACACCAACTGAAAAATGTTGTTTACATGACACGCTAAGATTTAACTTAAGTTCTCAGATAGAAACATTGCTTAAGATGAGTTACTTCAGCACGGCACTGATTGTGCTGGTGCCCATTCCTTAACACTGCTTTCGGTAACAGAATGTAATCGATATTTCACTGACCATCCGACGTTTTTCGCTCGGCTGTTGAACATGTAGCTCCAGAACGTGTAGGCGCCGCTTTTGTCAGGGTAGAGGAGGCGGAATGTGTCCACGAACCCGTCACCGAGCAACTCCGTCATACCCGCGCGTTCCTCGTCCGTGAAGCCGGCGTTTCTCTTGTTGCTCTTGGGATTAGTCAGATCTGTAAAAAAATATTGCTTATCTACTATCCAATCCTAAATGGACCAAATGTTTAATTTGCCTCAGTCAAATGTAATTCTTAATACGACGAGTAATACCTATTTCATTGTGCGATACGTTCATGTCTCCACATATGATGACGGGTTTCTTTTCGTCCAATGTCTTGACGTGTTTTCGGAACTCCTCGTTCCACTTCATCCGTTTGTCTAGCGTTACCAGTTTCCTTCCGGAGTTCGGTACATACGTACAGATAAGATAGAATTGTTCATATTCTGCTGTTATAATTCTGCCTTCGTCGTCGAGCTCTTTATTCTGGAGGCCGTACTGCACGTTCATCGCTAGCTTTGTAGTATATATGCCCACGCCGGCGTATCCTTCTTTCTCACTGCACAACCAGTAAGCGTGGTAACCGGGAATATTTGTCACTTCTTCTGGCAGTTTATCACGCGAACACTTGATTTCTTGTAAGCACAGTATATTAGGCTTTTCGTGAGCGATGTATTCCAATCCGCCTTTGCCCAGCCAAGCCCGGATCCCGTCTACGTTCCAACAGGATATTTTTATATTCCATTCTCTGTTTTGTGCGTTTTTTGAAGAATTACTAAAATCGATCTTGTCATACTGCGTCGATGACTTGTTAGTCGTCTTTTTAGTGTCACCTCCTGAAAGGAAACATTCATTAAGATTTTTCCAATGTTTTAGCTTAACTTAATCTTACGATTGCCTAAACCATAAATCATTACCTATTTTTCATAACTAAACACTCTTTATAGACAGGTAAAATACTTACACCATTTTGATCTAAAGTGAGCAAATTTTTTTCATGTCCTTGGCGTGTTTTGAATTTTTGCATAGTTTAAGGCGCGACCCTATGTAGTCCTACTTTTTAAATATACACTATTTTACACAAGCCGAACACATACAAATACTACTGGAAGCGGTACACTGGCTTCAGCAATATACTGTTTATATGACATCATTGTAAAGTATTTATTAATTATACATTCAGAGAATAATTCTCTTTCTGGTAATAATTGGGCATGGTGGTTAATATTAGAATATGTAAATCTCAGTAGATTCTATGATTTTTGTTTTAGAAAGAGTTTTAAATATATAAAATAAATACCAATTGTATCATGCAATAGACTAAGTATTTTAATAGCAAATAATATTATTAGTAAGGATTCTGCACATGCCTATCATAATACAGCCAATGCAAATAAATGCCAAAATTGCGATCATGTTAATTTCAGAGCGGGAAGATTAACATACAGCTAGACTAAACAATATTATCTGGCTTTTGGGATGTAAATAATATTACAACCTAATAGAATACTATAAACCATGATGCCAAAGCATGAGGTATTGGAATAAATAAAATAATACTTTTGGAAAACTGTTTATTTAAAATAAATCAATACACTTAATGATCATAATACGAAACATAAGACAAATATTGAATGATAACAAATGTGAGGTATGCTTCTCAAAATTCAACATGTAAACGCACAAGACAATCATCCCTCTCGGATACAAAATAGTTGTGCCAGATGTTGATTCCATTATTTATTCTATGAATAAATTGTTATTATCAACCTGCGATAAAAACTGCATACCTTACATTGTGGTACCATACAGAGATAAATTTAGTTACCCTTTTCCTCGGGCGCTTTGCGGCGGCGCTTCGAAGTTGGTTCTACAGAGTCTAGGGGTTCCTCTTCTGGTTCTGTCTTTTCCCCTATCTTCTTTTGGCCCCGTTTAGTCTTTGCAGGTTTGGTATCATCTACTTCCATTTCTTGTTCTTCGATTACATCACCTACAAGTTCAAACCGAAATATATAACTTAAATAAGATATTATAAAATCAACCAAATATTCAACTATTATGCCATATTTAAAATCAAATTAAAAATAATCTTTACTGGGTGAAAGTTTTTGAAACTATTTTGGAACAAATTATTTATCAGAAAATAGCAAACCCTTTTCACTGCCTTTTTCCTTATCTTCTCCTACGTCATTGTTTTCTTCTTTGGCTTTAGCTCTTCCTTTTCTTCCTTTTTTTGGCTCCACATCTCCTTTAGCTTCCACATCCTTATCTTCTGCTTTAGCTTCAGTTTCATCAATGGAATCAGATTCTTTAGCATCAGAGGAATCTTTAATTGCTTTATCTGCTTCTTTTGCAGCCTTCTCAATATCTTTAGCTGCTAATTTAGCAGCCTTTTCTGCATCCTTTGCTGCATTTTTCGCTGCCTTTTCTGCGTCCTTTTTAGCTTTTTCAGCTTCCTTAGCTGCAGTTTTTGCAGCTTTTTCCACTTCCTTTGCTGCCATTTTTGCAGCCTTGTCAGCTTCTTTTGCTGCTGCTTTTGCAAGTCTATCTGCCTCCTTAGATGCTTTTTCGGCATCCTTTTCAGCTTTAGTTGGCGGTTTTTTTCGACCTTTAGTTATTGGTGGATCTGATGGCTCATTTTTTTCTTCACTATCTGACTTTTCCTCAGGTTCTGGTTTGGAATCAACTTTTCGTCCTCGACCTCGTCCTTTTGGTTTTTCATCTTCCTCTTGGTCTACTAACTCAACTTCATCAGTTTTTTTTGCTTTGGACTTCATAGTTTCCTTAGATTTAGCAATTGGTTCTTTTTTTGTGGTCTTTTTTCGGCTAGGAGGTGCACTCTCCTCCTCTGAGTGGCCATTAGCATCGTCATTATCATCCACGTCTTCTGTCTCTTCAGTTACTGACTCCTTCTCTAAAGCTTCTTGGTTCTTTGCTGCTGCTGTATCTACATTTCTTTTTCCTCTACCTTTTTTTGCGGGTGGTGCAGATTCGTCATTTTTCCCATTTAAATCTTCATTATAGTCAACTTTTTTGCCACGTCGGGTAGTCTTTTTCTCTGCTACAATTATTTCATCTTCTTGGCTGTCTTCTTCTGCAATATTTTTACCTTTGCCCCGGCCTTTCTTTGGTGCTTCATTCTCTGCAACTTTTGTTTCCGGCGCTTTCTGAAAAAAAAAAAACATATGTATCTCAAATAACTAATGATATAAAACTGAAAATAATAATAAAAAACATTTATTATGCATTACACAGGCTTGTATTATATTAAAAGCACTGATATATTTCATTATGTCATTCCTCTAAGTAGCTAAATAGGTTAGTTAATATTAATAAAAACTAAAGAGTTTCTTATATAATAATTACGATACGAATTTAATTTAACGATAAACGAAAACCCTACTTAACAACATTTAAGTGCGCAAAATCGTTATCGCAATTTAACTAAGTCCGGATTGAAATAATAAAGCCATGAAATTTTAGCGCGAAACATGTAACTTTCCTATTATACTAACGGTTAAAGCTAACACGCGGTGCTATAGGCACAATAACAACGTATGAAAGATAGGACTTGTAGTAGAATAAGATACTACAAAAACTACGTATTTCTGCGCATTTAAATAAATACTTGTCGTTAACAAAGCAAACCAGTTCATAGCAGTAAACAACAAGCTATAATCTCTTATAACATGGTGACATACTTCTTTAGGATAAGCGTACCTTTGCTTTTGCTGTCCTTGGTGCCATTATAACTTTAAACAATTAAAAATACACTAGTTACGGATTTAAATAATTGCAAAACTCGACGACTCCGGCGAACGCGTAAGGAAGAAGATACAAAGTTCCACCTTCCGGTAAACTGACAATGAATGACAAGAAACGCGGTTGCCGGCGCCAATTTTCATTTTGTCTATGGTTACTTGTTACTTATCCACAGGTTATAATTGCTATCTGCTCTATGCTAAAGACCACAGATAAAGAAGGAAACTATCGCAGTAAATGGCCATGTATTTTTTCTAATTTGTTTATATCGTATGCACTATGCAATGCTTATTGGATCTTTTATATTATTATTATTCGATTTAATCAGTATCAGCCGTTAATTATCTTATAAGTGATGGGCCACAGCTTGTACAATAACAAAGAAGTATTTAAAATTTACATCACCATTGACCTTTATTAATAATTTTAAGAACTCATTTTATTCACCCTAATAATATTCAAATTTTATTTTAGCATTAATTGTTGATAAACAATACATGTACAATACTTAGATGATTGTACGAAATATATGATGTTGTTGAATTATTTGTTCAATTATCTCCTGCGTCAATCATCTAAACACTGTGCGAAATATATATTATATTTTCTTTTTAACACCGTATGTGTATGTTTGACACAATTTTTTAAGACAAATTATTCTTGTAAAATCATAATGTTAATATTTGAGAACAATGCGAGATGTTTGCAGTACAATGCGAATGCGAGATGTGTTCTCGTCATGACGTGGGGCGCCCGGATTTTGCTGCTGCCACAAGCATGAAGTGTGACAACTGACAATCATGTTCAAGTGCCATCGCAGCACAACATTGAATTATGAATATCGTATAATAGTGAAACGTATATAAGCATTAAGCATGTACGGGCACTGTCTTAAACACTGTTCAAGTTAAAAATATCTAGTTTTATTTTTAAATTATTCCACTGAGTTTTGACTGTTATTTCAGAATGGTAAGTACAAAAGTAAAGATTCTTTACAAAATAATGCATGCGACGTGGTTAGGCGGTGGCCGGTGATTTATGGTTTATAGGTTAATTTTGTTAATACTTAAAAAAAGGAATATTTTAATCATTTACATTTATATTTTTAGACGTCTCTTGATAGGAAAGGAACCTTTAAAGTAGAATATTTACAAGAAATAGAGAAGAGAATACAACAACGTTGGGAAGATGAGAAAATATTTGAAACAGATGTTCCCCAAGATGAGAAAAAAGAAAAATTCCTATGCACCTTTCCCTATCCGTACATGAACGGGCGATTACATCTCGGTCATACCTTTTCGTTGTCTAAATGCGAGGTAAGGATTCTACATCTTTAAGTATTAAATAATTTACGCGTCATTTTAATTTTTTATTCTAATAGTTTGCAGCTCGATACCAACGTCTAAAAGGCAAGGCAGTATTATTTCCATTCGGATTTCATTGTACTGGCATGCCAATAAAGGCTTGTGCTGATAAATTGAAAAGAGAGATGAGTCTGTATGGATGCCCTCCAACGTTTCCAGAAGATGTAGAAGAAACTCCTTTGGTTGAAGAGGACACAGTTATAAAAGATAAGAGTAAAGGAAAGAAAAGCAAGGCTGTTGCGAAAACTGGATCTGCTAAATACCAGTGGCAAATAATGCAAAGCCTCGGTATACCTGAAGAAGAAATCAAAGAATTTGCAAATGAATCCTATTGGCTTGAGTATTTTCCACCTCGAGCTGTGGCTGATTTGAAGAAGATGGGATTAAATGTCTGTATTTCTTTGTGGATTTAGAATAGATATAGAGTTTACAAGGTTTTATATTAGCATAAATAGGGTTAGGCCTAGGAAAAAAGGCTTGTGTGTATATATATATATATATATATATATATATATATATATATATATATAAGATACAATAAAGGGGTTTATAAAAAAATGGGATCATGATATAATTTTAAACAACAGTTTTTAAAAGATTTTATTCTTATTACAATTGTGTCTATTAATATATGGTGAATATAGTCAACAATTAATTATTACTTTAAATGTTGTTCTGTAGTGTATTTTTTATATAAAACAATATTGTCTATAGTTTATGTGAGTAGCTCACACATTTAAATAAAACACTTTTATTTTTACTTTTACTATTACTAAATTGCAGTGTTTCATAAGAGAAGTCTTAGTACTAATCAAATTTTACATCATGGCCATTTAACTTAAATAACTTGTTCACTTGCCAGGTTGATTGGAGAAGAAAATTTATAACGACAGATGTAAATCCTTTCTATGATTCTTTTGTTAGATGGCAATTCTACCATCTTAAGAATCGTAATAAAATCATGTTTGGTAAGAGATACACGATCTACTCTCCACTTGACAAACAACCTTGTATGGACCATGATCGAAGCTCCGGTGAAGGTGCTGGACCTCAAGAATACACACTGATCATGATGACAGTATTGGAACCATTGCCTCAGAGCCTGAAGTAAGTGTGTCTTGATATATAAGTTCAAACTTAAAACAATGTTATTACGTCACTATTTATTATAGGTGTTTCACTGGGAAAGAAATTAAATTTGTTACGGCCACCCTCCGACCAGAAACCATGTATGGTCAAACTAACTGCTGGGTTCAGCCCGATCATAAGTACATATCTTTTGAGACGGTTAAAAATGGAATATTCATATGCACTCTTAGAGCTGCTAGAAATATGTCATACCAAGGATTTACCACAATCGATGGGAAAGTGGATGTTCTTAAAGAAATCAATGGAAGAGATCTTTTAGGTGTCGCATTAAAAGCACCTTTCACCAGCTACTCAAAGATTTACTCTCTTCCAATGTTGACCATTAAAGCAGAGAAAGGCACAGGAATAGTTTCCAGTGTGCCTTCCGATTCGCCGGACGACTACGCAGCTTTAGTGGACTTACAGAAGAAAGCGGCGTTCAGGGAGAAGTACAATATCACAGACGACATGGTTCTACCTTACAAACCTATACCGGTGCTTGAAATTCCCGAATACGGCAACTTGTCCGCCGTGTACGTCTACGATAAGCTCAAAATTCAAAGCCAGAACGATCGAGAAAAGCTGACTCAAGCTAAGGATATGGTCTATTTAAAGGGATTCTATGATGGAGTTTTAATCGTCGGAGACTTCAAGGGAAGAAAGATTCAAGATGTGAAAAAAAATATTCAGAATCAGCTAGTGAAAGAAGGCAGTGCTGTAATTTATTACGAACCTGAAAAAACTATCATTTCGAGGTCCGGCGACGAGTGCGTCGTCGCTCTGTGCGATCAATGGTATCTGGACTACGGGGACCAGGAATGGAAGGCGCAAGCCGAAAGAGTTTTAGGGGCTATGAACACATTCCACGACGAAGTGAGGAAGAATTTGTCTGGAACTATAAAATGGTTACACGAGTATGCGTGCTCCAGAACTTATGGACTAGGTTTGTGACATCCTCGAACATACTTTAATTACAAAGTTTGCTTATGTTGTATTCTGACTGTTTTCATAGGTACCAAGCTGCCATGGGACACCCAATGGGTGATCGAATCTCTCTCCGACTCTACAATATACAACGCATACTACACGATAGCGCATTTCCTCCAGGGCAATACCTTCCGGGGTGATGTCGAAAACCAACTAAAAATAAAACCAGAACAAATGACGACACAAGTATGGGATTATATCTTTTTTAAAGATGCACCCATCCCAAAAGATACAAAGATACCGAGAAGTTCCTTAGATCTTATGAAGAAATCGTTTAATTATTGGTAACAATTAACCATTTTTAATCTCAATTCATTAGAATAACTCACGTATTCGTTTTTATCAGTTCATCCGTTGTAGGTACCCCGTCGACATGAGAACGTCAGGCAAAGATTTGATTCAAAATCATTTGTCATACTTCATTTTTGTGCACTGTGCCATTTGGGACAAAGAAGAGGACAAGTGGCCGAAAGGGATCCGCGCGAACGGACACCTTTTGTTAAACTCGGCTAAAATGTCAAAATCGGACGGAAATTTTTTGACGTTATCGGAGTCTTTAGAAAAATTTAGTGCAGACGGCATGCGTTTGACTCTTGCGGACGCAGGTGACTCCATAGAAGATGCCAATTTCGTGGAAAGCACGGCGGATGCGGCTATTTTGAGATTATTCACCTTCATCGAGTGGGTCAAAGAAATGGTCGCTATCAAGTCTAATTTGAGGACCGGTGAGTACAACTTTTAAGTAATATGGTATTGATTCAAACTCCTTGGAGTTACATTCAGTTTATTTTACTATTTTTTAGGTGAATATAACTTCCACGATAGAGTTTTCACAAGTGAGATGAACACATTAATCTTACAGACGGATGACAACTACAACAAAGTTCTTTTTAAGGAAGCTCTTAAGACTGGATTCTTTGAGTTACAAGCTGCTCGGGACAAATATAGGTAGAGTATTTTGAAAATCAATTATAATGACAATGATTACTTTTTAATACTGACATAATTTACCAAAACAGTGGTAAACACCTGCACTTATTGAAGTATGTTGTGGCATCAAATTTGTAAAGAATTTTGCTATAGTTCAACTTATTCTGTTCAGGGAACTATGTTCTGAAGGTGGAATGCACGCAGAGGTAGTGACACGTTACATTGAGACGCAGGCAATTTTGCTATCGCCCATTTGCCCGCACGTTGCTGAGCATGTTTGGGAACTGCTTGAGCACGTACGTATCAATAGTCTATTGATTTTAATATATATAAGGCTGCTAGAGGCAGAGTGGCCTTAATTGCAAAAAACATAATTTTCAATAAGGAGGAAAATAAAATGCACTAGAAATTTTTACTATTTGTGTAAGAATTATTTTAACAATTTTCGATCACTGTGCTTTTGTAGATTAACATTTTTAGACTATAAAAATATAAATAAGTCAAGTCATAAAATTGCAGTTAGGCTATTCTGCCTCCGGTAATAGAACTGTCTGTCAACGAGTCTGTCATAGAGAGGATATTAAAATTTCACATTTATTTCGACTCAATAGAAATTATTGGATATACGTTGCGTTGATTTTAGAAAGCGAGCATCGTCCACGCACGCTGGCCCGTGGCCGGGGACATCGACGTCGTAGCTATCAAGGCTAGCACGTACCTGATGGAGGCGGCACACTCGTTCCGGATATACCTCAAGAACCATTGCGCAGTCCGAAAGGCTAAAAAGGGTGAAACCCCCAAGCTCGAGCGGAAACCAAATAAAGCGGTCATTTGGGTCGCCAAGGAGTACCCAAAATGGCAGCATATTATTTTGAGTACACTCAAGGAACTGAACGGGGTTTGTACATTTAGCGAAATTGTTTCCTAAGTTCTAAGGCCCTTTGGAGATTACAGCACTTACTGTAATCTTGTCTCCTAACAACGGAACTTAATATTTGCTTCTGCGCTTCTGTAGTATAGCTGCTAAAAGCAAATTATTTTCAGCCGTCGGGCCTTCCCGATAACAAAGTGATATCTGGCAAGCTAGCCGAGGTTACCGAGTTGAAGAAGTATATGAAGCGAGTGATGCCCTTCGTCCAGTCGACACGAGACAATTTGCAGAAGATCGGATCCGAAGCTCTCTCCGTCGCTCTTCCATTCGATGAAGCTAAAGTGCTTGAAGACAACAAACAGTATTTACTTAATACTCTGGACGTGAGTGTAATGTTGCCTGTTTATTTCACACAGTCAGGAAGCTTCTTACAGCTTCTCCATTTAATGCACATATACTCAATAATTCAGAAAAATAATATCAAATTGAATAAATTTTGTTTCCTTATTTGAATTTGACCTCTCCGGAACCATAACACGCACATCAATACATTAAAAGAGATTGAAAAATGTATGTTTCTTTCATACAATTTATAAGATAATTATTGTAGTTGGATGCGATCGAAGTGAGGCACACCGATAGTCCGGACGCCCCCGAAAAGACACGCGAAGACTGCGCTCCCGGGGCTCCCCACATCAATTTCATAGCGGAGCCGGGCCTAACTGTCAACGTCGTCAACCCCACCCCGCTCAGTGGTCTGTTCTCGGTCTTCGTGACGCTGGTGGACGGGGACACCGTCGAGAAGGTCAAGGCAAAGATCGCTAAGGAAGTGAAAGCTGTAAAAGGTAGTTTTTTATATATTGCAAATCATAATATTTGAGTAACGTTGTCAATACCTTGAAACACTGTATCTGCTATCAGTACTGCATATTTCTTTTTTAACTGATGGCGTGAATGCCTAATGCACGCCCACGTCGGGCAAGTGGGAAGTGTGGTTAATCGTGTAGCCGACCAGAACCACTAAACACACCACCAGCCCTCTACGGTGATCGATACTGCATACCTACAAAATTTAAATAATAACATCGTTTTGTATTTGAAAGCCTTAATATTTGTCACATGTTACTGCATTTGATGGCACTTATAAGATAAGAATCGATTACATATTGTAAAAACTGTGTAATTTCATCTGCAATGATTTTCTTAAGCTGCAAAGCACGAGCCATTGAACCTTGATGCTTAAGTGTTAAGGTTGAAATTACATTGTGCGAGAGGTGCATGTATCGACGAGTTGAAAAGATTCGACGATGACGTGTATGTCTTACATACTCGATTGTTCGAGTTCTGTCCGTGTCGTAATTTTTTTCAATCTAAAATCGATTTTTAATTTATATCGTTTTGTATTTTTTAATGTAAGACGTCAAATCCCTCAAACTGTGGCGGTACTTGGATCCCGTCCTGGGGCCACGCAAGATTCCTGTAATAGGAGATCACGAGAGCAAATGCGCAGTCTTGGATGACGGCGCAATTCTGCGCGTGCAAACCGACGCCTCGCGCGTGGAGCTCGTCCAAAATGGAACCAATTTAAACATAGGCCTGCAACTTATTTATACTTATGGTAAATAAGGTTTTTAATAAAGTATTTATTTGAAACAACTTCTGTATTATTCCAAAGTTCGACCTAGACCTACTTTCACTGTATTTTATATAAAGTAAAAAATCCAGAAGATCTTAATGTATATCCTGGGTAAACATGATAAATTGTTTAGCTCTGGCAGAGTGGAACTTCGGCAAGGACCTCTCTGTTTCGTGGCCCACGCTGGGGTAATCGAAATTCCTTATGTGTCGAATGCGCGTAATAAGTAAAACGACGTATGTACATAATATATTTAATTAACTTACAAACGGTTATTCACATCAGAATGTTTAACATTGACAATACAATATGGCGACGTCCCCGGCGGTCTCAGGCTTCGTGCGAACGCGAGCTCCAATATTTACACGCGCAATATACACATTGTATTGTGATTTAGTCGATTTATTTATTTTCAATATTCGTCGTAAATCAAAAACCCACATTTAACGCATTTAGGTCGTTAGTCAGTCTTTGTGTTTCTCACTTTGCCATAAGAGACAATATTGTCCGTTTTATTATTTCCAATAAATACCTAATTTAAAACGGTCGAAATTGGATTTTATATTTATTGCAATAAATATAACGTCCAATTGCACTATCTGGTAAAAGAGGAGTATTATTTTGATAAGTTCCAAGAATGTTCTGATAATCCTGAAAAGATGTGGAATCTCATTAATTGCTTAGCAAAAAATAACGTTCAAAATAACCACTCAAAAGTCCGTTTTGAACTTGAACCATATATTAATGCTAGATATCATGGTATTGCCCACATTACCTTCATGTACGACAGTCACAAACATAACACATGAACAATATGAAATATGGATTCGGACACCAGTTCTGAATCGGTGTCACAAGCGGGTGACGTAAACATATAATCTGTAGCATTTAAAAGTGATTATGGTTCTTCTTGCGATAGTCAATGACAGAGTCCTGTCTACAAGTATTGGTAGTAGTAATTATACAGCTGTATCTCTACGCTCAGCTGGACCTTAATGTCCTCAAAGAATGGTTTCTAAAAATTTACTGACCGAATTAATGCATCGAAGACATCACACATTACTTCGCTACCAAAAATGAGACGTCGTCGATTAGGATCCGCTCACTATAAAGCAACATCTATAATAATAAAACGATTCCACTAGGAGACGTAGGCCTTAAGTTGGACGAGATGTCAAATGCGAACTGGCGTCTCTACCACATGCCTTACGAAAAATAGCGAATTGTATACCTCACGATGATAAACACTCGGTATACAGCTTTCTAATAAAATCTCATTCAGAATATTTTGTGTTTGAAAGTTTAAAATCAATTTTGTGTGACAACGGTAAAACTCAAGGCGAAACCAACTAACGTGGACACATTAAAACTGATTTATCGAAGCGATTCACATAACGAAGGATACACAAAATCAGAAACCGGATAGTTCGCGTTCGCCCTCGCCTTTCAAAATAATATAAAACTTACTAAAACCTATTTTGTAGTCTATTCTAACTCGACCGCTCAGCTTTTATTAACGCTGTCGTTTTAAAACTGAATACTTTTCGTGAAGTACTAATTAAATGAAATTTTTATAAAATAAATACGAATAGCCTAATAGAGATAATATACAACGAAGGATATTTGGTCCAATTGCCCCAAGGACGCTACAGTACGCAAACGTTTATAAGAGTTGAGCGCGCACAAGGAGCTAGGCTATGGGCTAAGTCGGGCCGTTGGCGAAGAGTCTGTCGAGACCCGCCCCCTCGGCGGAGTCCACGGCGCTGCGCGGCTTCTCTTTGGGCGCGTTCATCGCGGGCAAATTCAGGATAAACACTTCCTTCTTGAAAAGCTGTCCCACGTTTCGGCCGATCAGCTGAAAATTGATTGTCGGAGGTGAGTAGAGCGAGAGAGAGGTACGTCCGCCGAAGTATGAGATCGAGCGATGACTAACCCGTGAAGTGATTTTCTTGAAGAGGTCTTTCTTGCTCTTATCGATTTTAGCGGGTCGCGCGTTGTTGGCCGCCAATTTCTCGTCGAGCCGTCGGAGGTCGTGCGCGTCCACGTCGGGGATCGCGCCCAGCACGTTGGCGACGTCCGGGAAACGCGGCCTGAGCGCCTCGTAGGCCTGGTAAAGGATACAGTGTAATATTTTGAGGAAAGCGAAGCATTTAACACAATCTTCTCGTTACGAAATACCTGCACGGCCAGCGTGAGCAACGCCGCTTGGTTGGCCTCGTGTTGCCCGTGAAGCCGCAGCGCGTGCAAGACGGCGGCCAATGCTCCGTTCGCCTCCGCTGCGTTCACGCTGTTGCTAGCCAAGGCTGCGCGCAACGCTGGCAATGCGAGTGCGCATGCTCGGAGCGACGACGTCGAATCGTTCCACGTGAGCGCGCGCAGGATCTAGAAAATGAAGCTTCAGGGTTAACAGAGAACTTGGAAATAACAATTATGTTAACCCACATAATTTGTGTACGTGTTGAAGATATATAATTTAAAATAAACCGAAACGAGCCCATTCGCTTGATACCAAAAAAATTAAAATCCACCCTTTTTGTTTACTATATTTCATCATCATACATGTTATATTACTCGTGTATATATAACGCGATATAAGGAAAAATACACACAGTATGCAAGATGGCCGGTCCGGCGACAGGGTCGGCGAGCAGCACGGCCCCCAGCTCCGAGACCTGTTCGGGCGTACGAGCGGGGCCAGCTGCCGGCGTGCTCTCCTCTTCCATGTCTATACTGGGCTCTATAGTAGCCGCAGCCTCCACGAGCGAAACCTGGAAAAGATAGTTGTATGATCGTTCCTTCAGAAAGTCAGATGTTGACACTTATGATGAAAGAGACCGACCGCCTCCATGGGTTGATGGCGGTTTAGTTAGTTAAAGTTAAGTTCCAAAAAATAACGATTTATGTTTCATTGTGCAAAAACTCAAATATACACTTCACAATGTGTCCTTTGCTTGTGGCAGTCGTTAGCATAGCTTTATTTTACACTGTTAATTTGAGAACGGAACGGAAGATTTAGTCAATAGAGCTACTTTTAAATGATGTTTAAAATGACGTATTATTACAATTTCCGCCACACAGTCAGACATTTGGCACATTTTATTGTCGGTAATCAATTACCGATCGCTTATAATAACGTCCGCCGAATAGTTAGAATTTTATAAATTTTAAAGTTTATAATTAACACCACATTCATTTAATAATTTAAATAGCTAACAATAAGATACGCGCTACCTTCAGAACTTCCAAATATTCCCTGCTGAGATGTCTCACGAGCATGTCCTCTAACACCTCCTGCGATTCGCTACCGCTCTCCTCCTCCAGCTTGCCCGACTCATACAGTGACGTTACATACTGCCAACGCTGGGACAAATGCACGACCACTGAAATCAGAATGACACGTTGTAATAATCGAAATGATTACAATTCCTTTGGGCCAAATATTCATTCCTATGGGGAAAGGGATAAATGATAATCGTACTAACTAAGCGGCGCAGTGTGTTGTAAGAGCGGCAGCGCGACGTCGACGTAGTGGGCCGGAGGGCAGTGCAAGAGCAGCGGACGAAGGGCGGCGCGCAGCACGCGCCGAAGCCAGTGGTCGGGCAGATGGTCTGGCGCCGACAGGAGAGAGCCGCAAATCGCCCGCGACAGCCCTGCTGCGCCGTAGAGCTCGCGCCCCAGTGACGTGGCCGCAGCGCCCACCAACTGACACACCTGAAATGTACATAGACACGTTTGTATTCTATCAAAAACCAGTTCAGAGTTTTGATAAATTGATAGCGCAATAAAAAAAACTGACACCAGTTCTAACAAATTGAGACCAACTGTGACGCGCACGTCTGTTCATCCATCTATCCATCCATCCATCCATAATTTAAAAAATATGCTCTCGATGAATAACCAGCTTGAACAGATCACGTTCATAATATGTACTTAGCACTAACATTGTCGTGCAGCGTGTGCAGGAAGTTCTGCATGCGATCCTGCGGCGTGGTGGGGTGGGGCGCGGTGAGAGGAGCGAGGGGCGTGTCGTCCCGCATGCCCAACAGGTTGCGTCGCTCGGCCGGAGGCGGCTGCAGGGCGCGCGCGTGCGCAGGGTGCCGGAGAGACGCCGCACCCGGCGAATGCAGCTCGTGCAATGCTCGCCCTTTGGCAGACAAGTTTTGCTTTTAAACAATCCACAAATACCAACTTCGACGGAATAGATGGCGCTAGCGTAGCAGTTTTTTTACTTTGATGTCAGAGACACCCTCCATCTTTAGTCTCGCGCGACCATGGCTGCTGCTGCAAAACGTCGGGCCGTAGTTAAACTAATTATCAAATAATCTAATACAAATATCGTTTTAAACTGTTGAAGGGTTTCATTTAAATGTGTAATACTCGCGTAAACTAAATACTGTCTGTATTTAATCCACAAGATAACCCGTAACATAAGCAGTTTTTGTCGAAAATATACTATTTAGTCGAAACGTACATATCACAACTTGGTTAGGTTTTTAGCGACGCGAGCTAAATTGTAAAATGCAAATTAAATCGTCGCCTTCACAATATCACCAAGTCAGTATCATTGTAATATACATTTTCGCTTCTTACGATTCCTTTTCTCGCTGTATACTCTGTTGGCACCCGAACGTACGACATTAGTAAGTCTTAATTAAACCTCAATTTAAAAACATTTGCTGTTTTTTTTACACAATAATACCCACCTAGGGCTAAAGCGTGCGGAAAGAGCGGAAGCACATGTTCGGCGGCGGGGTTGCGCCACACCGGGTTTCCGGACGGCGTCAATCCGGCCCCGAAACCGCCTCGAGCCGCTTTATCGGGATCTGCGGGTACACACGTCCGCTTCACTACGCCCAGCGCTAGAGTGAGAGCGTGTAAAAGAGTCCGTCTCGCTCTGCCGCGTTCTTCGTCCGCGTCGGTGGGCGGGGCGTCGAGACCGATAAGCCGGGCGAGAGCTTGCGCGCTTGTCAGATGCTCGGATAGCGCCGCCCATCGCACGCTGCAGTCGCCCAACACCTACAAGAAAACAATGGATCTTTGGTTTTAAAAAAATAGTCTCACGGTAGTTAACAGTAATAATAATATTACAATTTTGCACTGAACTAGATAAGCCTCATCATCCTAGCTTTGCCCCCCTTTTTTGTGAAGTTAAATTATTTAAGAATTACGAAATACCTGAGCTACTAAAGCGCTCTGACGGTCGTAACAGCACAAGTGGTTGGAGACTAACAGCAGCGCTTCTTGTAGCGTGACGCTCTCGACTGCGCTCAAGTCGGGCCTAGCTAGCGCAGCCCGACACATCTCGTGTAGTCGCGGGAAAACGGGCAACAGCAGAAGTGGATACTGCGGAAGATGTTTTAAGGAATTTAATAATTCTAAGCATTGCATAAAACTCACATAGAAAAGTTCGTACTATAGTAGTATTAGCAAAACCCCGTTTCCCCCGTCCCCGTTATTTGGGGTATGGGGGCAGACACTTTTTTTTACCTTTGAACCTAGCTTAACCAACAGTCCTGCGGCGTGGCGACGGACATTCTTCACGCTTCGCGAACTACGGTCTTCAGGCGGCGATCCTTCGTAGACGAGGGCCAAAAAGATCTTATCCAAAACGCGCGGAAGTAACTCGGCGCCTGCGCATCCCACGCTTGGACCTTAAAACACGTTTTCTTTGTTTAGGTATATTTCTTAAATTTTATTAAGTAGGTACCTATACGAAAACAGAGTTTTCAGTTGAAGCCTTTGTTTTGATCATGATTATAAATTTTACCTCATTATTGGCGACATTACCTGTTCAGCCAGGTGGTTGGCTCCATTCTCCCCCCTCAACGAATTCACAAATCATTCCATAATTCTTATATTGACAATGAGGCAAATAAATTGATGCTCACCTGCTAGCTGGCTGTAAGCACAGCTCAGGAACACGAACAGGGCAGATATGAAAGACAAGAGCAGCGACAGCAGAAGAGGTGCGCGAGGCTCGCATGCGACGCAGCGCTGTAGTAAGCGCAGTCCTTCTGCCACGTTTGGGCGGGGCTCCGCTTGCAAGAGCCGAGACAGCACCACGTCGAGGACCTACAATATCATCCTCATTATAAAGTGAGATGATGGTGCAGACATTATTACTCCTCTTCCCTAGATTTGAACCTTAACCATGCTCATTTATCTATCGTTTTTTGCTTGGGATAGGTTTAATTTATACTTATATAAAGTTGAAGAGTTTGTTTGTTTATTTGTACGCGCACTCTTAGGAACTCCTGGTTCGAATTGAATAATCGAGGAAGGCCTTAGGCTATAAAACATCACAATACGACCATTAAGAACCAAAAACAATGGGAAATAAGGAAAAACGGGGAAATATATTCAATTTTGAATAAATAATAAATTAAATAAAAACAATTTTTGGCAAAAACAAATTTGGCTGCCCAAAATAACTATTCTAAATGGACGAAGTCGCTGGCACAGCTAGTTACTAGTTAATGTATAATATTTGAAAACTTTATTATTTTTTACATGTCATTGCACATGAAGGCACTATATAATTTAAAATTCGAAATGCGCTACCGAGTCATTAGCTCGGTAGCTCAATTGGTAGAGCAACAGCACGGAGCGCTGACGATGCCGGTTCACGTCCTGCCCGAGTCGAAATTTTTTTCAATTTATTTTCGAATTTTAAATTATTTAGTGTATAATATTCACCTGCGCAAGAGCCTCCCACTCGACGTGCAAGTCTGGAACATTCGAGTCCAGCTTGTTTAATGCAGTTTGCGTCCATTGCTCCACATATGACCATGTGACTAGAGGCGCTGCTACCATACAGTATCTGAAATCATTTTTATGTATATGAGTGTGTAAGTAGCGGCACGGATCTTTAGTGCTGAACGAATCCTGCGCAGAAGTCAAAAATAAGGTATCGAAGGGAAGGAAGCGGACGCGGGGCGAGTGAACGTCATGTGCGCTAGAGTTGATTGTCGTGTTGTCTTTCTCGGACCAATACGACGTTCCGCTTGCTTCTGGAGTACAATCACGTTTTCCAATCAACTACGTGCGCGATTGTACCGATGCGCAACTATCCCCTCTACGATTCGTTCAGCGCTAAATATAAGCTATATAAGCTTTTAATGGAAGAATCAGCATATTGCTGTCCCTCAAAATATAATATGATATTGCAAGAAATAACAATAGTAACAACAAAATTACTAATTCAATTTGCTAACCGGAAGCTTTCTAAGATCTCTGTGCGACATCGGCTGAAGAAAATTGCGAATTCCTGTTCGCTGTCGTAGTCCAGACAAGCGTACGAGACAGCGTCATTGGAACCACTGACGCGAGAGGTCGGGTAAGTCACCTGGAACAGTGTATGCGTACTTGATTGAAAGAAATCGTTAAGTAGAAAGAAATGGGTGGAACGGTCACCAAAGGTTGTGGACTGATCACCTGCCCTATCTATCAGTTGGTGTTACCAAAAAAAAAGCTTGCTAAGGAATTAAGTTTACCTTTAAGACTTTAGGGGCGGCCACCTGCAACCACCTAGGAATTATAGCCAGTATGTTGGGAAGTTTGGAGATTTGATCGTGCTTAAGAAAAGCCAGCCACACTGAGTTGGCCGTATGGGCGAGGGTTAGTGACGGGTGAGAAGTCAGCAGCAATGTGGACTCGAGCAGGACGGGCATCCAAGACTCTACATTGGCCGCAAAATTCCAAAGCGACGTCAGTTGCTGAGCTAATCCTGCTAACACCTGGAATAAAATTTGAATTTTAGCATTAATTGCGCAGTGCAGCGCGAAAATTGTAAGTGAAATAAGCACAGAAATATTCAGATTTTAAAAAGTGTGAGTACCAAATAATAAAAGTGTATGGAATATGTGATCCATTAGCATATTAGGACATACCTGTGAGAGTTTCTTTAGGAACAAGTAGTGGTTTTCATCCATCGCAGAGATGCTTCCCACTGCTGCGCGGTGAATACATGAGATTGCGTCTTCACTAAATAAGATCATCAGGGGCTTACGTTCTTTCGTCTGATGAATTTATATTACATGAATAAGCATGGGCATAAGCAAGTATTTTTTTTTTACTACTAAAAATTACAAAATTGGCATTGCTATGCAAAAAAAATTATTTGATTGTTTTGTTAGTGTATTTAAATATCTACAATATTATTAGAAACTCTTAAGCTATTTATTAAATGATTGAAAAGCAACTTACAGAGCCTTTTCTATTAACTATTTGCAGTAAACATTCTGCAGCTGACAGCTGAAAGACATCATCTTGTAGCAAGATACAAAGAATCTGCAGCAACCTTCCGTTGTTTGTTACAATGTGATTAGTGGATACCCATTCCACAAAACCCGTTAAAGTCAGCAGAACAACCTGGAGAAATTGATATTCAAAAATAAAACACAATCATTTTATATAATACCACTCTCAGTGATTCTTTTCTTACATCATCATATACAATAACCATACCTGCACAACTCTACCATTGCTCGCAGCAGCTGTATAATCACCCGCGGCAGTTTTTTCTCTAAACTCTTGGACATGGAGTTCTATTAGACGCATAAAGAATGCAAATATCTCTGCCATATTGCTTGTTAATGCCTGGTAGATATCTTTTCGCCGTTGATTCTGCTCCAGAGTCTATAGTACAAGTTATTTTTTTTTTATCTCTACCATCCCATATACCAATATACTATAATATCAATATAGAAATAATATAAATCAATATACCTGCAATGTAGCAACATCTTCTACAAGTCTTAAAAAAACATGCAGTACAATTTGAGTATGCGAGTGGCCTCGGGAACAAGCATCACTTAATTCGGCTAAAAGGGTGGGCCATTGTTGTGGCCACTCTCGCTTGACCATCTCAACTATAACTCTAGCTAGAGCATCGTTTAAATGTGCTGTCTCCCAACCACCCATATATAATAATTTCATGGCATTTTCCTGAAAATGTTAAGAGTACAAATAAGCATAAATAAAAATTTAAACCTGGTTATGCATAATTATCTCACTTTACAAATTGCAAGGATATAATTGTTTTGATCTCAATTTAAACTACCTTTATAAATATTTTTTCCGCTTGATTTATTTGAGTCCATCTGTATTTAACTGTGTGTTCCATTAGCTGCAGGCCAAAATGTTTAACGACTGCAGAGTATTGGGTTCCACTCGCCAACAATAAACCTGCTTGTGCGCACCACGGTGAGTTCTCCTTGAAGCTAGAATATTATTACCATAATACAAGAAACATTACCGATTACATGGTTTGAACTAACACCAATTTAGAATAAGTTAATTGCAATATTAAATCACCTTTCACACGCGTTATACGCTTGATTTCGAGCTTCATGTGAAACAGTAGGATTGAGAGTTAACTCCACGGCCCTGCTTAATTCTTCAGCAATTAGGACCACTTCTCCACATATCTCAGTTCCATTTGAAGTCATATTCATGGTAGCCCCTGTTCGCTACACACTTAAAGGAATAACACAGTCAAAAGTTGCAACTAAATCATATTCTCGCAAAATTATGACAAAACATGTAATGTTGTGAAAAATATTGAATAGTAACGAGTTATACATACCCACTGTTTCAAATAAAATAAAACCCATAGAACAATTGTTCACTTCATATTCTCTCCGCTATTTAAAACTGTAATGTGATTTGCAAAATTTAGCGAAATAAAACTATAGATACATAGGTACATATCGAGAGCGTGCACCGGGTATTGTTTGAATATTATGTTTTTACGAAGTTAAATGTTAAGTATATAAATCACCACTATTTCTTATTAAGCTTTAGAGATTTTGTTTCTTTGGTGTAATATTTAAATAAATGTAGATCAAAACATTGAAAGTAAGAACCTTAAGGAGGTACCTCGTGCTGCTTTTACTTTTGAAAATCTAATGAAGAAAATTTTCATCCATAGACTAGTGTAGTACTAGTATAAAAAGTAATCTGTGCAGTGGAGCGAAGGGGTGGGACACTTTCATACATTTGTAGTACAAGCAAACATAGTAGCGCCATCTATAATTCTCTCCCAGCATCAGACGCTAAGGTGCTGCCAAATACGGTCAATAAGAGACTTTAAGGTCCCTGTAGAAAATAAAATACACTTTAATAATACGTGAAATTACATTATTAAAAAATATAAATGCATAAAACAAATAATTGTAAATACATTTTATTTCATATTTACATACACCAACATAGATCACATATAAACCGACATTTTTTTTTTCAAATGGCGATTGCATATACTTGTTTTTTTGTAAAATAGCTTATTCTGTGCGATCTTCGGCTGTAAATTTTTTTAGAAAGTTCGTTGAGTTTAATAATGGTTTCAATTTTGAGACTGTTTTACGACAGTAGGTAGGTTATTTTTGCGAAACGTCGCTATTTTGTGTTTACGTCAGAACCTTACTTTCTATAAACAAAAACAAGACACTATTTTTACTTTTAAAATGCCACGAAAATGCTTTTAATTGCGACAAACATTGTGTTTGATTAAGGAAAATAATTTGATGATCTATGAATATTGTTGTGCTCTGCTAGTGTATATCAATCAATCGAATTTCGTCTGGAAAATTATCATATAAGGATAATGTGTTAATGTTTACGTTATGAAAAATTATCAACTTAAAATTTATAAAAATAGAAAGTTATTTATTTGTGTTTTATTCCAATTATTGTAAAAGAGAACAGTTTTTGATAAGATATATTTTTTACTTACCTTTTTTGTTTTTTGTCGGTTGTATATTTTATTAATTTAGTGTTTTTTTTTTTAATTGTGTACATACTTGGTTCAAAATCTAATTAAATATATAATTATAGTTCGTTTGCTCAATAGATTATTATTTAATTAACTTATGATTTTAAGATACATAGCCTGTGGTGGTAGCAAGTCTTTATCAGTGTTGATATTCGTCAGGACCTTATGTCAAACTGACAGCACATTCTTTTTCTTAATTTCTGTCAGATGTATTTGTTTTGATTCAGAGAGATTATTTATTTTGGTCGAGCTGTTTAGTTGTTATAACAAGCGATTCATATGTAGCAAGTTATAAAATAGTAATTAGTAATCATTCAATAACTATAAGTCTTTTTTTTTTAATTATTTTACTATTAATGGATACGAGATGTACTCTCGCAGAACCATGTTTAGAAAAACATTTAAAGGGCCATAGAAATAGTATAACAGCGATCTCGTACAATCCAAATGAACAACAAATAGCTAGCAGTTCCTTAGACAATAGTATACTGGTATGATATTTACATAATAATGATTTTAGATAAATTGTCATGCATTGAGTATAAACAATTTCTCTTGTTCTCAGTTATGGGATCTTCGAGGGATGAGAAGTTACCGCTTTCAAGGACATGAAGAAGCAGTAATTGATGTAACTTTTTCTCCATCTGGGAAATACATGGCTTCAGCATCACGTGACAAAACTGTGAGAGTATGGGTTCCTACTGTTACTGGGAGTACAGGAATGTTTAAAGCCCATTCACAAACTGTGCGCTCTGTTCAGTATAGTGCAGATGAAAAAAAAGTAATTACTGAAACTAATATATAGCATGCATTTGGGGGCATTTGTATTAATTCATTAGTTTTACTTTCTTTCAGATATTAACTGCATCTGATGATAAAATTATAAAACTATGGTCAAGTGACAAGTTTAAGTTTTTAACTTCCTTTGTTGGCCATACTAATTGGGTGCGGAGAGCCACAATGTCACAAGACTGTACTCTGATAGCTTCTTGTTCAGATGATAAAACTATAAGACTTTGGAATACTGAGACAGGAAGTTGTATTCACACTTACAAAGACCAGAAAACCTATGGAGTATATGTTGCATGGCATCCATCCAATTGTTACATAGCAGTTGGAACTATGAATGGCAATGTCAAGCTTTATGATATAAGGACCCATAACCTGGTGCAGTATTATAGGTGAGTGTGGCTTACATCACTCAGTGGTTACATATTCTTTATTATAAAAGTACGATATCTATAGTTAGTATCAAAAGTAATAACTAGGTCCTGTAATTTCAGCATACATAGTGATTCTGTAAATCAAGTTGCATATCATCCAAGTGGTAGCTATATTCTGACTGCCAGTAAAGATGGCACTATGAAGGTACCAACACTAAGCTTATTGAAACATATATGTACATGTATGTTACATAAATATATTTGATAAACACTCAATTAACGGATGCTGATTTATTTTTTAGATACTGGATCTTTTAGAAGGACACCCATTGTTTACTTTAAATGCACAAGCTGGTGGCATAAATGCAGTTACATTTTCTGCCAGCGGTTCAAGCTTTGCTTCAGCTGGAGAAGATAAACTAGTAATGATTATATTAATAAATCATGTCTTAATAATACATATCATAACCATTCTGACACATTATTCATTCTCTTACAGGTATACATCTGGAAAACAAATTTTGCAGAATTGTATGATGACGCAAAGGAAAATATTAATAATGCAATATCTCTTGCAAAATCACAAGTCTCAAAAGATTCCACTGCATCTAAAGGAAAAAGACAGGTTATCAGAAAAAGATAGCTACTGTAGTTCTTAGATAGGGTGTACATAAAATGTTGATAAAGTTACTTATAAGTTGATGTTATCATCTAAGATTTAAGTCTAATACAATTCAGGGTTATCAAAAGAATGAAATACAAAATGAATTTAATGTTACATTCAAGAAGCTAGAATTCATACAGTGTTGTGTTACTGGATAGCTAACGAAATAAGGTTTCAAATAAAATTACGCAATTAATAAAGACAATATAAAAATTAGGGTGTGAAGATATGGTATCAATGCTACCACAACACAAAGTACCCTGTTACAACTTTTTTACACGTGGAGGATGTCAATGAAACAGTAGTTTCAAATGATTATAGCATACAAGGGCCGAATGCTCACAGCACCTTATTAGGGTCACCTCAACTTACTCAAGTTAACGTTAGTTATGAAAAAGAGTGCCCTTCTGGTGTGTGTTCCAACAATATCGGTGATATGAGCCACATTCCTCGTACTCCTCCAATTCCAGCCAACTATACAATTCCATCAATACTCCATAAATCAGTTGGCACATATGATAATGAAAACATTTTTGGCATAATAAAACTTGGAGACAATGATGTCTGCTACACCAGTGGAACTATAGAATGGGTCGGTAGAAAAAGAAGTTTTCCAATAAATAGTGGCTTTAAGATTCTCAATAAAAGTCACACTCAACCTTTCCTAAAGAGAACTAAGAAACATAATACAACATTCACCATAGATAAGGAGAAAATAAAGGAATGTGATTGTGCAGATGTGTTGCCCACTGTAAATGCAATAGTTGACCATCTAAATGCTCTCCACGAAGCTGTGGATATAGTCGATCTACGGTTAAATACTATTGAAGATGGTATGGGGAACAATGATTAATGAAATATAATAAAAAATTTATTGTAAAAGTTTCAAATATTACAAAAATACTATATTATTATTATTCATTTCACCATATGTCATAGAATTTATACATGTCTAACATACACTTTATCTTTTATTTAATATGTATTTTCAACTATTTGTGACATATTTTGTTATAAGTGCAAATTATGGACTTAAAAATGTTAGGAAGATGAATTTAGGTGGAGACAGCTGCATAGTACTTATAACAATAATAAAAAAATAAAGTATTAGCTACACAATATACACAATTTGTTTATTCTAAAGGTTAATATTGGATGTAAAATCCATTTAAAAAATTAATACCTATTGTGTACCAAGATAGGTTGTTTTCTTTCCTGCTTTTTTAATCGCTTCCAGAAGTTGATCTGAGCTTAATGTTGAAGTAACAGATACTTTTTGTTCAGGTAGACTTATAGAAACATCTTCCACACCCTGTCCCTTAAGCCTGTTGAGAATCCTTTCTATAGCTCCTGAACACCCTTCACAGGTCATTTCTACATTGAAGATGTGAGTCTTGAAACATGATATACTCTTTAATATGATGTTTGATAACAATCAGTAAAATAGTATAAGAAGTGGACAAAATTATTCTTACCGACGACATGATAAGCGGCTAAATTTCACTTATTTTTCTTAAATAGATGATTGCTTTAATGGGTTGATATCAAACCTACGAACCACTTGGCCAGTATCTATTACTAAGCTGTCATAAGACGAAAGTGATAAGAAAATCAACAAGATTAGGTACTAGTGATAACAATAAACTTAAAGAATAAAAAATGGTTTTTTTATTTAAATGTGTACTACTCGCGTAAACTATAGACAGTATTTAAGAAATGTTTATAAATGTACCACTGACTTGGCACTTACGCTTCAAGAATTTCATAAAATAAATTCAAATTTTTAATCTATTTGAAATATACAGATGATAAATTCCATAATCAAGCCACAGAAATGTAGATAGTTCTGGTTGACAGATTGAAATAAATATAGTATGTAGTCGATCATTTCCCATTTGACAAATCAAATTGGAAAAGAGGTTTCTTTAGTTTCATGGATTTTAATCATATTCATATTTTAGTTATAAAATCTCTGTTTTAGAATTTTTACTCTTCAGTTTTTATTCTAAGAAACTAAATGATCATCTCAGAATGTCGATTAAAGAAAGTCTCAAAGAGTTGGGCTGGTGAGTATTTAATAAATTTGGTGAGCATCCCTGTCTTAAATTTTTTTGATACAATTATTTTCATCCTTCAGGCACCTGAGTGACGAAGGTGTGGAAACTGTTAGTGATAATGGTCAAATACAGGACGTTCAAGTACTTTGCAAGCGTGCTTTAGACGTGAGTCCAAAATTTTAATTACTTACTTGCTACTTCACTGCGATATAAGGACGGAGTCGTTAACTGTTATGTATTATTAAAATAATGTGCTTGATATATCTGTTACAAATAATATGATGTTCAAACATTCTTTCAGTTTGATTTAAGAGACATAGGAGAGGCAGCTTTTCCTGAAGATTTTCTAAAAGAACCTAGTAAGCTAGAGAAGCCTATTGTAGTTCAGATTCAGAAAGTAAGAAATGTGTCAGCTCCAAAGGCAAATGAAGAATCTACATCGGCACCTCGTATGTTAAAATTGATCCTTCATGATGGGAAATGTACATCTTCAGCATTAGAAATAAACCCTATTCCAAGTCTAACAATCAACACTCCACCAGGCACTAAGCTGTTACTTCTGAATGAAGGGTTAGAAATATGTCACAATGTTATCTGGTTGAATGCAAGCATTCTGAAAGTGTTAGGTGGGAATGTCTCCCATATGATTGAAAAGTGGGAGTTAAACAGGAGCCTTGCCAAACACACCAGAGGTAAGATTTTGTAAATTATCTAAGTAACTCACTGTGATACATATAAATATTATTACTGACCTGCCAGTTTATTCTTTTTTACAGGTGTTGTTGATGGTGGCCCGCCACCGTGGATTCCGTTTGGTCAGCGATTAGAAGCCAACCCATTGGAGAAACAATTTAAGAGTTTACAAGAGGCTGCTAAGCAAGATAATCCAGAATTTGAAGCCCAACGTAAAGGAGCAATAGCTGAAGCACAAAGATTATCTGGAGTAAAGAAGGTAGTATTAAAAATATGTATAAGCATATGAAATTGATGTAAGTTAAATGAAAATTAATGTTTAGGTATTTGGTGGAGGAACAAAACCGCTATTGGATGCTAACGTGCAGAAGATCGTTGACGCTGGGTTTACTGAAGAACAAGCTGAAAATGCATTAAAGTACACAAAAAACAATGTTGATCGAGCACTCAGAATACTACAAAAGAGAGACAACTCGGAGAATAGAAATAAAGAAAAACCAAGGGAATCTGAACCAGCCTCAAAGAGAAAGGGACGCAATAAAGACAAGGATGACGACGATGTAATGCCTGTGAAACCATCAGGAAAAGTCTCTCTTTTTGATTTTTTGGAGGATAAACTACCAAACGTTCCAGAAAAACAAAAAGATCGAAGTAGTCGTGGTGAACACACAACGTCAATAGATGATAGAAATGATAGGAATTACGGTAGTAGGGAACGAAACAATTCTAGGTTTAATCAGAGGTCACAAGGCCCGCGGCACGATAGGCAAGACGGACCTCGACATCGCAATGACAATCGAGGACATTTTAGTGAAAATCATCAGTCCTCCCATCGAGAAGATAGAAAATATCAAACTCAGACTGAAACGCCCCCTAGGTTTCAAAAGAAATTTGAGGAAATGAATAAAAATCAATCAAACAACCCTTATAAAAGCTATAATAATCATAGTCAGTACAACAATCGCCGCAGTGATAGGAACTATAGTGACAGCAAAGTCCACCAGCAATCGCAGTACTCCAGCAATGCTCATTCCATGGACAAGTTGGTAGAGGCGACGGCTAATTTGAATATTATGACAGCTCCACAATGCAATGCTGAAGACACATCCTCGCCTCATTACCAGTCGCATCCTGAGACAGCATATCCCAAACAGAACTATCAAAATCCGAATGTGCCAGAAATGCTCCCATTTAGGCGCCACAATGACGTGCCAAAATACCAGGAACAATCTTATCAGAGGCGTCAACAGCCTAATGGTTACGTGGAGCAGAGTCAAAATCCTATGTATCCAAACGTGAACTATATGACAAACGTGCAGGGAGGTTTCAACAATCGTCAGTATAGTTTCGGAGGAAGGCCTCAAGAGTTCAATACTATGAGGACGGGGGGACCGTTCTTGCCTGGCTCATTGCTTGGCTTCCAGAATGCTGCCGTGAATGAGCAGGCTCGTGCGATGCTGGGCGTCGCCGAGATCAACTGGAAAGTGGGAGATCGATGTCTAGCTCTTTACTGGGAAGATAACAATGTATGTAACCATATTAGTGGACTCAGGACTCACTGTCTGTACTCGTATTCTCTTTTACATGAGTGTCATTTGTTTTTTTGTAGTTCTACGAAGCTGAGATTACCGGTATATCGGCCAACACGGTTGTAGTGAAATTTTGCGCATATGGTAATCATGAAGAAGTGCTGAAGTCCAACTGCTTGCCCTACCCAAATCAAGGTAAGCTGGTTGATGCTGAGGCTTCAGTTTTATTTATGCAATAATGATATAAACATATTAGTGTTCAGCAGTTATTTAAATTAAAACGTCATTAATATTAAAAAACTATTACACATATATTTTGTAGGCTTCTAGAATCTGTTGATATGGCAAAGTCGTGTGTTACAGCGTCTTCGAGTGGTGGATACGCGTCGCGCGGTGTTTTCTCGGCGCGGAGGCCCTAGTGGCGCGGGGCGGCGCCGCGGGACTTCGCCCCCGGCCCCGCCACCCTTGTGCCGCGCGCTCTGCCTCTGCCGGCCAGCTGATACCCCCTGCACATAGACCGACACCAGCTGCACTACTGGAGCGACCCAGACAGGATCACAATGTTTGTTGCCACTTGGAACTATGAACGGGACGTGCTCCTCGGCAATGATCCTTTGCACGTCGGCCACGTATAAGTTTCAAATTCAGGTCCTATCCTCAGACCGTCGCCCGTCACTCTTTATTTTAATAATCACTAGGTTCCTATATATTTTTGGCATACTGATAAACTGTAACTGGAATATACCCTTCGAATATTATTTTAATATTTTAAGATGCAGCTAATAAGTCTAATAATTTTGAGAGCAGGCTGTTTGTCTGCTCACCTTCAACCCAAAAGCTAACGCAATATGTTTAATCATTATTAATTATTTATCAATAAGTTAAAGTAATATATCAATGGCTATTTTAAGTTTCAATTTTTACTTTTATTGCATTATAAGAAAAGCGAAATTAAGAAGTTAGACTTGAAAATTATAAAATGCGTTTCTTCCTATAAGTAGCTTTTTCAATTCAACAATGATACACAACGGTGCGCAGTGTCATAATGGTGATCAAAAGTAAGAATTTGATTCATCTTAAAGCAGGAGAATCTCGAACGAGCGTAGTGACGTTTCCTCTAGGAGAAATGTTAATGGGAGTTACCTGTTACCCGCTGGATCTTAATTTTCCGTTGTGCTGACTGAGACTTCGCATTTATCGGACACGAAACTGTTACCACTGTGTAGCTTCCTGTAAAGCTTGTTACGTGAATATCGATGTCAATTTAAAACATAAGTAATAGATACCACGATGTTGCGAAACTTGTGAAGATATATCTCGATGTATTTAGGATTAGTCTTAATTCGCCAATGATGTTGATAATGCTGATCGTGGGGGGGGGGACGAAGGACACTAGGAACACATAAAGACATTATCAGTCACTGGCGGACGTTCCGATGTTAAAGTTACAGGTGTACGTTGATAGATGTCTGGTGTCATGAGTCGTATTTGCCATCATTTGCATTTAAACTGGAGCTACACTTGAAACTGTTGTGTTTATAGTGAATTTTAATGAAAGTAAGGTCTTAGTGTAATCCTCAAACATTAATTTATTGTCTTTCTATAACCTCAAAGCGTAGTGTTAGCTTGTGTAAGTGTATTTTGTTGAATCATTAGCGCAAAGTGTGTAATATATTAATTTATCGTCTAAGTAAATGTTTAGTGTTTTACTCATGTGTATAAATTAATCGTACGCGAAATCACATCGTATGTGAGGCCAGCCATCGCTACTCGTCTTCCTACCGTTCGGTACGGGAGTGGGACGCGCCTAAACGGATTATTTTTTTAGATGTTTCAAATCTAAACCAAAGCTCAATATTAGTTTCCGTGAAGCGGCGCTCTCGGAGCTCTCGGCGCTCTCGGCGCGTAGACGACTATCGCTTTCTACGACTATACATTTGTACTAATTTATGTTAAGGTAACGATTTACTAACAAAAGCTAATAAAAGATCTAAATTATTAGCAGTTTTATTTTGTCGGGCCTCCGACTGCCTCTTTCGTAGCTTAGCATTGCGTTAGTCACGAGAGGTGCTTTAATACAATCACACAAACGCAGAAACGGTTCTATTTTGTCGTATTATATATTTCAAACTAAATTTAAACATTTTGTTTTAATTATATAAAAAAATAATTATTATTGTAACAATGTGGCGCTTTAATTATGTCGAATGTTTAGAGTAACGATTTTGAAAGGGTGAAGAGCGGAATCGCATACGCAAGGTTCTGCATACCGGTAACTATGTAAGGAACAAATTTTATATTGTAACCTTTTTTTATTATCTCAACTGCCAACCTGTTGCCATTTAGGTTCTAATCTCGAATAAAAAATGCGTTTATTTTATTGTTACCTGTCTTAGGTATGTACTTTATTTTCTTTAAAGTAAATACAAATTATTTACTTTAGTCATCATATTACACTTACTTACTGTCATTATGACCCTTCGAGTACGGAACGCCGAAAACCAAAGTTGTTTATGTACTTAATAATGTTCAACCAGTATAAGTTAGCCGATCCCAAGCCCGTGAGTCGGCGGGGGGCGTCGAGGGGCGTCGAGGCTTGCGTGCCGAACGCGTAAAACAAACCAGTTGGATTGTTATCACCGACCGCGGTTGACCTTTCTCCACGCTTCAACTTGAATGAAGCCTCTCTAGTCTTTGTGTTTACGCTGTAGTATCATGTGATGATCATATTCGACAGTGTTGTGTTTTCGTATTCTGGGCACTAGTATTGACGGTGAATATTATTTTTGGTTAAGTGTGAGTGTCGCTTACAGTGTTATTTACAAATTTGGTTTGTTGATATTTATGAATGAAAGTGTACGTTTGCGGAAAAATTGGCGCAACATTAGAGATGTAACTTTCACTAATCTAACACTAGAGAAGGGAGCAGGGGAACCTTGCATTATACCCTCACCTTGAGAGGTGCGTCTGCGCAACATTGCTCGTAGGCAGTTCTCGTAAGTCGTAACATATCAATATGTAGCACGATGCGACGTGATGGTATGTTAGACACTGGATCGCCGATAAATAAATACACGCAGCAGATTTAAATAACAGGATGTGAACCCGTGATGTCCGTAAATTGAAACATATTAAGTAAATAAAATTCCTGACCAATAAAAACCACGACAACGTCGATTTTATTTTACGAGTGCTGAACTCGTGGCGACCGCGTCTTCATTTGATACTTCAAATTCATGTCTTTCTAAGCATATTATGAAATTGAGGGTAGATGTTAAATCCATAGTTTTAAATTACTTATCGTTTCATAGTATACGGTACGTTATTTGGCAATATCGTACCGTATTATTAACTACATAAATAGTGATAATAGCGACATGTTTCTGTAAATTGATTATTTAAAAAAACAAATACTGAGTTTACAAAATGAGAAAAGTCATGCATATACAATCTAGTGCTGTCAGTAGAAATAATATCCCGGATAGAGATCGGAGGTAAGCGTGGCCCAGTAGATCAATGGCCACAAATTGTGTGTAGTGTATACGAGTGTTTGTTTTAAAATTAATGTTGGCTAGTGATTAATGTTGGCCAATCACTTACATACGAAATGGAAAATCAGGACCGTGTTTATGATGGGTAACTTAAGAAATTTTATTATGATGTGGACTTATGACAGTAGTATATATAGAAATAAAATAGATACTTCATAATATTACGATTTATTTAGCTAACGGCTGTATTCGAAAAATTGTCTATATAAAAGTATGTTTAAATACATGTTCAATGGTATTAGGAAATTAGCAATCCTTGACTTTATGAAACGAATAATCTAATATTTCAGAACGGCATTTGGCACAATGGATAGCTGCGGCCGATGTATGAAAGTGTCGCTGGTTGCGATCAATGTCGTCACATTTGTAAGTACATACTTGTGTTTTATTGTCCTATTTAATTCTATAACTTCAATTAAAAATAACTATCTCTAATGGATAACTTCTCTCTAATGCACTTCTTCGAATCGCAAGAATCAAATGTCGTTTTGGTAGCGCATTCCTATGCTTGTCAAAATGTGTAATGCCTAAGAGCGTTTCACTATAGAAAACGTATTGACGCACTTCTTTTCACGTTATATTTATAGAAAGTAGAACTTGTTAAAGTTGCGTACTTTTTTTATAACTTGGCTTTACTTAAGGAAACCGGTACTATGCGTTTCAAGTTGGCAATTGAGTCAATAAATAACTACTTCTTCATCTATTTTGCAGCTGTAAAAGTGTTTCAACAACGATTTGCGCCATTTTTCGGCCAGGCTCCACAGGATTTTTGAACCTTATTAAGCAAGTGTTTAGGATAGAATTTCATTTCGCGACAGCATGGAACGCCGTGGACGCCAGTTCAAGTCCTGCCCGTGTCGCAAAATTGTCTCAATCTAGGATTGAGTTTAAGTAATACACTGTTCTAAATTGGCAGTTGGGAGGTCTATTGGCAGTGGCCATAGGACTATGGATCTGGACGTCGCGGTCTTTCTCCAGCACGCTCATGAGCAACAACATGTACATCGCGTCGGTCGTGGTGGTCGTGGCTATGGGCGCTGCGATCATGATGCTCTCCTTCCTCGGCTGTTGTGGTGCTGCTAAAGAAGTCAAGTGCATGCTACTTACGGTATTGATTTTTAAAATAGTCCCCTCGCAATATTATTGTTGATATTATGATCAATATGGGACTCCTAGAAGGTTTGGGTCCGAATAACAAAAAATCATGAATACAAAATACCCACAAGGTTTGTTGAAACAATATTAATATATTTACCTATTTACCAATCTTTGAGCTCCTAAAGTCGTCGTCGCTAATCATTACGAAGTAATTATTACAAAGCATGACTTATTTTCGTTTTCAGTATTATATTCTGGTGTTCATAATCTTCGTGGCAATGTTGGTTGGCGGTATACTCCTGTTCGTCTTCCGCGAGAAGGTTCTGACGACCCTCGACCGTGAAATGCACGCGTCCATCCCCAACTACGGGGTGAAGCACGAGTACACGCGCGCCTGGGACGACACACAAACGTACCTCCAATGCTGCGGGGTCAAGAGCCATAATGACTGGAACGGTAACGTTCCTGACAGCTGCTGTAAAGAAGTCTACCCGGGCAAGGTAATAAGCGCCGATAGTTATTCTTTTCATGACAGAAGAGGACAGGCCAACACGGGGTTCACTCGATGGTAGGTGAAATACCTCAGCCTATAGCATCGAAACAAGATGTGCTGTCGGCCTATTATGGCTTTGGACATTCGGAAATCCAGACTGTGTGAATCGCGATTTTACTTGACGGCTATTTCATCTATGGACGGTGGTTCGTGACCCGGCCGGAATTTCGATATTTCTACCACCCATTCAAGTCGGGACTTCCAAAGGATGTCCAGCGTCGAATTTATGACATATTGAAATATGTGTAGGTATCGCGCCCATGACCCGTTCATTATTATTCATTCATTGCTACCATTACACCAGCGAGGCCGTCAAAACGAATAAACGGTTTCGTTCGGAAATCGTAGTAATACATACAATATATAGTTCGCTTCATTATTTCCAGCGACTGGACTGCAAGTATTCCCCGAATCCAACGACAATGTACATGGACGGCTGCTTGAACAAGACCATCGACTTGCTGCGAGAAGACGCGGTGTATGTCGGGGCGGTCGCTATCATTGTGGCGTTGATTATGGTTAGTTGCATTTCTTGAAATCGGAAGTGAACAGACGCGATAAGTACAAAGGATTAGCTTATTTAAAGAGCAACAAAATAAACACCAAAGTTTATATTTCAGAAATCCTGTGTTACTTCATTTGTTTTATTTTTTTATAGTTACAGTTTGCATTGTCATTACAATTGTGATCGAGCCTACACGTAAAATAAATGTATCTTCTGTTGTAGGTGCTGGCACTGATATTCTCCTGCGGACTATTTGTTAAAATAGAATAGACATGATAGACTGCAAACCTGGATCGTCGATAAGTATTCTGACTTTAAAGTATTCATAAGAATCTCGGTATTATAGTCGTATGTTTTATACGCACTGTTTATATTTTTTACAAATAAAAGTACGCTGATTTCCTATATTTTTTTTTATTATAGTAAAAAAATGAAAATCTAAGAAACATAACGAGTACAGTGTAAATAACATATCGAAGCCGGTTCCACGCTTAATTCTTTCGTCTTGGAGGAAATTTAATCGTATTGGGGTTGCCCTCTTTGTATTGTCCGTTTCGCGTGAACCAACCGCAGTATCTGATGATGCAATCCGAGGTGGTGGTGCCGAGCGGTAAGCCGAGGGCACTGATCCTCTCTAGCGCCTGTGCCGGACCTCCAACGATCTGTGACAATGTAGAAAGTATACATATTATATGTACTCAATTGTAAGACTAACGTATGTGCTACAAATATACTTACTCTTCCGAAAACTACGTGTTTGCCATCGAATTGAGATAGCGGCTTAAATATTATGTTAAACTGGCCGCATACTTCATTATCTGGCGTCACCACCATGGATAAAACACCTTCGAAAATACAATATTAATTATTACGTTGGCAATACAATGTATTCTCTCGAAAATATTCTTCCTCCAAATATTTACCAGGCACGGAATGTTTCAGGCGAAACCCTTCAGGTCCCGGGGGTTCTGTTTGCCCTTCCGTCAAATAACAACCGAATCCATTGTCTTTTGTGACGTCACCGGCTCGGCAGTATAAGTTGGGTACGACCCTGAATACCAACTGACGTTAAACGGATAAGTGATACGAGTTAATGTGAGATTACTTATAATCGTGTGTACCTAAAAAACCTGGTACCCATGTAGGCGTGACCCCGACCGTCACCCTTGACGAGATTGAGAAACATTTGGCAGGTCTTCGGAACCAAGTCCGTGAATAGCTCAACCGTGACGCGGCCAATTTTGGAACCTCCGAGGACCCATATCTCCATTGACACCCTGGATTAAGTTTCGTCCTTTACTATAAATCGATTTATCTACATTCGTATAGAATAATGCTTACTTGGTCCTGTTAACACTGGGAGGTTTGTCGAATGCTGGGTCTCTGATGTCTCGATCGATTTTTTCCGTTTTAAATAAGATAAATGGCAGCCTGAAATTTTAAATGGATCTTAGTGAGTCCAAGTTGATAGCGACCATGTGTAATTCATAGCGTGACGTACGATGCGCCTAGAATTAGTTTATGTTTGGTATCCTTCCACAATTCTTCGAGCTCCTTCGTAAGAGGTTGTTCTGATCTCTGAAAATGTTGAAGGGAGTTATAAGAATCACAAATAGGTATATCTATACTAATATTAAAAAGAGGTAAACTCAAAAAGTACTGGACCAATATTAATAATTATTTTTTCATTAGAAAGCTACATTATCACTGAGTAACATAGGCTATATTTAGTACTCGATTACTATAGATATCTATTGAAATTCTTACTAAAACCAACGGAAGGCGTAAAAAAATAAGCCGTAAAATGTCTTTCTTCGCATACGCTGCCAAAAGTATTAATGATAGGACAAAAATATGTTCGACAATATTATAGAATATATTAATATCTGCAAACGAGAGCATATGTCTAACTATTGTAGTTACGTCGCTAGAACTACTTTTTTACATTTAACAAATTAATAGGAATGCCAATCAAAATCAGACCGTGTTATCCGTACCATTTATAAATGTATATCCGAGTAAATAACTTAATATTTAAGACTGTCTCAATACCTGATGATTATTTTTTTAATTATTGAAATCGGACATTCCATTAAAAATTTTGATGCTTCACTTAAAAAGTTCTTTTCAAAGCTACTTAGTTTAGTAATTTTAATATCTGTACTTGTTTATGTCTACCCGTGTGAAGCCGGGACAGGGCCGCTAGTTTACGTATAAAACGAGTTCAGAATTACTTACGGCGATTAAAAGCCGCGAATAGAAGTATAAGTTTTGTCTTCGTATTTCATCTAATACTCGCTGACGTTGCTTGCATAGCAGCTTGTTGTATGTGTCCGTTTGTTCAGGGTACATCCAGCAATCTACGAAACCCTGCGAAATATAATTTACAATTACTTTTGCTTAGTGTCGTTGCTTCCGTACACCTTTATAAAACTTATTCCCAAATTCCGTCACAATTTCCTAATCTATTTATAATTACTCCAGTCCGTTGAATGAGGTTAATCCTCTTCAGCAGCTCCTTGTTGACGTTCATGTTTTCCTCGAGTTGTCTGGCGTAGTAGTTCAGTCGGCGAGGCTTCAGATATAGTTCTGGGAACAACTCCGGCGGCCTGTCGTCCACTTTGTGCTTCGCAAGTTGCAACTGCAATCAAGATGAGAAAGAAGAAGAAGAGAGAGAGATAAGTCATTTAAATGCCTATGCTCGCGTTTGTACGCTTCTCTATTTAGGTATATAAAAGTTTACCTCTTTTTGGTGATTGCACCACGTCGCATAGAAATCTTTTGACAAAAGAGGAAATCTCGGAGGCTAGAAATCACAAAATTAAGAAATATATTATTTATTTATGGTTCAAACATAAAAACAACTGTCAGCCTTATTGCTTAGCTACCAGGGATTTTACATATGCAATATACGAATGTACCAATTTGAATTCCCTGGGCTTCCTAATGCGTGGTGGTCGTGGTCTTTCTGGCTCAGGAGGTGGAGTGCGCAGGAGTGGATTCTCCAATAAAGCATCGCAGGCTCGTTCGCGATGCGGAAGCATTTCTAAATGATTTTGTATATAAAAAAAACGATTTTAGGTTTAAAAAATATACGACATAGGCAGGACTTGAATTGGCAACCACAGCGTTTCGTGCTGTTGCTGTAACCAATGATGTTAATTACGGAAAATATCCATCCTTTTCAATATACTTTTGAAAATATAATACTTAATGTGAGCAAACGAAGATTTGCTATGAAAATATTAAAAGGCGTCTATAGATGACTACAAATTTTCTCCCCTATTAAGATTTAGGATAAATAAAAGGTACATTCTTTAAGTGGCATACCTATAACTATTTTATTGTACTTATTTTCAGGTTACACCCCCGACTCTAACGATCAGGGCCGCAGCTTATTTATTTTTTATAATCATTGTTCCCGTTATTTGTACATAACATTGAATTCTATCAAAGGTACATTAGAGTTACTTTACCTTCGTTTATATATAATCATATATGAAACAATACACTCGTCTTTTTGATACGACAAATTGAAGATATAATACTATTTAAAATTACCTGTGTGTCGTAACGAGAGATTTCAATTGTCGATAAACAACTCTAAATTTTGTTTTATTAATGATGATAAATTGTTATATAATTATAGGTTTCAAATGATCTGCGTAATTAGATCTGCAAACTATCCTAGTATTTGTTTGGTAAATGTTTATCTCGGCCTCGAGTCAAATTCTAGCAGAGACAACTGACTTCTACAAGAAGCAAGAAGGTTTATATTTAGCTATTTTGTACACATACATTTGAATAACTTGCTTCGGGCAATTTGCTTTGATAAAACTGCGTCAATAGGCTTGCGTTGTGAGAAAATGGTGTTTTTCATGTAAAAAAAAACAAACTTGTCGGTGGCTAGTCACAATTTTTAAAGTAAAAATGTTTAATTAAAAACTAAGCACAATTTACTATTGGATAATGTCAATACCAGTTCCTATCTACGATCACGCTGAATTGTCGTTTGTTAATAATCTGTGCTGAACTCTTCATAGTCATCGCGGCGTCGACAATTCTTCTCGCGCTTAGCCTTAGCGATCACTGTGTATGTGGATGCGCTGTGCTGTAATCTCCGATATTTTATGTTGACTGTGTTCACTTCCGAGTCGAAATCTACTTTCGGAGGCCCCACCCAATTATCCACGCTCACACGGACGTATTGTAAGTCCATACATTGCGGTAACTGAAAGCATACAGCCGAGAAAACTAAAGAATTAAGCAGTTAGCCCCGTGTCTTTATTTTATGCTACCTGTAGTAGAACTTACAACTATCGGCACTTGAACGTGCTTTTCCAGTAAGCCTATTGAGCCAGACTTCGTGAACGATACTATTCCTCTATTACGACCTAGAACAAAGAATAAATTGGTGTGAATCGGAAGTCGCAAGTCGTTATTAAGCTTCAAAAAATTAAATACGGTGCTCACCAAATTCGAACACATCTTCCGCCGCTGCAGTTGAACATAAAATCCCAGTTATAAGTATGATCATCGACATAATAATTTCCTGAAATCAATAACAGAAGTGTGACGTACAAACACAAACGGTGGAATGAGAGAAATTCTTATATCACCTTAATTTTAAAGCAACTAAGTATGTAGCGATTAAATTGAAACTTAAATACTAATTATCATGGTTAAATCTAAGTAATATAAAATAGAGGTTTTATGTTTTAAATTAATCGAACAAGGAACTAATCGTTGTTTAATTTGGTCGCACTGGAACCGCATGAGATGGTGTTCGCCTAACGCTTTTTACAGTTATCTATTGTGGAATATTTTAGGGATGAAATATGGAATATCAAGTTATGTTCCATTCACGAGAAGTTAATTTGTGCTGAACAAGTGAATATGTCATCTATCTGTAGACCAATAGATGTTAAAAATTTATAACATCCTGAGAGCTTTATTTTGCAAAAAATGATGTCAACTCAACTCTTTTATCATCATTTATACAATGTAACTACATATAAAACCTGGTTTAGGTACCGTTGTTTTATAGAATATACCTAAATGTATTGTTGTGATTTATGGGGTTTTTATTAAACAGTTATGTAATTAGTAGTATTCTTTATTTTATTATAAGGTGAGTCATAATAAGTTTTAATCACAAAACTATATAATTTTGTACTTTATCATATATAGGTAGATCAGCATGTTATTTATTAGACTCCTACTCGTAATCATAGTCATCTTCGCTCTTACAGTTCTTCATGGGGACAGCTTTAGCGACGACCGTGAAGGTAGATTTGCTGTATTGGAGTCTTCTGTACCTTATGCTCACAGTCGTGACGTCAGCGTCGAAATCAACCTTCGGGGGCCCTCGTTTATTGTCGACGTTGACGCGAACGTATCGTAAATCCATGCATGGAGGCAGCTGAAAAAGTACAATGAGTTAACTTTTAAGACTCAGTTTTGTTTATGGGTTTGCATTTAACCTAACGTAGGTAGACATAAAGAATTACTTACGACGATTGGCACTTTGACATTTTTATCCAGTAAACTAATCTTACCAGTTTTTGTAAATGATACAGTCCCTACATTATTGCCTGAAACAGTATAAAATACTGAAATTATATCCATACAAGCAATATCAGTCAAATACGAAGTGTAAAAAAATTAAAGATTTCTGAATATAAGGTGAGTTTTCTTGTGTAATGAATACTAGAATTGTTAAGTGATTATCAACGCACCGAACTCAAACACGTCTACTGTCCTAGCCCCAGTAGTCACGGACAGCTGATAAAGAACAAATAAGGCGAAAGGTAGCCAATTCATTTTAATGAAATGAAAAGTAAGAAAGACAAACACCTTGAATTTATAACACACAGCGTATAATACTCTATAGTAAAACACTTGTAACGCAAATTAAAATCCATTATTATTATTGATTTAAACCTTTAAGCCGTTGTTATAAATAATGAACGTTATTAGTTCCACATTAACTAAACATGGATGTAAAATATCTTAGAAAATATTGACTATTTGTATGACGTATTGTGTACTCAGTTTTAGGTTTGGGAGCCTGATTAAAAATTGGCGGAGAGTTGAAATTGTTGAAATGTTTTTATTTACTCATAACTTTCCACGCAAGATATGGAGGGGACCCCCTTCGCGATGACCGTGTAGCTTGATCTGCTTCGCTGCCTTCTGCGGTACGTGATGATGACCGTGCTCGCGTCCGAGTCGAAGTCCACTTTGGGCGGCGCCCTTGGATTATCGACGTCCACTCGGACGTACGATACGTCCATGCAGAGCGGTAGCTGCGTCAAAAACATACGGATTTTACTTTAGTCCTCATACTTTACCTTCTCAATATCTGTTAACAAAGCAAATACGCACTACAACAGGTACTTCGACGTGCTTCTCTCGTGGTCCTATTTTTCCGGATTGTGAAAATATGACGGCGCCCTGGTTATCACCTAATTAGTGACGAAGACAAATTTTATGAGAAGTGGCGTTTAATAAACGTAATATTTCGAATAAAACTGATTAAAGGCTTATTTTTTCCGAAACTTACCGAACTGGAAAACATCGACCGATGCTGTAATATTGAACGTAGAGAGTAAAATGTAAAGTACAAGAGACGATAGCGACTTCATGGTTGTCCGAATCAGCCTAATGTACACGAAGCCACCAGCCATGCGAATGTTTTTCCTGCCCTTATATGCAATTAAGAATTTTCCCTAATTAACTTTAGAGCAATGAAAATTGGATCTTAAAACGATCCTAATATGAAACACTTTAAAATCCTACAGTTACATACATTTCGCAACGGCTTCATACTTCTTAAACTAATATGTTTTAATGAGTGTAGATAATTAGTATATTCGTTGTTAATGAAGACTAGGACAGCACGAAAATAAAAATAAAATATATTTTAATAATTAATGTTGATTTAATGTCTAAGTAAGAAACTACTTGCTGGATGGGACGGATAGAATTTATACAAAGTGTCAAATCCGAGAAATTTGATATTTAGACACTACCGTAATTAATAAAAATAAGATAAAGAAATATGATAGTGATTCCTACTTTTGGTTTATTTGGCGGTACTTATTATTTAAAACTAATTCCTCCAAACTCCTCTGTGACTGTCAGTTTACACCAGCGCGATATTTAAATTACCTTCACAGTGACAGAGAGATAAGTCAGAAAAAAATTGTGTTGCAAAAAATATTTCATTTAAAAGTATAACAATTTGATAAAAATGAAAAGCAGCGGACTGGTTTTATTTGTGTGTGCTGGTTTGCTATTGGTAATTGCTTAAGTTTTTAGTTCGGGAATATTCAGGCCATATGTTTTTATTTACTGCACTGAGTCTCGTCCTTTCAGAGCGGTGGTGCCGTTTTAGGCGGTTCGACAGCGTGGAACCTCTTCCGCATGTCCTACTACTTCTGGACGACGGACTTGGGCGTCGAACTGGGGTCAAGCGTGCTCTTCCTTTCTGGGGCACTACTCTGCCTACCCGCATGTTGGCTATCTACCTTAGTCCCATACTATAAGAAGTCGACGACACTTTTAGCTACGGTGCGCAAACTTTTGTCATGTCCGTGCCGCTTTGAATTTAGATTGAATCTATTTGTACTAAATTGTAATAAAAATTGTCTAGTTAATGGTCCTAGTGACTGTGGCATTAGTATTGCTATCGACTGGTATATCTTCGATTATGGCGCTGTCGAAAGCCACTCGAGATCCGGCTGGGCTCAACGCCAGCATGTTGCGGTCCATGTCCCTCGAAGCTATAGATCCAGCTGTCAAGAGTGCCTTCACAGCTATGCAAATTGAGGTGATACAGGCGACCATAATGTGGATGTTATTTATTCTTGAATTGAAAGTTTCAAAAATGATGCGATGATTTCAGTTGAAATGCTGCGGCGTCCAGTCCCACACGGACTGGTACCTCCATCGACGGAATATACCACCGGCCTGCTGTGGTCGTTTATTTGCAGGAAGGGTTAGCGAGTTACTGTTTTAAACATGTTGTACGCTGTCACTCGCTCAAGGTGTATATTTTATTTTCTAGCAAGAAGGCCGGTGCGCATACCCACTCCACCCGACGGGGTGCTTGGGACCAGCTATAAGGGAACTCCGCCTTTATGTCAATTCGCTGACCGTTGTCGCTTGTGGTATAATTCTAGTTATGGTATGATTTTAATCTTCTTACCAGAAGAAGTCCTTATCGTATCTCAATGTGCCCGGCCCTGAGTCGAATTAATAGCCTTTATGATAAAGAACAGACAGGCATGGAGTACAATTGTTGTTTGACGGAATACCCTAGCCCTATAACATCTCAATGAGACGCTGTCGAAAACTGAAAATTGATCCCGATATCTGGAGTTGGACCCGGTGGATCGAACCTACGACCCCTTATTGGCCATCCATTGCTACCATGAGACGAACATTCCTCTTTTTTTGTCAACTTTTTTTTAATTTTTTAACACAGCCGTGTGTAAAATAAAGTTTTTCTCGTTAACACTTCTGTGATGTGTGACTTTTTAATTTTCATCAAGGGTCAATAATTCTTTTGTGGTAGGCGGTGACCCTCTTTGCGACCTCGTACACCTTGGTGTCTGGTGTGGTGGAGCGTGCTAATAAAACTCTACAACCTCTTCGCATTGCCTGCCTGAACAACTCGCCAGCATTCCTACACAGAAATTCGTCCGCAAACTATAACGTTGTCACCGGCGCCATAAATAACAACAATCCCACCCAAGGAATCTATCCTTCCTTGGTACCTCCGACTAATCCTGCTTTTTGCCCCAGTTAAGCTACATACATTCCCTATTTACATTTTGGGACAGTACTGTTGGAACATTGTAGGAAAATTTGTTGGGAGTTTATGGTGCTAATATACTATTTAAAATCTTACTATTTAAATTATTGTCATGTCGTATTTATTAAAATTGGTATCTTTTATTCTCAGTCAGTTTTATTTTGAACACCCAAAGCATAGTAATAAATAAAAACACATCTCGTAGACGGTAAAAGGAAAATGCATCATTACGTGGATATCTTTTTAATTGTAATTTTTTGAACACAATACAACATGCAAGCATAAGAATGCTTTATGAAATTAAGAAACAATCATATCTCTTCTATATTTGGTACCTATTTTTGGTTTATTTCAAAATGAAAACGACCATATTTATACAAAGACAAACATAAACTATAATAATATATTACGAAAGATTTCTTACATCGTGGCGACGTAGCACGAGCGGCGGCAGAATCTGTGCGATTTCTTATTTACAAACTTTATACACTTCGAGCTACGGTTTAGGCCTCGCGTTCGCCGACAGAGGCCGCGTCGCCCGTGGGACGTCGCCCGGGGCCGGCGCCCGCGGGCCGCCGTCGCCGCGTTCCTTTATTACAACAACAGCTACACAGTACCGTTACAAGTCTAGATTAATATAAGAAGCGATCGTAGTCATAATTTAGAATTCGAAGATTACAGATGCGGCGAGGAACGCGCCGAGGGCGGGCGCGCGATCGGGCGCGTCGGCCGGGCCGAGGGCGCGCCGACCGCATCTACGACAACTATAGTATTGCTACGACGAAGGTGAAGCGCTCGGGTCGGGGCGCGACGGGCCGGCGCGGCGGGCGCGCCGTCGTCGAGCGAGGCCGGGAAGCGCGGCGCGCCCGCCTCAATTGGTTAACATTAGATCTATCTAGAATAAATAAGGTGTGCGTGGAGGTCAGGGCGGCTCTAGCGCCGCGCGCCGCGGTGCTTGCGGTGGGCCCGAGGCGCGCGCCCCAGCCACAGCGCCGCCAGCGCCAGCGCCGCCGTCACCGAGCGGCGGGCTCTGCGCACGGAACGGAACATCAGTACGGGGCTATACGCGGCAGACGGCGTCGACGTGAACATGCCACAAGTACGAAATGTCTACATTTTCATACAGAATAAGCTTGGAAATAAAAGGGACAGTCAATTTAGATTACCACTGTAAAGTCTACACCGACTAAGCCGATATATTTTATAAGGGATACCACATATCTATCAACATTTTGGAAACTAAGAACCACAGTAGATTTCTTAAGTCAATATTGCATTCATTGGCTAAAAACTTTATTGCTACGTAAGTTCAAGGGTAAAAATAAGATAAAAAGAGATATATACACATGCCTAAAACAGATAATATCGAGAAAAGTACTCGGGGCAATGAGAAATGCGCTAAAGTCATGCGAATGTATTAAAGAATTGCAAATTTTCTTTCAAATGTCTTCAATTTCCTCACAAAGGTGGTAATTTCAAGTTTCAAATTAAAGTGCAAACTAAAACTCGAACAATCTAACGAGTAACTAACTAGTAGAGAGTTAGAATAATAAAGTATTTTGAGATACTTTATTCAGAAAGTTAGTTAGTTGTTAGAAACTGTACTGAAAGTGAGAATCTCGGACTTTGGTAAAAAGTAAAAATAATCGGTGATAGGCAAAAATAAACAATTATCAGATTGAAGACATAAAAAAGAGAACACAAAATAGCAATGTACGAATGAATAAGAAGAGTGGGGATGGTTACCGATGCACACAACACGCGAGATTGCTCACCAAAGTAGCGGCGCACTGCCCGCCCTGCAACAAGCGACAAGGCTTTCACTCCACGCCAACGATTCCACTCGAATACATATGATCCCTTACTCAATGGCCTCGTCAAGGAAAATCTTACAGGGTTATGAGGCGATAATTCGGGACTCGAGTATTCTAGTAGAAACGTTTTGGTTATCACAATTTTAATGGTTACGAGGTTTTGTTAAATGAAGGTTAGTATTTGAAATCTTTTAATGTTTCCGATCGGTTACACATCAATTACACACAAGCATAGAAACGTCGAATGTATGACATGATGAAGGACGAGAAGTCAAAATTATAAATTTTCTGCACTCTTGCAAGAGAGAATCTGAAAGAAGGGACTCATAAATATCTCTAGGATACTCCTAAAGACCTAAGAGTCTTGCTTAAATGTCACTGATATATATAGTATGCATTTTGTGTTAAAAGAAGCGGGGTGTACGTACAGCGCAGGCGGCGCAGTGCGGGGGCGCGCAGCCGGCCAGCTCGAGGCGGTGCGGCGCGCGCCACTCGCCCGCCGCGCCCGCTTCGCCGCCCGCGCAGCATCCGCCGCCTTCTTCGCACTCCGGCTCCCAACAGTCCACTTCACCCAACTTGAACGTTAACAAATCGAAGGTAGTTTAGCATAAACAAAAGGCCTTTAAGCTGTTCCGAGGCAATCGCGTTAAGCCGCGACACTTACGAGGCATTCGCATATCTGACATTGGTACAACCAGCGCTCCCCGCTTCGAAAAGTCACGTGGTGCATCTCCTGGTGGCGGCAATGAAAACGTGGCTCGCAATGCGGACAGCAAGACGCCGGCGCCACTCTCATCTCGTTCTCTGAACTGTCCATCTGAAACCGAAAACGCAGCTCATAAATACATAATAAATAGGCAATTTCTTAGAACCTTTTTTTGAACATGTAGGCTACTTTTGAGCCTTTTATTACCGCTAGTGAGGTATTGTCTGTATCACAAGCGCAGAGTGCGCGCGCGCACGAAGCGATTCCAGCGTCACACGAGCAAGCTCGGCAACCGCCCGCTTCCTTCCACCGCGATCCGTCCGGGATTATGTTGCCTTGCCAGGAACAACCTGCGAATTGACGTAACAAATGCATACATTATGTAATCGAGTTGGTACGAAAGTGTTTATGTCATGACCATAAGAGGTCACTCTTATGGTAACGTTGAATTTAATTTTTATCTTAATGTTAATGATTAGCCACTCCTTACTAAGCTCGCAGGGCTGCGTATCGCATTCACAGCGAAAGCCTCCTTCTACGTTAACGCAGCGAGCACTGGGGTGGCAAGTGTGAAAGCCTTCGGCGCATTCGTCTACGTCTGAAAGAGATAAATATTGCTCTGTAAATAAGATTCATCTTTCATTGGCACGAGGAGAACGATGGACGCTGGACGACCAGTAACAACACTACCTTCGCAATGGTCTCTGTGCGGGTCTCGTCTGTAGCCGTCTCTGCAAACGCAGTAGTAAGAGCCAGGCGTGTTGACGCAGCTAGCTCGCGGCACGCAAGGCGCGTGCGCGGACGGGTGTGCCGGCGGCGCGCACTCGTCCACGTCCCGCTCGCAACGCGTTCCGCCGAACCCGTGCGCGCACGCGCAGCGCTCGGGGCCCGCGCAAACCCCGCCATTGAGACACCCACCCGTACAAATTGCTGTCAAACATACGTATTACTTTTTATACCCTATTTACTTCATTTTATATTCAAACTGAAATTTTAAAAATATACTTACGGGTGCAAGCGTAGCCGTCTCCCGTATAGCCTTCCCTGCACTGGCACGTGTAAGATCCGGGCGTGTTGGCGCACTGCGCGTCCTCGTGGCAGCCGTGCGTCTGACTCGCGCACTCGTCGACCTCGACGCAGTTGAATTTGTCTTTGCGGGTGTACCCGGGCAGGCACTGGCACACGTAGCTTCCCAGGACGTTGACACATCGCGTATTCGAGTGACAGTGGTGGCCGTACAGACCCCCCGCTTGTTGACACTCGTCTACGTCTGCCATTAATAGATAGTTTTAGCAATGTAAACACAACACTTCAAATGTCTATGAGATGAGACTAGGACCCATAACTGACGGCGTGTATCTAACATTCTGCCATAAGCAATGAGAACAATTCGATTAACTGCCGAGTCCGTCTCGACTAATAAGAATGAAGGTGTCATGTGAAAAATATTATAGTTTACCTTCGCAAGAGAGTCCGTCTCCTTGAAAGCCTTGATTACACTTGCAAGTGTATTTTGTATTGAGATTCATACATGTCGCGTTTTCGTCACACGAGTGACCCATGCTACAGTAGTCCACGCCTGAAAGGACGTTATCGAATTAACTTTTAATTTAGTATATATATACAATGTATAAAAGTAAGTATGGATTACAATCTTTTGTCGATCGTGGCCACACTGAATATTGGTGATATATGATCGGTTCAACAAAGCTATGCCAACATTAAGACATATTTAAAGTAAATACTAAAAAAATACCTGGACAAAATTTACAACACTCCCCGGGCACAGTAAACTGATCCGGGGGATCGCAGGGCAGTGGGGGGCAAGCCGTTTCGGGGTCCACCCGGGTGCACTGCATGTTCCCGTCGTGGCAGACGCATTCTGCGCACTCTTTAGGGGCGAACCTTTCCCCGTGCTCGTAAAGAGTGCCCTTGAGTAAGCATTGTCCTGGAAAAGGGAAAAGTTAAAAATGTATTTAATTTTTTCACCCAAACTGAATTCTCGTCGATTTGATGTCTCAGGCCCGGTTACCATCACTAATCTTTTGGCGGTAGACCTTAAAGCCCGCCATTCCACATAGTGTGGTGGGTCTAAGTTCTTTAATATTCCTCCCCTATGCAAGATGAGGCCATATTGAAATATCACAATAAAAACTTCAAATTAAGAAGCGCTGATTTTGTTCAATAACTTAATATAAACGAAAGAAAATATCCAAAAGGATAGTTACAATTGAATTAAACCAGATGACTTAAATATTTGATAACTTCGATTTCGCAGTCAATATTTATTTATATTATTATTTACTAGGTAAATACAATTCGCGTTTCAAAACGTTTACAGTTTAATTATTATTTAACAGATCTCTACAATTCAATACAAATAATCTCTTTTCTTACTCAAGCACGTGGGACAGCATTCACCGGGATGTAAAACTGGATTTTTGCATTCCGCTCTATCGCACTCCACCGGTCGACACGTTATTTCGCCGTGCTGAAAGCAGAGAGGCCAAACGATGAGACATCTCTTCTAATAATTGTAAATTCCAATTTGTTTGTTGTTTAATTAAAATCTCACCACACACGAGCAGCGATTACAGTCCTTCTGCCAAGTGGCACCGTCTGCGTGAACCGTGCCGTTAGAGTAACAGGACTTTTGACAGTCGCACTGTTCTAACCGTTTCAGCCTTGCCTCGGTCCCGACGAGCTGAAAGAATTAAGTAATATTTAAACAATTAATTCTCAATTGAGCATTGTTACGTTTTATTTAAGTTACTTTGCTTAACGGTGCCTACCTTAAGCGAAAGATCATGAATATGTGAAGTTAATTCTTGAACGGTGGCCTGCAGCAGCGCAAACTGACCACAAGTAGGGCACTCTGAATCTAATCCAGGGCATTGAACTAAATATCCATGGGGGCCGCTCACCAATCTCACTTCTTGGAGTGAACCCTGAAATCGGTTATTCATTTAATATCGTTAACGGTTCGACTCCCATCTATCGATAGACCTGTCTATGTACCTTAAATAAGGAGTGCTTGCTATTTCTTTGCCCGACCCAAAGAGCGAGCTGAGGCTTCGTGAAGTTCCTATCCGGAGGTGGTATCAGCCGGCGGTACAGCGGATGACAATCCACGAAGAGCGTCGCTTGCGCACCGGACACGGCGAGCGCTACGCGATGCCAGGCGCCGTCCGCCAGCCTGAAGGGAAAAGTCTCGACTCGAGGCGTCGTCGCCCCCGCGGCCACGTAGTGGAGGCGCACCTCGTCGCGGCGCCCGCTCGACTGCAGCTCCAGGTACCTGCACATAACACGGTCTCATAGCTGTTACGTGCATCATCGCGCTCTCGGAACTTCCCTCCGAGCGAACCGTTCCGAGGTACACGCGAACAAAGCAAACAACACAAATTATACTCGGATAGCAGACGGGAAGGGGCCGACCGCGAGCGGGCTCCGGCTGGGTCTACATCTCAAAATCGCTCGCTCGGGATAGGGGAACATGTACCTCGGAACGAACGCTTTCGACGTCGAGAGGAAGAGTACGAGAACGCGCCTCCCGGTGTCCGAATGCAACGAGTCTACCGAAGGGAGGCCTTCGCCCGACGAGCGCGAAGGTCGGCCGATTCCCATGTCACTTGGAATGCAAGTGCGAAGCCCGGCGGAGGCCCCTCGCCCGACGAGTCCAGATATCGGATAACATCTAATCGAACACATAAAGGCGGGACGACGGGAACGGACAGACAGATACACAACACGTCAAGACACAGAACACAAAACGGACGACGGCGGAGGCACGGGGCGCATGCAAGTCGGGCCCCCCGTTCACGCTCGCGTCAACGGGTGGTCCGAGGGGGACATTCCGAGGCACGGGACATTCCAAGATACATGATTCTCCCCTATGCGCGCGCACGCATCGCATCGCGGGATGTGTGCGCGCGCAGCGATGTTGAGATCTAGAACTCACCTCGGGCGCCGCGGCAGCTCGCTAACTGTTCGCGTGATTATCCCTTCGCCTTTCGTCCCATCCCTTGGGCCTTCGAGTCGTAGCTCTATTTGACATCAAATTATAAGTTTGTTAGAAAACTTACAAGGACTGTCGTAGTATTTATATCAAATGCGTGCTACGCGTACTAAGACATTGAACATTCAGCGGGGTACGAGAATTACCTGTTGAAGCCGTGCGAGAAAGACAGGATGGTGCCGGAATTGGCCGGCTCTTGGCGTAAAGTGGCGAGAAGCGTGAATTCAGGAGACCGTCGCAGAAGTTCAGCGGCGCGCTCGAAGGGTGCCCCCTCGACCTGCAGTGACCGGGTGTCTCCTGTAATTACACAACAGACGATATATCAATATATATATCCCGATAAAAATATGAATATATTATGTACAATGAATTAACAATTATTTTAAACTAAACAAGAAAAATAAAAGTTGACCGGTTCGTTGGTTGCTATAATGGTATGGTAAATGGTATAATAATACTTGATTGAAAACTAATAATATAAAAGAATGGGAAACGTTACATAACCCCCGTTGTAACCTTAGAGTTCCTAAGCTGTAAGCTTTAATCATGTTCAACACTTCTAGCCTACGTGTTTATGTTTACTTGGAAATTAATTTCGACCTCATTATGAACGGTATGCTGTGCCATAAATTTCGATAGAAATCAGTAGATTCGGTCGGAGCGGCCGCAGCGGTATCGCAGTGCGAGGCCCTAACGATCGGCTTCGTACTTCGTCGACGTTGGCTCCGTGCCAGACGACTTGATCCCTCCAGATTCATTTCATTGCAATATTTCATTTGCATTCGTTGTTTTTTATTCACTGGTTAATCTAAACGTGGAACACAGATTTTTAAAATGAGCTTGAATCTTCTTTTATTTGCTGAGATGTAATTGGGATATAGTTTAAATTTATCACTTGTCCTTATCTATGTTTAAATTATAAAACATAATTAATAAAAAGTACTATGTACCAGAATTAAAATACGGAAATAACTTGAAAAACGTACGACGCGGGCAGGACTAACCGGCATCGTCAGCGTTCGGTGCTGTTCCTCTACCAATTGAGCTACCGGGGTCATCCTCGAATTTTTTCAATCTATTGATACATGCAATTTTTTAAATGTATTTTCGATTTTTGGTTTATATAGTGCCATCATATGAAAAATAATAAAGTCTTCAAATACTATTTTCATATTAAAAATCGTTAAAGAAGGTGATGTATGAAGCAAATAGTTACATTAGACATTGATTATATTCCCGTGAAAATAGACTTTACTAAAATATATCTTTTACACAAATAAACTGGTAAACAAGCAATCCTCGTGATTTGAAAATGTAAAACCAATTTTCATTCCATTTTTTGTTATTCTATGCAAGGAAGAGGGTAACGTTTTACCCTAATACTAAGTTCGTTCACCTTTTTTAATAAGCTCGAGTATTGTTTAACGGTAGCAATATTTGGATCACAGTAAGTTTTTTAATACTGCCGATAAAACAAGATAACGTATTGCTTATGTCATCCTGAAAATTACTATATAATTTACATAAATGATTTTACAATCCTTAGAAGTGTTTTATTTAATCTGTACACTCGCGTTTTGTTTACTGTATTACTTACAAATTATAACCTAACCGTAACCTTTTTTATTTAAATAGCTTTCGGCTTAAATTCTGAATGAGCCCAATTCACTTTCGCATTTTCAAAGCGAAATTTCAAAAGGTGTGAATAAATTGGCTTTAAGTGGTTCCACTTGAGGTTCGTTTTTATGTTTTATTTTTACTGTAAAAATGTTGTATTTAATTTGAGAAATGTAAAAGCTACAGGCATGCAATTTATGGCAACACTTTTAAATTATTCCCTTCTCTGTATTTATTAAAATTTATAGCGAACGTATAATAATTACATTTCAACCGATAAACAGGAACGATAAGACGTAACAATTATAATAGTCTAATAGCGTTTCAATTCTCACACGATCCGATTCACCCCATACGTAAATGTAGCGAGGCCCAAATATTGCGAATTGTTTGTATAAACATTATTGCACAGCACCCCAGGCGCAATATATTCATTGGGCGTCATTTATTGCGCAGGGACCACGAGGGGTACAAAAAAGAGTATTAAAAAAAATCTAATTTAGATGACCACGTTATCGTCAAATGTCAATACCACATACATTTTTAAACCTATAATCAATAGTACGTGAAAATAATAGTTTTTCTTGAGTAAGAGAAATGGGAGAGCTTTCGTACGAATAAATTTGTTTACATTGTATTAACGAGATTGTCTAATTCTAGTAGTATCAAACATCGTTTTTTTACTTGGGTTTTACGTAATTAATTATGCATTACGAAAAAACATCGTTTGCAGGATCGTACCGATTGTATGAAATGAATTACGTCATTTCTTCCAAAGCCTCGATGTCAGTTTCACACTTCAGGCACGAGATACAGCTATTGTGAAGCATTGAGCCGTCAAGTGCAGAGGCGAGTGGCGCAAAGTGTCGCTATCGTTCACAAAAGGAGCGCGAAATTCATTGGAGAAACGTATTCAACTTACACTCCCTGTACATAAAAATCAGCCAAATAATGGAAGGGGACTCTTATGAGATCTTCAAGAAAGTCGTAATTATTTCCTTATGTATGATAATAATTCATTACGAGCAGTTACGATTCAAAGTTTAGGAAACAAGCACTCCTTTCTAATTTAAATAAAACACTTCGACGGTTTAAAACGCGTAAACCGCAGACAGTATTCCTTTCTAATTGTTATCAAAGTGATTTCTCATTTCGCTACGCAGTGAAGCCTTGAAATACTTTTCCGTTGCGGGTACTGGGAGAACGACAAAGAGACGAGGCGAAACACAAGTAATGACGGCGAGATTAATCTCTCCGACCCAGATGTTTCGAGCTGTCACTGCACACGCCTTGGCCGCGGAGACAATGGCCGGGCGGCGTTTGACACCCCGGGAGCACCCCACCGGTTGCAGTCGGTCACCCTTCGGGCTTCGATATATGCGTTGTGACAGCGCGCACGACGTAGCGGCAAGTCTACAGGTCAGCGCGGTTCACGACAGAAGATATTAGTTCATTCTAACTTATTATTGCCGACGGAGTAAGTTAGAGCTACTTTATAATAAATCTGTTATTAAGTTTAAGGAGATATTTATGTTTTCATTCCGCCTTTTATAATGGTAGAGCAGGGCAGAGAAGCGTGGAAGGTGAAAGTGAAGTAATACCCCAGCCATATAAAATCTACAGAAGATTCGCTGTCGGCCTATTTTGGTTTGGAGATTCGAAACTTTTCTTACTTGGAATTTACGAGTTATAAGAGCTAATTTTACAAATTATACAAAGTTCATTTTCGCTGCTTTATTTATTTATTGATTGTTGCACAAAAATATTATTTGCATAAAGCTCCAAGTCGAAACCGATTAAGCTAATAGATAATGAATTCTCATTTGACAGCCCATTATCATAAATCGTTTACATCAATTAGATCGTTGCATATAAGAGACGAGGAAATTGAAATTTGTTACAATTGTAACGATGTTTGCTGCAGTTACGCCAATCTCGGTAACGACGGGATTACGCTTAGGGGTTGCGTTTATTTGCGGGTAGGATTAGAAACGCTTTGTCCCAAATGACTCGTGCAGACTGGACCGATGAGGGATTAAAAGCTTTGGTCTGCTTATGGCGATGTGGGTTGAAGTGAAAATTAGGAATGTTACTGGCTGGTCATTTATCATTTGACATTGAATTGAACGTTAGTTTCACTTGAAAGAGAATTCTCTGTTACTTCAGATTTCAGAACGATTTTCGCACTGCACTTACTTTAGAATGTTACTGTGGACAATTGTACGTCTTACTTCATTAATGATTTTAAGGAACTCTAATAAGTAAAAACGTGAAGAGAAGTCATTAAGTAAGAGAAGACTTAGTAATGTTAATCTTGGCCATAAAAAGAGAGGCGGAAGTGTTCTGTCAGTTCGTTCTTTTATTTGAGAACTGGTCGAACGTATAAAAGTTTAAGTGTTGTTCGTAGCGAAGGCGAGTAGTAAATGTTACGTGCATCCTCAGAACCATCGAAGGAACCCAGGATCCGTAGGTCTCAGTTGTAAAATTTAGATAAAAAAGTAAATTGCATTTACGTTAATAGACGTACCTAGTTACCTAAAATGAGTAATATTGGCTGTAAATTTCATGCGCATTGCTTTTTAATGCTTCCGCTAGTCATAATAGAATAATCGCATTAAAACCGTATCACTGTATTTGATAAGGCAGACATTACGGCGTGGAGGCGCACCTCGGGCCATTAAAGTTAAAATGGATTGCACTGGTGCTAGCTGCAATGTTTACGATCCATTACCATAGGCGGCAGACTTCAGTATACTACCGTTATTAGATACTAGTACTATCGTTTTACAGTAAGTGGAATTTAGTAAGTTTTACTGTTATTTTATTTATTGGTTTAGTTGTTTTAATATTAAAAAAATCGTTAAAACGAAATTATTTATTTAATTGATCAAACATAATATGTATATATTAATTACTTTTTTTGTCAATTTTAAGTATGATTTATGACAAATAGAAAACGCTTACCTTGAAGGGTGTAGGCTGTTCGCTGAGGCTGCATACCAGGGATTATTGTGACTCCAGGCCGCGTTGTATTGTGCAGTGACAGCGCGGCCAACAGGTCTAGCTCGGTGGCTGAAACGGATAAACAAACATAGTAATATATTTAAAGTCTTTTGGATATCATTTAGATAAACTTTTAGTAGTTCTAACGTGCGGAGAAATGTTGGTAACAAGAAGCTATTCAAATTAAAAGATACATTTTATAATGCACAGCACTCGTTTATGTAAACATAATTAACCGTTTTTAAAGCTTAATTTCGATTAAAAATGACCAAAGTAGACGCGTGCGCGCAATTCAACTTCTAATTGACTCTGTTGAGATCTGTCTTCGTTGTTTAGTGACGTTCACATGACAGCTGTAGCTGTCAAACGATGTTGACATACCGTGGCCGTGCTATATAAGCGTATAGCTCATATCACTTAATGACTAAAAAAATACAATATAATGAATTCTGTGAGAAAGAGTCTGCCAACTCGAACGTTTATTATGAAATCGAAAATTATGTTGAGCCATTTAATCGAAACGTATAAATAAATAACGACAGGACGATTGCTTTCTTATACAAATGAATATTTAGTAGCCATAAACGATTGGCCTACATTTTTACAATCAATACGAAGGTCCCCAAAAATTGAGAACGCCTGTCGATTGGATATCGATGCCTATACGGAATAGCCTCTTTTTCACGAAGGGAACGCGATATTATAAGAGATATTGGATAACCCTTTTACGAAAAGTAGACACCCTTAAGTGAGATCTTCAGCCCGACGTACGTTACATGTGCTTTTTCCAAATTTACTTACCTTCGAATGAAACTTACGACAAGGCGAGACAATCAAACATGTACAATGATTTAAATTAGGAAAACAGGCTTTTTCATCTGACGATGGTGGTTCGTGACACGGACGGAATACCGATTCCTACCACCCATTTAATATGCAAATTTCCAGAAATGTTTCAGAAAAATGTTGGACCCGGTGGGGATCGAAGCCACAATCCGTTGATTAGACGTACATTGCTATCATTACACCAACGAGCCCGTTATTCATAAGTGGCACTTTGCACCCCAATAAATACTCTTATTACGAATTTGAATTTAAGTAGCAAAGCCTGAATCGTTCATCACGATATTCACTTATACATGCGTATAATATTTTACTTGTTTAATCTTGTCACATCAGTCACGCTAACCCGGTCACGTAGCAGTACGTAGCGTTCGTAGAGCTGCTACGAGAGACAGCCTGTCGCTGCTTGCTACGGAATATTTCTCTTTCTACATTATAAATTATAGCTCTACCTGAAATTGTTCAGTGGTAAATGCTATGAACTTCCACATATTACTGTTACTTATATACAGCGTGTTTTAATGTTTTACTTACAGGGTTGGTAATGTTTCGCCTTGCTTGAGGAGATTGTAACCTTAAAATAATGGGTAGAATTTTTATTTTCAGGAATATGAACAATTTTATGCATTTTTGCATAACACTGTATGTGTGGACTAGCGACATATGGGGGAATTGATAAAAATATCACTCAATATCTATGAAATATGTATGTAATAATTCTATGGCAATGGATATTTATAATTAAATAAATAAATATTTTACCTTCATAACTTTTAAATTAATTAATTTAACGAATTATTTAATTAAAGTAAAACAACTGCCAATAACCCCTCAAATTGTCCTAAACGTTATTCACGGAGTGGATGAAAACGTTTATCGCGAATAGTCCTAGTGCTAATTGACTGTGTGGCGCACGCTCCCATCGACTTCAATTAAATAACGTCGCAGCTCGACGAGACCTCTTGTCTCCCTTCAACTCTAATTTTACTACAAACACCTAGGGCTCCAAAAATAATTCTACCGAACAAATATATTCTCGAATTTCTACTCAGTCTCAGTCAGTCAGTATTGTGTGTAGTTTACGCGAGTACATATTTGAATAAAACACTTTTAATTGTTTAAAACGTGAAATAATTGTCTCTTTATGACCACAAATATTGCAAAGCATCCGAAACTTCGGGCGAAAGTTAAAATATTTTTTAATTATGTTTTAATAATATATTTTAGGTTTTAAACAATTAAATGTGTACAAGTCGCGTGAACTACAGACAGTGTTTTATTTTGTTTTATATAAAATTCTAATAGAAATAACTATTGTGATTTGTAGGACGAGCACCTTTTTCAATCTAAAACACGTTTTAAATGATTGGATTGTTTCGCATTATTTTTTATGATGGGGGAGGACTAGGATTACGTTTACTTGATGGATGAAGGTAATAATATACCTAATAAATATAAATCCTTACATATAATACGTTGCGCTGTCGGCTTTGGATACTCGAAATGCACAAACAAAAGTAAAGATATTTTTATATTCGCAATAACTCCATAGCAACGTCATAGTTATAAGCTATTTAGGGCAGATAAGTAATTAAATGTGTCCGTTTGTAGCCTATAATGTTGCTGGCCTGTTTATGGTAGCCCTGCAGACGGCGCCTAAACGTCGCCGGTTTGTCTGCTCTGTCACTAAGGCGAGATCTCTGCAGATACTTTATCTCTGGTCTTGTTTTGCACGTTGAATATAGTCAGAGAAATACAACACAAAAAGTGGGGTAAAAAAATTACGACTTGTAGTAATTATTCTCTATAGTTAGTTAACGCGATTAGAACACATTTAAATTAAACGAGTTAACTTATTTACAATTTATTTTAAACTACAGCCCGACGTTCTTCTGTGACCACGGCTGCAGCAAATAATTCTAAACTTCGAGTCAGAAAACTTATCTCAAATATAATATTCGTATAATATAATAATATTTTATTTTATTAGATGAAATGGCGTGTGTGTGCGAATGAGTCATTATCGCTAGTAAAATACGACACTCTGGATCCCCAAGAACAATCTTAAAATCTACTTTGTTGTTTCGTTTATTACACAGAAATAGTGAGTTTTATTAGAGCATCCAAGAGTGTGAAAGCTCTTTGCATGTGGAAATGAGGAATACTGACTTCCGTATCTGCGACTTATACTTTTTGTGTCCAGGTAAATGGGTATGTAAATAGGTAAATAGCAGACTTCGATGACCTGCTCGACCAGAACTATTTATTACGGTTTCCCGGGGTTGAGAATCAACGAACCCTAATGGCTCAATATGTAAGTGAAATTACATGCGCGAGTGGTGGATGCATTAATGAGTTAAAGAAATTTGACGGTGACGTGTAGGACGCGGTAGCTCAATTGGTAAGGTACGGAACACTGTGGATGCCGGTTCAATCACTCCCGTGTCATATTTTTTCCATTCAAATAGATACAAATTACATTAAATAACCTAGGTTGGATGAATTGCTTAAATTTGTCATAAAAAATAATTAAAATCTACAAGTATATACAGTACAACTTCGCGTGTGAAGAACATACGTAGTTTTGGTATTAACTAACCCCCATACTTTAGTTTATAGAAAGCATTCTTGTATTGTGCATATATTTTTATTAATCTGTTACTTTATTATGTAAACAGCTGTTATAATAATAGTAATCGAAGCAACCCTAACGAACCCTTATATTGCAAGAAAAGATTTAATGCCTTATAAAAGTGGTACATACTGTGTTGGACTAACTTGCAAGTTTAATATGTTGAAACCGCTCGTTTTATAGGTAAAACAACGAATATCGCGATATGCATTAGTCTGCGAACGATAAAATTCCAATCAGTTAGTAAAAAGAGCAATTAATCTGGACTAACCTTTTCGCTTTTGCTTTCCTATTGAAACTCAATGTGAACACATTTCGAGGCAAAAAATATCGTTTTAAATAGCTTTGGTTAACATTGAACATTTTATTAACATTTAAATTTACTTGCATCGATATTACATCTATAATATGTATAGTACTTCACTCAACGGATTACGAATAGATTAAGGTATTTTTTATCTACTGTCTGTGATTGCCAAACAGCAGTCATGGCTTCTCAGTGTGACATTTAACAAAAAATAATCTATACTAATATATAAAGCGGAACAGTATGTTTGTTGATATAAACGCGCTAATCTCAGGAACTACTGGTTCAAATTGAAAAAATATTTTTGTATTGGCTAGAACGTTTATCAAGATAGGCTATAAAGCATCGCGATGTAACTTATAGAAGCGAAGAAACAGCGGGAGAAGTAAAAGAAACGGACGGACGAACATCCATGCGATGCATTCAAGGATGAAAACAAGATAATCAAAAATTATGTATTAGTAATAAAGAGATGATTTTTTTTTATTTTAGTATACTTGTGGGCTCGAAAGTAACAATAGTTTTATTAAAAGAGTTGCCTAGTTCTTGCGTTAGGTGTCACGCAACCGAGCCAAGACAAAGTAAACTATTTAGCTTTATTGTTCAAGAATTATTGTCATATTTATTTGGAGCAGTAATTACCGTTTCGCAATTTCGATCGTGGCGTTAAAACGCCAAACGAAGCGGAAAAGTTTCCGATCCGACCCCTGTCACATGATAATTAATGAAGACATTTTGATACTCTGTAACACTTTCACCTCGTTTGTTAATGATTAATGGTGGCACAATGATTAGAATATTAAAAGTTTAATTTCGTCTTAGTCACACAAATTAGTCTTTAAAAAAAAACTAATACCTAAAAGTCATGGATAATGAAGTGTGTTTCATTGATTGATTTGAACCTAACACAAAACCTCCCGAGTCAAAACCCCCTCTATTGAGCTATAGCGACGACAAGTGTTAGTGATAGCGGTACGATATTAGAAGGTAATCCGACTCGAAGTGTAATCGAGTGTACTATTAGCATCGAGTATGCAGCTCAGTGAATTAAACAAGGGCTAATAACAATTAAGGGAAGTCCTTGAAGGCGGTGAAACCTGCCCGGAACTAAATTGACCATATGGCGAGTTAATTATAATATTTATCGGTAACTAGAGACGGCTCGTGTTCACACACCTACTAATAGTGTTTCTCTTATTTTGAAACGTAATAAGGATAATCCATATGTGTCAATAATTTCTATGGTATTCTGAGTATATTCATATTAGTTATCGAGTTTTGGTCTATCAATTATATTTTTCTGAAACATATGGACTTTGTCTGGACATTTGGATATTGAATGAGTGGTAGGAATATCAAAATATCAACCGTGTCACGTACTACACGACACATGAAAAAGTCGTCAAGTTTAATCGCGTTTCGGTTTCAGATTTCCGAATATACAACGCCAAAAAAGGTCGACAGCGCATTTTGTTTAGACGTCATATGACTGGGGTATTTCACCTACCATCGAGTAAACTTCCGTCTGTCCTCCTAAAACATAAAACATAGATATATTCGGTGGAATAAAATATTTTTTTCCCAGTTCATACTAAGAGTTAGAGCCACGCAACCGAATTGGGCATTACTGCTATTATAATATGAATAAAGCATACAGAACCAAGAGGCGAACGCCTTTTATGAGGTCCGCACAAAAAGGGTCTTCGAGACGGCATATGTCACGCGCGTGCCAGTCACCTTCTCGGCTTACGTTCCGTTTTTTATAAAGACCATGTTCCCCTCGTTTCAACGTTTACTCGAATAACTGAGTAATGTTATCTATCTAATACTGTTATCAAATATCAAAGGCATTTCTAACGACCTAGCTACTAATTGAATTAACTTCTCGAACAATGCCCTAATATTTTACTAATAACGCTTGTCCTTCAAATAATCGCGACAATCGAATGCTACATAAAAATGTTGAGTTGGATTTCCAGGCATCGGGTGGTCCGATCTGATTGTGCGAATTAGCTGACGTACCAAAAAACTAACAATTGACCATTCATTAAAAAACGATGAGAGGTGTAAATTATGAAATTTATTAATATTTCCGCGAATTTCTCGCAAAGTCGAGTGCCTTTGTATTTTTAATAGAAATGAATGGATTTGAAATACATGTTATTTAACTTCTTTAGGTGCAATTTAGACCGTTAACGATATCAAATAATATTTTATTACCTAGGAAAGTTTTAACTGTCACCCGTAAAAGAATTTTCTGTGTAGAACGAAATTATACAAGATTTTGGAATATTTTGTCAGTTAATGAGACAGCAGTGGGGTGTTCGGCGTCGAACCGGTGTCCCTGCGGCTGACAGGTGGCGGACACGCGCCGCTGCACCCCCCGTGCCGTACCGGGGGCCAGACTGCGCCGCAACTCACGACTGGACAATTCTGTCAACGAATTCTATGAATATCGCCGATGCTATGTTCTGCGATTAAGCAGTTCTTTACTAACGGTGCAAATTGCTCTAAACTGTATAAAATAGTATACATAAGGTATAACAAAAGGTAACATTTAAATTTATGGTATATAACTATATCAATAGATGGGGGTTCTTATTAAAAACTACCTACTTTTACACAATTTAAATAAAAACCTGCCGTTCTTATAATGAAATGATTTTCCTTCGCAATCTATAGTTATAAGAATGGAGAAATCGATAAATCACAGAAAATTGGCCATTTTTTAGTGTTGCTATTTGAAATTCCGATATCGAGTGTCCTTCATTTACCCTTGCTGGTCGCCGCTTGCAAATAGCATCCGGTGACTTAGAATATGTTAATATTTAAGTCTTAGAACGCGTCATAGCTGAACTCCGTTTAAACTCTGTTTTTATAGAGGCGCGTCCGAAATTATAAATATTTACTTTAAGCTAATAGCTTTTATGTCTTGTTTGTAACGTTTCCGAAGCTCTAAATAATTGTCTACATTGTATACGAAACAATATTAATCTAAAACCGTTCTGAATAACTATAATAGTAGAATGATAGCTGTGCTGCAAAGTATTTTTAAAAATGGTAGCGGTTTTTATCCATAACAAAGTTACTCGTCTGGTAAAGGTAATCAGAAAAACCAATGTCAGTATAGGTGTCTTTGACATTTTGAACTTGACAGTGAGGCAAATGGGTTGTTCAGCTAATCCTGCGCAAACAGCGCGGTTGATAACTTATCGCACGTGCGCCATTATTCGTGGGACCATTGCTTCCTCGACCACTATAGAATGGGTTCCAATATTTGAAACTTTCGTCTTCAAATATTGAAAATAAATAATATTTTACATAGTTCAATTTTCAAAAATATATAATACGGAACCCTGTTCATATAATGTATCACGATGACACAACAAAAGCAAAGTGTTAGGGGTAAACATTGAACCTATCGTTCGAAATTAGTTATTTAGACATGGGAATGTACAAGTAGCCAATAATGATGAAACACCAAACCTGTTTTGCGTGACACCGGAGCCCCTTCACAAACCCTTATATGAAAACCTTTTATAGTAATAGAAATAATCACATTAGACGCCTTTCAAAGTGTTTATTATATCTTCTTTTAAGAAAGTGAAAAATATTCGTGTGAAAACCCAGCGTTTTCACACTTATATTTCAAACAACTGTCATCTTATGTAATAGAAAGACAAAACTCTCTCGTTTTCTTTCACAAAGTGTATCTCTGGCGAGTGTGTTTCATTATTTTTCTTTTTGTTTCCCAACACTTTATTTAACAGAAGTACGACGCTCCCAAAAGGCTCATATTAACGAGAGAGAAGAAAATGACGATATGACATAAGTTAAGTAAAAGAAAATAAAGTGTCTGTTCTAAATCGAGATCATTTGTCCTGGAACGCCCTTGAACGGTAAATCTGAGGGCGCATTCTCTCGGCGAATAAATGTGATTGAATTTCCCCATGAGTAGTATTGTATTAAAAATGTTATTCTTTTGCTTTTGACGTTTCGTAGAAGCAAAACCTATAACCTAACAGCTTTTTGTTAAAATTACCTGCACCTACACACGCATGTAAAAATAACACGTAAGACAGTAAAAGCCTCCCCAGACGTGACGACCGCGCTAAACAAATTACTATTTACGCGACGTAAATTCGACCTAATTCCTTGGGGTCTCGTGGGCGTTTATAATTCATCGTGTGTAGATTCAGCCGCATTAACCGCGTGAGATCGATAGTATTTGGACAGCGGTAGGCACTGGGTTGCCTCGCAACAGAGGCGATGCACGGGGGTCTTCGGGGCTTGCATTGCGTGCAGGTGCGGTGGCAACAGTCTCCCACCATTAGTCAAACCTTCACGTCTAGACACCCTTTCAATCGCTTTAAGTTTTTTTTTAACAGGAAAACTTTCGGAATTCCGCAGACGGAGCCCGAAACGCAGAATTATCACTTCACGTGTTTTCAAGTGACATCCAGATCTTTTAATCGAAGTCTAATGTATTTCAAAAAGAAATCGTAGATTTAAAAAATGTTGGCCTCGGTTAAACCTATAAAATCTGAACCAAACTGTAGTTATCGTCAAGAAAGAGCGCACCAAATTTGGGCAACACAACGCAATTGCGAGTAGGTACTTTATTGATGCAGATACCGAAACTTCGAAGAATTCCGATGGCCATGAACGCTTGAGGTCAAATAGAGGCACCGCACTGCGCTCTATGCGACACCTGCAATCCATACGCCTCATCTCAATAATCAATTGTCAATCGAGCACGCATCCAATGGACATACAGTCAACCACACTTTCCCGTTTCCTGCGTCTGGAACTAATCTAAAAAGCGATGACGTCACCGATTCTAGGTACGCCACGAAACGACATTATTCCGAGTAGATTTTCATGGAAATTGGATGGAAGAACGCAGGTGCTATGTTTTATTTATCGGTGTTGCTGTAATCGGCGCCAATGGCAAGCTTTAAGTAAAAACGGTGCGCGGACTCATTGAATTGATTTTCATAATTTTTCAGTTACCATGGCTGTACGAGTATCTGCGATCGAATGCGAACCTTTTTCCAATAAATATCTGTAATCAACTGAACGTAGTCGCAATTATTTAATAGTGTTTTAGTATGTTACATGTAATCAAAGTAAAACTTTTGTAACTCGTAGCAAAATACGCCAAAAAGGATATCTCTATAATAAAAATTACCATTTATTTATTGACTAGTCATAACTAAACCAAATATCAATCTAAAACATTTCGCAAGGGACGGAAGTTAGGGATGATCGGAATGAGGGGAAACGAATGACATAGGGTGCAATGTGCAATTTCATATCAGATTTTCTTTTCAATGAAGGAATAATATTGAAGTGATTAATGTCCTTCATGAGTAGCTACAAAGCTTTCACTTATTGTGGTTTATTTTATTGTATATCTGTATACGGTTGTACTGGAAGTCTACGGGGGAGGCCTATGTCCAGCGGTGGACACCGAACCGCCGAAACTATGACAACTATATTTGTATAAAACACTTACATAAAATAAAGAAGCTCACAATACTATACTTAATACTCTTTTTGATTACAGGGGCGAAAATGATTGTTATTTTATTGTATACTCCGCTGTCCAATAGTGGCCTAAAATGGGCATTTCCCTTTAGAAGTTTGCGCATACCATTTAACGCTTTCTGTGAGTAATAAATAAAGGAGATTGAAGTTTCATGTTCAGAAATTCATATGAATAAAGTTCGTAGACATTCCCCTGGCGGCTCCCTCACGCGAATATTACTTGTGTTACGTATTTATTTACGTGCAGCCCCGTTATGTTCTCGGGCGACGAACTCTTCAAATTTTACTTTCTTCGAAATAACATAAAACGATACAGTTGTTTTCCAATTTGCATGAAACGAAGAAATACATAATTAATTGAATTGAAATTTAAATGCTAGAGTAATGGAAGAGTTGTAAATGTAAAATTGATATTTTTGTATAAATTTCAAAAGTTTTGAAGAGAAGACAAAAATATATAAAAAAAGGAACTCGAATTAAAAGACTCAATATAATTTTTCAGTCCTCGTACATCTCAACATGTAAAATTATAATGATTCAAATATTTTATGATTCAAGATTTAAATGTTACATTTTAATTAATTTCATAATCATAGCATAATTATCACTTATACAAATATATGGTGGTGTTTTGTTTTGGACGAAAAATTATAGATAACGTATTTCTCGTTAAACATAATTCAAAGTGTACAAAGTTCGTCGAGCAGGTTATTGTATTTGTATTTATTTTGGCCGTCCACAATTCCCACGGACGTCGCACGGGATATCGAAGTAGGTAAATATGTGTATTATTGTTTTCCACCACTCTTGTTAAGACACTGTGGAAACTTCTAAGGGAAGAAATCGGCAATTTAATAGTGTAATATTAAATACCATTTAGTTAAAGGCTTTAAGCACGAAAGGACTTCGGTTCGATTCCACATACCTGCTCGTAAGTCTCTCGTTTCATAAGTGCGTCTTTTACGTGTTAGCGAGTACAGCAACTACTATCGTGAATAGTACCACTATCAGCCTCGGATTACTCTCTTCAAACAGATTTGCACGATAAGATAATCGATGTGTGTAGAAAACAACGAGCTAACATCGCGCCAGATAAAGATATTGTGAACTTGAAATAATATGCATTCACCGTGTTGCCATCCACTGTGTTATCTATCTAGTGATGTTTTGAGGAAGAAGGAGGCTCAGAAAATAAGTTGACCAAAAATACAATTTTAATGCCAAAATAGGACCGAATAATTCAATGCGGGAAATTTACAAGGGGGGGGGGGGGGGGTGTGGAAATTTTTCTTCTATACGGCGTTTTTATTTGGTTATGGGGCACAGATCGTAAAATGTCTCTCTCGTCTTATATTGCTTTTGTATTCAGATTAAAAAAAATGTCAAAAACTATTATAAATACAATGAGATTGACAAAATTGACGAAACTCAATAAGATTTGGTCCAACGACACTAATACTGTAGGACTGTTATATTCTCATCATGACTTGCTTCAGGTAGAACTGGCTCCACGCCAAGACCAAATGACTATGTTTGGCTTTGACTTATCGTTACAATGGCCTATAAAGCGTCCTACAAGAACTAGAGCAGTCAATAGTTGAGTCGTGCAGAAGATTCTTTGCGAAGCTTCTTCCCTATAGATATGGTACTCGCAAAAGTCAATCATTTCTTTATTACAATACATAATAGGGAATTGATACGAATAGTTATTGTTCTTTTTACTTTAATAAATAAGAATTTGTAATAAATAATTATGTTTTCGTTTAACGATGATTGCTTCCTGTGTGCTTCGTGTCTTTTCGTTTCAAGTTTAATTTCTATGAGAAAAAGAAAAAAATAAACAAGCGTTGACGATCTGTAGTGATAATGCAATAACATTATATGTTTTACGATTTTAAAATCTGGTTTCTACGGTTTTAAGGACAGAATGTCTAAATTGGAGCGCGTTGAAATCTTTTGAATGAGCCCAGAGCTGTTCCTATTACCCATGAAAATTTTAATAGCAGTGTAAAATAACAGATGAATATTAAAATAGCTATCGTAAAAGTAATCCCATTTATAGCGGTCGATAAAAATATTCGCATCGAGCTTATTAATCTGTGTCACTCGACATTTGTCGGTAGCACTTCGGATCGGAATCGCGAGCAATATCGCCGATAAGATATCGCCAAATCTTTGCAAGTAATTTCGATTTAATCCAACTCTACAGAAAGGGAAGTGCCGTAGTGCCCGAGTGCGGTCTATAAAAAGAATATAGGTATTTGAGGGATTTTCGCTATTTTTCAACAGTTACGTGAGAAGTACACTTTTAACGGTTTAAAGCAAATATTAGAAACATATTTTGATCAATATCCGGACGTGTCGCAAGTGACGCAAATACCTATCGTGTATACCTTTAGCTTGACTTTGAATAGTTTAGCAAAACTGAATGATCTTTTATCAGTGCTGACACTTCAGTGGCGCCAAATAATTGAATCGGAAAGATAAGCGGTATCGGCTCATTTAGGCAGGTGCCGATAGAGGATGCGCCTGCACTCGGGAGGGCTATCAGTGGCGTGATTATGATCAATATTTACGCAGATGTACATCGTATGATGTAAGATCACGCCCAATTTGTAGTATATCTATTTATATCAAATAAGCAAGAATTTCGACAATAATTAATATAAAATATCTCTATCCATGCGACTTAGGCCAAAATGGAAATAAAACTTTTTGTTTCTCCTATTTCAAATAATTACATTTTAATTATTGTTTATTGATTATTTTTACTGTAGTTTCCATACGATTCGTGCTAAGAATATATATTTTTAAATTACCTACTCGATAAAATATCCTGTAACTTGAATTTGAATAAAAAATATTAAAAACTAAATTCATGGGTCAGATATATATAATGTGTTTATCACTAGAAAATATATTTTTTGTTTAATTGAGAATTGAATACTCAATATTTGAGTTTGCGGTACAATCAAACTGAATCGTACGTTATAAGTTACGTTTCATAACACAGTACAGTTATTGTAATTGCTAAAATTTTGTTATATAAGATCTCGGTAGGGACTTATGTAATATTTTTTGTGATATATACCGAAAAGTAAAACAATATCATATAAATACTGTCTATAGTTTACGCGAGTAGAACACATTTAAATAAAACACTTTAACGGTTTAAAACTGAGTCTCCCCGTCACCACGGCTGCTGCAAAGCATCCGAAACGTCGGGCCGAAGTTAAAAATCATTTTCAAATAAGTTTAACTAATATATCGCGTTTTAAACCGTTAAGGTGTTTTATTTAAAAATGTCATACAATTTTCACAGAGGAGATTATGTCGATCTAAGCCGTAAATATTTTACAAAATTTCAGCAACTATCGAGGAATTCAAAACTAATAAAAAGAAAATAAGTAAGAATCGTTTTATCCCTAACAAACTTGAACTCTGCAAAGTCATTACACGTAAATTGGCCGGTTCACTTAGAACTACGAGAGTCTGAAAAATTGCCACAAATAATAGTACGATAATAATCAGCTGATCGGCACACCCTCGCCTGCCACAAATCTTGTAAAGTCAAACGTGCGGAAAACGTGCTATATTGGCGGAATGTGCAGATCAGCTGATCGACCAGTTTCGATGGATTCAGAGCCCGGCAGATCGGGACGGATGCTTATTGGTGTTAATGTACTCACCGGCCGCGTTTGTCAGCCACCACCAGCAGAACCAGGCGGCCACGAGCGGCCGAGTGCCGGCCATGTCAGCGGCAGCGCATCACACGCGCGCTCGTGCCGGCGGCCCCGGCGTACTGAACGGTACTGAACGGCCGACGATCGATGCACGCGCGCGCCCTACGCACCCTCCCAGCTAGGGTGACCAGGTGCCCGGAAAATCTGGGAAACTCCCCGTTGCCTCTGTTTACTACATTTTTAAGGATTCTTCTGCCCAATAACCAATTAAGTAATAACAAATATAAATATATATAGTACTGTGAATCAAATATTTCTTTTTATAAAATACTATCAAACAAAAACTGATTAGAAAATGTTACATCTATGTCGAATTTAAAAATTTTTTTTGAGGGCGTTACGTAATAACATTTGAATTGAATGACTGAAAGCTTTAAAAACTACTAATTACTTATGTGTTTTTAATATTACCTTAACAACGTCAATGAGCAAAAACAGGCAACTGGTCGTGAGAAAAAAAGAGTGAGAGCCGGCAACCCTAGGCGTTACGGCCGCATCGCCTCCCCACTACCCAATTCGCCCTGCGCCCACCGCCATTTTCTCAAGTTTCCACTGAGAGCGCGCGCGCTGCCATAGTCGTAGCCTCTTTCCGTCGGAGCGCTGACCGCCCCTAATTGATTGGGCCTGTTCATTTTGCCGAATACGTTTTAGGTCAGCACCGCCGCAGAGCCTCTGCGCAATGTTTATTTCGTTTTTCACCCGCGACTTGGCTATGTAACAAACACTGTTAAGACAAACTGTCTGCTGTTAGGCGACATTTTTTTACAGTTACTTACAAAATCTACCAATATTTCCAAGGAACTCTGTTTGAATCCTTTTGTTTATTTTTAAGTCTTCTTATGATATACTTATAGCATACATAAAATTAACATTCAATATTCTGTCATTAACTGAGCAACAACATTATTGCATATATTATTTAAGGTAGACTCAATTAAAGAAAAAAGTTATATTTACAATCAAAACTTATGTAATGTGTTAAATTTTTAACACATTACAACATAATAATAAAATAACATATCTTAGACACTGAATGTTACACGAAATTTGTTCTTTACCTAGTCAAGTATTTAGTTCTTACTCTGGATATTAACATTAAGTACTTAAATTACTTTGAATAGCAAAAATAATGGAAATTTCTATAACAAAGTAAAAACTAACAAAGCTATCATTGATTGTCCTTAAACACGGATAATTAGAATTGTGTAAGGGTTACACGGTCATCGTTCAGCATATCATTGTCTTTCGGGCTGTTTGACCGATGTGAGCGAGAAGAGGTTCTCAAGGTTTAATTCTTCGAGCAATCGAGGAGTTAACATCTCCTGATGATGCCGTCCACACGTGATGGCGAAACGTCGAGAACCTCTTCTCACTCACATCGGCCGAACCGCCCGAAAGACAATGATATACGGATAATTAGATTTCAAAATTATTTCAATGCTTGACTAGGTTTAATCTGCATATTTTTTAATACATTCACTTTGAATGTAACAACATCATGGAACTTCTTCATTAATTGGTGAAGTGTAAAACGTTTCGTAATAAATACAAAAATATTTACCTGGTACGGGTCTCGCTTTGAATAAAAAAAAATTGTGGTTCCTACTTCCTACTACTACTAATATCTCGCTAATTGCAATCCAAATCACCCGCGCTTTTTGGTTACAATCACAGATAATACATCAAAATCATGGGATATAACCAAAATGTGTAAGTCTGTGGTTGTCATCTATTTTTGTTTACAAAACTGTAAACATCATTTTGACAATTATGTTATTGAAATTTTATAATCTAAATTATTAGAAGAAATTCTAAAATAGTCGTATTTCCCCTTGTTTTCTTTATTTATCAGTTCATGTTGAATAATGTGCACACATATAATAATTAAACGTCCTAACATGCCAATGTAAAGATTACGAGATCTCCATGAAATATTCGTATTTGCCTACTTTAATAAACTTTTGGAAATATGATGGAAAACAAGCGAGGATACTACGATATTTTTGTTAACACTTGTGCCACCTATCCCTCAAATGTAGCTGTTAGGCATTACAACAATGGTGTCTATGAGAACTATTCATATTCTGAACTTTACGGTGTCTGTGAATACATTTCACAAAATTTACAACAAATTAATTGCACTAAGGGAATAGTTGGTTTGGTCTCAGACAGAAATATTATTGTACCCTGCGTCATTGCTGCGTAAGTTAGAATTTATTTTATCCTTAGAATAAAATAGATGGAAAGTTGTAAATACTTGGTAGCTGTTTTGAAAATTACACAAGATACTTCATTACCTTATAATCTCATCTCCACTGTGCATCACTCTTATGTGCCCACAAATTATATGTATTATTTTAATATGTTTAAAGAATACTATTAAACATATGTTTGAAATAAATTATAATCATAGTAACAATTTTTGCTATGTTATATTATTCAACAAAATCACTTTATCATTCCAGAGCTCATAAAAATTGTACAACATTCATGTTCCTTGACCCATCACAAGATCTAGAACCAATTATCAATGAAATTAAATTTGACTTCATAATATCTATTAAAAACTCTGAAGACAATGTTGAAGAACTGTTATATAAAAGACCTGACAAATCTATAGAGATTTTCAACTTGAAATTACATTTTTACAACTACCATAAGAGTGTAAACTCTTCTTATGGGCCTGAATACTCTTTTATTGCAATGACCTCAGGGAGTACTGGAGACCCTAAACATATACATGTGCCAATACAATGCTTGCAGCCTAATATTGATGATTTAACCAAATTATTTGATATTAACCAGGAGGATATAATATATTTTTCAACCCCATTAACATTTGATCCATCGATGATAGAAGTCCTTTTGACATGCACAAATGGTGCCTCACTTCTTATTGCTCCTGAGAAAGCAGATCTACTTTTTCCTGAAAACAACGAGAATTCTATCACATTTTGGCAGACAACACCATCTAAATTTTTTCAGCTCTCAAATGCTGATATCAAAAATAAAATTCTTTCTGTTGACTCAACTTTAAAGATTTTAGCTTTGGGGGGAGAACCTTTAAATGGTATAAAGAGATTGAGAGAATTAAAGCATGAACAAAATAAAACGAAATTATTCACGCTCTATGGCGTCACTGAGATGTCTTGCTGGGCAAGTGTCGCTGAATTGGATCTCAACAAAATTCTAACTGACCTGGAAGTTCCGCTTGGAAATTGTTTGTCTGAAACAGATATTCTCCTCGATCATAACAAAGGGAAAAAGGATACTGGAAATATAATTTTAAGTAAGTTTTGTAGAGAATTCTCCTACAGTCTACTAAAAAATGTTTGAAAAGCATTAGTAAATTTATTAAATTATATCAAACAATGTTATTTTCAACTCGTGTATGAAATTTCAGTGAGCAAAACTAGGCAATGTATAGTTTTAAACAAAGCAAGTGGCACAGATGAGCAGAGTTCTTTGAAGTTTGTAGATACTGGGGACATTGGTGAAATCAGAAACGGTACTATTTATTACAGAGGCCGAAGGGATGATATAGTGAAAAGATTTGGCCACAAAGTGAACCTGCAATTAATTGAATCTGTCATAATGCAGTGTCCTAGGGTGAAAACTTGTTCTAGCATTTGGTTGCCAAAGCCAATGCTTCTCGTTGTATATTTCTCATCTGAAACATTGAATAGTCAAGAGTTATCTGACTTTTTAAAATGTAAACTGGATGATAAGCATTGGCCTGATAAGATAATACGTGTAGACAATTTGCCAACGAATTCCCATGGCAAAATATCAAGGCAAATGTTGGCACAGATGTTTGAAAAAGTGCTGCCATTAGCGCAATCTGTAACATCACTTAAAGGAATATTCTTAAAAGAGTTGAAAATTACCTTAAATAGGAATTTTACATATGATGAAATAAAGGACAAGGACTTTTTCTCACTCGGTGGGACGTCATTTCTCGCTATATCAATGTGCAATAAATTATCTATAACTTGTTTACAATTTGGAAAAGTCATCCTACCCTACTTACTCACACAAAAGAGTACCATCGATCAAATAATGCAATTGGCATCAAAAGAAATGACCGTCGATGGAAAAGCAAGAAAAAGATTAAAAAGGTCTACTCAGTTTTAATGGCTGTTAAATTTCATGTGTTTAAAAAGTTTCTAAAACTATATATATAAATATTACAGGACTCGGTCAAACACTGAGAGTCACCTATCAGCAGCTCTTTCAATAAAGAAAATCATTGAAGCTACCAGTACAAACCCTGTCGATTTCATGGTTGCTTGGTCGTTTGATACAGGGAAATGTGTGGATGCATCGCCTACACTCTTTCAACATGGATAGTAAGTATGAAAAAAGTGAAAGATTTATCTAATGTCTCTTATTCCCCATCTGTGTCAGTTTTGACTGAAAACTCATTCTTTTTTTTAATATTATGTCGACTTTCTTAAGATTGCCCTTGTTTTATAGCAAACTCTATGTGACAGTAGGCAGTCACTCAGGAAAAATAGTTGTTGTTGATGGCATCAGCGGTCTGACGCAGGGATTGATAAAAGTGAAGTCACGAATCGAAGCCCCAGTTTTGTGTTCTAATGAGGCACCACTCTCGGCGCCGTGCGGCATTGTCGGTGCCCACGACGGAACGATCGTTTGCTTCACCCTGGAGACGTGCAAGGAACTCTGGAGGATAAACATAGGCAGTATGATCAAAAGTAAAGCCACCTTTTGCAAGGCCCTATTATACGTTGCAGCTTACGATGGAAACATTAGATGCATTGATGTTTTAGTAAGTTCTAATGTTACGTTCTTTCGTCCGTCCGTTTATGTTTAAAACGCATTCAAATAAATTAAGAAGTTAATACAAACGCTCCATGATTAATTAAAAATCTTTTTATTTCAGACTGGTAAAATAAAGCAAATAATAAACGTCACCGATCAAGCCATATCTGCTGATTTAGTGCTAGCTAAAAAGGAATTCATTCTTCTGGGTACACTGTCTGGTGTATGTGCTAGTATACACACTGAAACGAAGACAGTAGTATGGCGTGGAACACTTAGTAGTCCGGTGTTTGCCGCTCCAGTACTATATGACCACGACAAATATGTAGTGTTTGCTGAAGTAAATGGAGAAATTAACTGTCGAACTGTCGAAAAAGGAATCAAGGTTGGCAATTTTATTTAATTTTTATTTCATTTTGAATGGCTTAAGTAGGACGATATTTTTTTTTTCAGATTTGGAAGTATCAAGGCGCAAAAGGCAATATATTTTCTTCAATATATGTTAAGGAAATTGACAAGCTTAAGTGGCAAATGATATTTGGGTGTCACGACAGTAAGGTTTATTGCATTAATATTAAGAATTTTCAACCGACCCTCAACTGGAAAGCACAACTTACATCACCGGTGTATTCAACGCCTTGCGGTTTAAGCGATAAATTACTACTGGCAGCCTCCAACAATGGAATATTGTGCATTTTGGAAGCAGAAACAGGAATTATCATAGCAGAGTATCACTTGCCAAATGAGACTTTCTCAACTCCAGCCATATATGGTGACTACATTTTCATAGGATGCAGAAATGACCATCTATATGCTATTAAATATGTTTTAAACATTTAAATAGCTATATATACTTTTATATAATGCTTTGTAATACTGTGATATTAATTTAGATTGTACTAATTATCATCTTAAATTGTAAGTTCAATGATCATATGAAAAATAAATTGGAGCAGATTCCACAATTCTATGACTATAATATTTCCTTGTGTAAGAGGTGAAGTAAATAAAACACAATAATATACTTTTAAGATAATTTAATTTATCATCATACACAGAACATTCAAGAAATACAGTGAGCATTTGATAGTTGGACACCAGAATGATATCGATAGCTGATACAATGTATCAAAATGGAATGCAAATAATATGCACACAAATCCAATGTGCAAATTAATCTTTAGGCTTTTTTCTTAAATTATTATATAAAAGCATGATATTTAATAATTAAAATGCTTCAACAAATCTTATATATTTATTATGCACATATAAAAAAATCTAATATAGTTATTGACTGGAGCACTAAAACTGTTATATATACTACTGCATACACTTATATCTCTTAGACATACCCAAAGATCCCTAATGAATAATGATGTAGCCAGATAATTAACAATTTTCAAATTAACAAGCAGTAAACATTTTATAATTATGATACAATTTATTGTTCTTCTTCTCCCAGCTCAACCTTCACTTTGGAGAAATCAAAGTCTTCACCGGTTCCCCTCTTGTAAATTTTGAGAACATCTAAGCAGGTTGTTTCGAAATGAGTAGTAGCATCGTAAGACTCAGATATAAAGATTTGGCTCTGGCTGCCATCATCTATTGGTTCATAATAGTCAGACACAGATACAAATTTTTGTCTGATAGGACCCAATAAATCAATGCCTGGTTTAATCTCTGATTCAGGGTCGTTAGTTTCGACCGTTGTAGAGACCATAGCCACAAACCAGCCTTTAGCTGCAACTTGATGGGTGTAAGACACCACAGACACATAAATATCCGAATTTCTCCCAACTTGCTTTTGGGGAATGATGATTTGAGTAGATAAAGCATCTTTTGTATTGTTGATTGGATGATCCAACAAGCAAATACATCTTATTACCTGACCCTTCTTACGGACCCGATCAGGAACATAACTGGGATCACAGTATACTTGTTTACATTTGGCTATCTCATTTCCAGAGCGAACTCCCACAACTTTTCCCCCTTCTCCAAGCACAATCTCATCTATTGGTTTATCCAACATATATGTTCCTCCATAAATAGCAGAAAGACGTGCAAAACCTTGGGGCAACTCACCCAAGCCGTACATGGGATACAAGTAAGGGGACTTACCATAACGCGCGAGCGAATCGGAATAAAGCTTTATGCGCCGAATTGTTTGGCTTGCAGGTTGCTGAAGATAGTTGTCATCGAGATAAAGAGCCAAAGCGTGTCCGGTGAAGTCTTGAGTGTTTCGATCCAAACCAAACTTGTCGTAGAGCGCTTGCATATTGGCAGTGGTGGGATCGAAATCCTTCCACGTCTTGGAGTCTTCTTCTTGATAATCTTGGACATAGATTAAGAAGTTACGGAAACGTCGCTTTTCAAACATACCCATTAAATCAGATGCCAAAGCTTCTTTCTGGTCGACAGGAACTTTTGAGATCTTGCCTCCTTTATATACATAGCTTCCTTCAATTGACTTGAACTCCAAATACCGGGTGACGCCCGTATGGATCAACAGTTTGACAAGTAAACCATTTGCCATTAAGAATTTGGGAATCAAATCCACATTCCAGTCGCGGCCACGTCCATAGGTCTCATCCGGTGCAGGAGCGTTGAACTTTGCGAACAAATCTTCCAAAGGGGTAATTGACGCAGATTCTCCACCGTAATACTTGTTACGGTCAATGTGCAGTACTTTCTTACCGGACACAGAGAGCATTCCACTTATAATGCATTCTTTTAACCCGGTACCCAAGACGATTGCATCGTATTCTTCATCCATGATGCTGTTTAATATTTTCTAATCTTCAAATTTTAACTTACTTCTACCCCACGTAAAACTGCAAGCAATAGGAGAGGAAATGTCAAACTTCGTCAAAATGTCGGATGTTTAAAAAAATAATATACACGTAGTGTAGTACCACAGGGTACCACACCAACTTGCCAGTCTATTTAAAATTGGCGATCGGATACATCTCTAGTAAGTATTACATCTGTGTTCACTAGGAATATCGTAAACTACGAGATAAAATTGCGACTTTTAAAAATATAGATTTTTACTTACAGTACTTTGGAATTCAACTATTAAGACTCATAAATCACCATTTAATTTTATTTTTAAGAATAAACATTAAATCATGTCACATTTCTTATTAATATAAAAGGCCATAGATAGCAAGACAATGCAGGAAACAGACTATATTTTACTAGTAATATTGTCTTGAGTAACTATGGTCGAAGTTTACATTAATCGAATAATCGTATGACGTTATTTGTTACGTTTCATTCTATCGGACATGCCTAATATTTACTATATTTTTATAGCTATAATCGAATACAAAATATGAACACGAACTCGAACAGTTGGCTGGGGATTGCTTGTTTAAGTTCTTGTGTCATAAGTTTCATTTCGTAACGTCTCTTTTCAAGTCTTATCGTGGCGGTCAAATAACATTGTACATGTACGAATAAATTTAAAGAATGCACATAATTTCTATATTTTCCTAGTTGGGCCTCAAATTTTCCATTTTCTTCAAAGCACAATATTAGTGATGTGTAACTCGCGTGAACAGGTGATTCCAAACCATATGCTTCAAAGTTTACGACCCAGTTTTTAAAGTGATGTGGAAAACCAATGCCAAACGCTTAAGTATTGCACTTTTAAATGAGAGGGAAAGGCACTTCTTTGTGTACGCAAATGAGTAAAAATGTCAACAGAAGGGAGCGGAGAGACACCTTCGACAGTACCAAATTTACCGGGAGTACCGGAGCAGACTTATCTTTTTCCAAAAGTGAAAGGGCATTCCCGATCTATAAGCCATGGGGGTACTCCAATGTTGGCGGGGAATCCGGCGCTATCGAGGCCACCCCTCAAGTCGGCGATGCGGGGCCACCAGCGCGCGCTATCACACGGGCAGATCGGAGAAGGTCCGCGAGCGGCCTCGGGGCCTGGACATAGCCGCACGTGCAGTCGAACTGATTTCATCCTGCCGCCAGGTCATAGGGACGGGGCTCCCGCTAGTGCCCAGCCGCGCCTCTCCTCAGTCCGAGGTCACCATTCACGACAGGCGTCTCGTTCCGACTCTATCTACACCCTTCGCCGTGCTTCCGTCGTGCCACCGTGGCGAAGAGCGGTTTTTTGGCTCATGCGAAGACAGCAGCCCGCTATAGATAACAGGCATCTCATAGTTATACCCAACCACCTCATTCCTGATAAAACACCTCCTAAAGATCATCCCAACGGTCATAGGTGTAACAATAAAATCAGGACTACTAAGTACACATTCTTGTCTTTCTTACCAAAAAATTTGTTTGAACAATTTCATCGGATCGCCAATGTGTATTTTATATTCATAGTGTTGTTAAACTGGGTGCCGGCTATCAATGCTTTTGGCAAGGAAGTGGCCATGCTACCAGTGTTGTTTGTGTTAACAGTGACCGCCATAAAGGACCTTTTTGAAGATCGGAGAAGACACATGTCCGATAAAAGGATTAACAATTCATACTGCAGAGTATACAACAAGTAAGATACCTCTCCTATTTATTTTCATTTAATATTTATAGCCTATATTTTATCATCTGTAAGAGTACTTTATAGCACAAATGTGTAAAAGTTCTTTAATATTAGAATAAAAATCTTATAAAACCATACAGATGTATGGTTACATCTTACACTGAATTAATTGATATTTCTAACTGGGCTTTGAATGACATTGTTCATAATATAATCACATGGGACATTTTGGGTTTAAAATAATCAAATGTATGGTCTTATCTTGGTAAGCTTATACTATTTAATTTGAAATGGTGCACATACATGCCTCATTCATTATAAGAATGGCAAATCTATATTTGTTCAAAAATTTGCTTATATATATTGTAGGTAGTTTATACAGAGAAAATATTTAAAAGCAGTTATACCATTTTTAGACTAAAGTTGAATTTGATAGCCCTGTTGAACCTGAAAAGCATTTGAGTATCTTAAGTAGTGATGATATGATTGTAAATGGTTAACAAGAATTTAAACAAACTAAGCTTAAAATAAAAATTAATCAACCAACCGTAATAGCACTACATAACAACATTTCTTAAGTTTTAAATTTTAACAAACACATGTTATCTCTATATTTATAATAAGGTAGTTTAATATAATGACAGCAATAACGGATCATTTTCAAATGAACTTTTTGAAATAATTTTCTCAGCGGAAATAACATGATAGTAAAAGAAAAAACTCATAAACGTTTCATGGTCGCTGAACTTAGCGCTTATCGTGTGTAATATTCGTTATCGTTTAATATTCAATGATAGTCAGAGGCGTTTATTAGCGTCAAAATTTACCTAATTATAAAGTACACGTCCCTGTAAACAAAGCCGCAATCGCCACAGTTACTAATCTATCATATTAATTATTAAATATGACTCCGTGAGGTTTAGGTACAGCAACAGGCTAGTTAATATTATATTTAAAATAAATTAACATTTCGCGTTTTAAACCGTAAAAAGCCTAAACTACAGACAATACCTAGCATTTTGTAATGATTACGAGGAAAATACAAATTTAACCTACAGCTACGTTTACATATATATAAGATTTAGGTGTGTTTGTCTACTTGTCATCGTATTTATCCGATTCGTCGCAGTGGCGAGCGTAATTTATCATATCCAATATTTACAAGGAATGACACGCAAACTCTACTCTCACTAGGGTTACCGATATTTCTTCTTTAATTGTTAAAAAATATAGCAAGTATTTTATGGTAAATATTCAATACAGGAGTATAGTCATCGCTTAAGATTTTATTGTTACCTTTTCGGTTGCGACAATAAAATATTTTTACGTACTATATATTATCTCAATATCATACATGTAGTACGAGGGTAGATTCGAAATATAGCACAACATGTACTACAGCTCTGTTGGCATCCCTCACTCTCACGTACACGTAGGTAGTATGGATTTTCTCGAAACAAAGAAAAGTTCGATGTTTTTAACCTATTTTTGTCCCATTGCTGGCATTCCTGACCAGGCAAAAAGACCTCTTTATTTGCCAGAGCATATAATATAATATGTATAGCTTATAAGGGATGTTGCATTCGACCTTCGTAGCTATTCTCCCTCTTGTAAAAATAGACTAGCAATATACTGCACTGAGTTATCGATAACTCCACTCGATAGATGCAGATTGTGAAATAGTATGCTTATCTCAGAATGTAGTATCGTCTAAAAGCAAATACTTCATAGAAAAACCAGTTTCCATTTCTGTTTATTAAGAAAACATGAGTTTTCCAACCTTGATGGCTTTGTGTTGTCACATTCGAAAAGCAATTACGGAAGTTGAGTAAACAATAAAGCGCAGTGATTGGATAGTAATATTTGAGCAGAGGCAGGTGTTCGATTCGACGCTTCTTCAAATATTACTAGACTCTGGACGAGCGTTCTACACTTGATGTTATATTAATACTTGCAACACTCGCCCGAAATTAGAACCGAAGCAATTCATCTTTCGGTCTATTTTGACTTACGCTTAGCTGGTTTAGGTAAATGTGGGTCTTAAGAAAGGATGAAACTTAAGTAATTGAGTATAATGAATCGAAGAAATACAATATTCGAGTGCCAAACCGATGGTCGTACCATATCTATACTAGTTATTTTGTTTGTTTGTTTGAACGCGCTAATTTCAAGAATGCTGGATCGAATTGAAAAAATATTTTTCTGTTGGGTAGAGCATTTATCGAGGAAGACCATATGCTTTAACACATCGATTTGCGTAATAGGAGCGAAGAAACTACGAGTATTGTAAAAAAAAACGGGGAAAATGATTTATGGGTTTCCGAGGCGTACGCTGCAAGAACGGTTCAAGGTACCCGAAAAATATGTATGAAAGAATTAATCCTCTTTGAATGATCTAAAAAGAGTCCGCGACGATATATGTCTATCTTTTAAGATTAACTTGCAAGAACGACGGGAAGGGATGCGACCGACGACGTGGGTAACAGTTTAAGTATATAAAGATGAAAGGGTTTGCAAAAACGAATTTAGATGCCCAACAGAACGATTCTCAAGGACGAAGTCGCTGACACAGCTAGTCGCTAATAATGCAATCCAAATAGTTTGCAAAGTAGAGCAAAGCAAAGAAAAAATCGAACATAAATGACACTACCTAATATTAAGTCCGCATAAAGGAGATTGAGATTTCTGTTATGTACCCTAAGACTACAAGTATTTATTTTCGCTATTATTTGACACCCTAGTCATAAGCAACCTTACAGGTTTATTATAATACTGTTTTCTCTATGTTCTTTTGCACAATGTGTTATCGCTTTCGAAACGAAACAGCAACCGTGACAAAATAGCATTTCCACAGTGCTCTTCGGGTCGACTGATTGTTTTCGAGTTTCGCGTGAAGGCCTCGCCGTACGTCGGGAACGGAGTACGAAAGGAAAATTTTTATTATTTTTCTTAAATGTTTGCCCTATCTGCAATGCTAATTTGAAAAGGATAGCCCGACCACAGCTTCCGTTCGTACCCTGTTTGTGATAAAACTAATTTCAAATACGTATAGGTTGTGATATATGGGTAGGTAGTTCGTTCTTATTTGTCGTTAGGCTCTTGTCGAAATTAAGAAGTCAACACTTACCATGTTGTCTGCGGCTAAATAATGTGCCGACTTTCGTCATGCTTTTCCCATAAAATGACAGTTATTACAACGGCATTCATTCATAAAACACATTATCGCGTGATTTCTATCACATGAATATTTGAGAAAGGGTGTATCGTCTGTGCTTTACATTTAACTGCTTAAATAGGTCATCGGTCAAGGTCCTAACCTGACAACAAACCTACAACAAAACGGTTCCATTAAACAAAGGAATTGATTTAATATTTTTACAACTTAAATATAACGACGAGGGGATGTTGGCTGTGGATTTGATTCCCATCAGGTGAAACATATATATTAATTAATGTAGGACTTGCTTTAATTTTCATCGACATAGGCAATGAACATCAATATATATTTTTCTTAATATTTCGTTTGGAAAATCGGGATATTCATAGGGTCGTAGGAGTATCGAACTTCCGTTCGGGTCATTGATGAAGAAGTCAAGTTTGATCGCGTTTCGGATTCAGTGTGTGGATTTCTGAATAAGCACCGCATCTTGTTGAGATGCTATATGACCATCTCCATAGGTGAATCCCCCACATTTGTCTGTCTCTCTCATAAAAAGGTATTTGATCAAGTCAAATCTAGAAAAAATATTGCAGAATTAAACCGTGAACAATCGCCGGACTTTTACTGAGGTTAGCGGCACGAATGCTGTCGTATTAAGGTCGACATGCAAACACTTCCGATATACAGATTTAAATGACCCGTCATGTAAAACATACTGTAGTACGTGCAGCAGGATTGATAAGCGTTGCGGATAAAACACGGTGTTTCAAGCAGTAAAAGGATATTCTTATGCTCTCAACTAGCTAACTAATATGTCTCTAATGGTCAACTATAACTATTTTATAACTTATTTGTTTTGGTAGGTAATAAAATCCGTATAATATCATCAGCTCTTCACGCTTATATTAAAATGCCAATTTAAAACCAATTTATATCATCTCCACATTACCTCATCGTGCTATTATCACTAATTTAAAAATGTATTTTCGTAGTTGTAATCGATTCAAAACTAAACATTATGCGCTGATATTCGGAAATATACAGATTTTCATGTGTGGATAGCGGTACCTCGACGGAACTTCGATTCAGACAAAGTTTAACATGTTCTAAAAAAATTTAAATTGATTAGAAACATATTGGACCCGGTGGGAATCGAAGGCAGGGCCCGTTGATTATTATTTATACATTGCTATTAGACAAACGAGACTGACGATGAAGACGATTTAAATTAAATAACCTTGACTTCGGTGTTTTCGATGATAATTCGCTTTCTCTTAGCACGATGTTTCTTCGGACTGATCGGACTCCCAATCCACGAGATGGATGAAGGGTGTCTGTGCTGCAGGTGAATGCATGTGAACGGAGAGGAATTTGTTATTTAATCAGTCAAATGGCACCGCGCCATAGTTTTCTCCGGTAACCGTGATAATATTTTCAAATCCAAATGTAACGCGCCTAACTAACAACTTTCTCTAAGCGTTTCTTTTTTACTAAACTGTCCACCGGCCTTTAACTTCAGTCGCGTATCCGTGTCGCTATTTCCTAGACTAGGAAGTGGATAGTTCATCCAGATTATGGACCTCGCCTGTGACGTATTGCTAGTGCTAACTAATGTTATACATCACAAACGGGTCTTATTATTCTATCTTTATTTAAAAAAACTTTATACTTTCATGTGTTTTTGCACTAGATGATCTAAATAGATAAGTGTTAAGGTTGAAATTACATTACGATATGTGAACGAAATTGAAATCAATGGGTAGAACAAGTTTGATGAAGACTGGCGAGACACGGATCGTTGGGGACGCCGGTTCAAGTCTCACCCGTGCCATCGATTTTCTTTCATTTA